TTCACAGGAATTGCTGTAGGCAGCCGATTTACACACATCGAAGTTCCGCATTGAAGTGAACCAAAAGATAAGAGAATATCTTTCAATGCCCTGGCCAACCATTATCCCCCAAAAATGGTTGTTGATTTCAATGGCTGTTTGTTGGACATTGCTGGCGTGAAAACAGCAACTTCAGCTTTGCAGGAATTCCCTGCGAAGCACTTTATAGGCACTGTATCCACTGCAAAGATTAATTAATGCACCACTTATTATAATAGGAACATAGGAACAGGAGGAGGAGGCCACTCAGCCGTTTGAGGCTGTTCTGCCATTAAGTTAGATCATGGTTGATCTGGACCTCAACTCCAACTGAAGTAATGTTCCAAAAATGAGTGAGCTGAAGTTAGGAGTGAAATGGTCATGAGAAAAACAAAACAACAAAAACGTACAATGAAGCTTGTTAAACTGCTCAAAGCAATCCTTATATTTTTTGGAAACATAAAAATGCTCATTTTTCCTCCATGTGAGTGCTGTCGCTTTGTAAGTGTTTTGTAAGTGCGTTCCTTTGTACAACTTTCACCTCCACCAATGCTTGAAATCCAATTGCAAATTGGCAGCATTATTTTATTGGACCAGATTATTTGATGTGCAAACCTTTTAAATGAGATGATTTCCGTGAAACCGTTGTTGTCACACTGACTGCATCACTGATGATCCGGACCTGTAACAAAGGGAAGAGCTCGGAATACTGACATGAGAGAAATATCACTGTGATCGCAAGCAATGGGTAACATTAGAGCCGATAAACTATAGAAAGCGTTCACAAGACCGGCCACAGAGAGCGCAAATGTGTTTCGTTTGAGTAACTTACCAGATAATAAGAATACTCCTTACATTTTGTACAGTGTCTCTCATCATGTTGAAACATCACAGACCTTTTTGTAACGTGTACTGCTGGTGTATTTGTTGGCCGAGACAACAGCTCACTCGTGTACAGCAGCGTCCCACAAACAAAATCAGGACAATTATTAGCCAGGACCCCAGGAGAAACTGGTTCTTTTCAAATAGTGCCACAGGATCAGCGACATCCACCCGAACAGGTAGACAGGATCTCGGAGGAACGTCTCATCCGAAGCGCGGTGAATGTGACAATGTTCAGTGCTTTCCTCCCCGATCACTGTCACTCCCTGAGGAATGTCGTGCCAGACCCTGAGCTCAATGTCAGAAAAACTATTTTGTCTGGTGGGGGAATCCAGAACAGGGGGGCGTAACATGAAAGTTGGAGCTGGGCCATTTAGGAGTGAAATCAGGAGGCAGTTTTTCACCCAAAGGGTAGTGATATCTGGAACTCTCTCCCCCAAAAGGCCTGTGGGATGCTTCATCCATTCACATTTTCAAGATGGAGATGGATAGATATGTGTCAGGTCAGGGTGTTAAGGGATAATGGGGCAAGGGCGGGAAACTGGACTTGAAGTACAGATCAACCATGATCTTATAAAATGGCAGGACAGACTCGAGGAGCTCCTGTTTCTATGTTTCTATGTCGCACAGGTGGGGATTGAACCGACATCTTTTTGACCCAGAGGCAAAAGTGCTACCAACTGAGCCAGGCTGACACCCACCGTGTTCACTGAGACAGACAGCTGCACTACGATTCTCATGCTTTTTTGGATCGAGGGGAGATGTTCAGCAGGTAATACTGAACATTTGCATCCTCTATTGAAAGTGTATTGAATTGAGGTCTATTGAATATCGCTTTTGGGAATTGTTTCCAGCGTACTTTGATCCTCGGCGATGTGTATTTGTTTGGTCTCAGAACTGAACCCTTGCAAAACTGACACCGAACCTAGTGTAAGCCGGCGTGTGAAACAAACCATGCTTTCAAATGAAACAAACCACGCTTTCAAATGAGCTCCCCTGACTTCTTCACAAACGCCCTCAGGTTAAGCTTTTCAAAGCTAATGCTTGAAAGAAGGCACATCTGTTCCTGAACTGAACACCATGACAGGCTAGACCTCTGTGCAGATAAATTGTGCCAATATTTACTCTTCACAATTCAGACGTGATGGGGGAGGTGTGGCGAAGAGTGTATCAAGTTAGATCCACACAAATTAATCGCGTAGGTGATCAAAATCCCCCAGCGATCTTCCAGTACGCAAATAATTGTGGAGTCCTGTAGCTCAGTGGTTAGAGCACTCGCTTTGCAAGCGAGAGACCTGAGTGCAATTCCAGGCAGAGGGCGAAACCTTGGGCAAGTTTCCTTACTCCACACAGAGCCTAATAATAATCCCTCCAAAACCAAAAACAATAATAAATTGGTCATTTTCAATCTACGACTGTTTGTGGGACATTGCTGTGCGCAATTAGCTGCCGCGTTTGCCCACAAATATACAGTCAATTCACTTTACAGTTTATTCTGTGAAGCGCTTTGGGACGTCCTCCCGACGTGAAAAGCGCTATATCAAATGCAAGGATTATTATTATTATTATTATAATTTGACAGCAACATCATTGAGTGGATATTATGTCTCTTTAAGGTAATCAAATGCAAAAAACACATGACAAGATTGATTGGAGAATGAGTAGGTTTATTGATTTGCAGGGAAATGCCAGGACACACAATAACAAGCAGCAAGTAATAACAGCGAGTGAGAAGGCAATAACTGGAATGACTTTAGAAATGCAATACGTTTGGAAAGCAGTTAACCAGCAGACCAAGACCTGAATGGTATCTTTGAACAACCTTTGTTCATCACTTCCCAGAACCGATTGGAATACAATGAACCTTCATTCCCCACATTCCCAACAGAATTCAGAGATGGTAAGAGCACGGACACAGGCTATTCGCCCCAATTAGTCTGTACCGGCTTTCATACTCCACGCCCACCACACATACCCACAATATCATGTTCACTATTTATAGGAGTGAATTATAATTTTCCAAATGGTCCCATTCTGAGCGTCGATTAGAGAACCACAGAAATTACAGCAGCGGAAGTAATATTGGTCCTCTTTCTTGCCTCCATTCTTTTAATGTTACAACATTAATCCTTGCATTTGATATCGCGCCTGATCACGTAATTCACTGTATATTTGTGGAGTCCTGTAGCTCAGTGGTTAGAGCACTTGCCTTGCAAGCGATACACCTGGGTTCAATTCCAGGCAGGTCAGGGCGAAACCTTGGGCAAGTTTCTTTACTCCACACACAGCCTAATAATAATCCCTCCAAAAAACAAAAGCAATAATAAATTGGTCATTTTCAATCCACGACTGTTTGTGGGACGCTGCTGTGCGCAATTTGCTGCTGCGTTTCACCCACAAACATACAGTGAATTCACTTTATAGCATATTCTGTGAAGCGCTTTGAGATGTCTAGAAGACGTGAAAAGCACTACATCAAATGCAAGGATTATTATTATATTTTGTGGGTGCAACGCGGTAGCCAATTGCGCACAGTAGTGTCCCACAAACAATCGTGGATTGGGTGACCAAATTATTATGATTCATTTAATAATTTTTCAAGGGCTTATTATCCCCAGTAACTCACCCGCCAATCGACTAATAACAGGGTTCCTACACACAGAGACAAACAGAGGAATGTGGAAGGAAACTTGCCTAAGGTTTCACCCTGCCCAGGAATAGAACCCGGATACTCTCGCTTGTGAGTATTTGCAATTCCTCCCCAAATCTCAGGCACCCACCCCATCTCTGTAAAGCGCTTGGAGAAGTTTTCTTACATGAAAGGGGTTGTCTTAAGTGCAAGTCGTTGTTTCCATTCCTTATACCCCAGTGAGAAGATAGAACCGTTCACCAAAGCAGTATCAAAAGCACGGCAATCCTGAACTTCAACCATTCAAGCTTCATGGCATTTTCTCGGAGAAGTAAATTTTCTCCCAAAGTAGAGACAAATGTTATTAAATTCAAAGTTTCTGTGTTTGCAGCATCACGCTTTTGTGAAAATCAAATTCAACGGTTATCATTTTCAATTATAAATAAAGAGGGCTCTTTGATAAAAGCTAAATCTGAAAGAAGTTGACATTAAGCTGAAACTCAGAGAATACCGGAATAAATGCTGCAAGAATGCTTGGTCGAGTAAAGAGGCCAGAAGGTGAATTTAAAAATCAATTTTTTAACATTATTGGTGCGATTGATCCAAGGGGCTAGGCTGGCAAATTTCAATTTCAATGTTAAGTCATTTTTTCCCCCCACCAAGATTCAGATTGGAAAATTGTGAGAAAGCCTTAGGATGGTAAGATTTGCTGATACATTACCAATGTGGTGTTTGTTTTGCTAAATTGTTATTTAAAAAATATATATTTAGTTCAGTTTAAACTCACTTCCCCACCATCCATACTCAGACACACATATATATCTCCCAAAAACGTGTCTGTAACATGTGAATCACCATTAAAAGGTTTAATAGACCGCTGGACACATTTGCTGGTTAGATGCAAATTTGCTGTGTGCTTATTTGAAGGGTGCACATTTAAGAGAATCACGAATGGAATTAAAAAGGGAAGTTAGAAAAACACTTGTCAAGCAAATGGTGGTTGGAATGTGGAATCGTGTGACATGAGCCATTTTTGAGGCAGAGCCGATCAATTATCTTAAAGGGCAGTCAATGCTTGAAAAAAACAGTAATATTTGCAGGTAACAGGAGCAAGTAGGAGAGTGGGATTAGCTCATATGGAAAAAATCACCAGCATAGCCTTGATGTGCTTGAATGGTTTGTTTCTATGCTGTAACAATCTAAGATTCCATCAATGATCCCAATCAGGCTGGGATTTAATGAATTGACAATACTGAGGATTAAGAATTGTTCACCTACAAATGTACAGTCACTATACCGTACTGTAAAATTCTGTGAAGTGCTTTGAGATGTTTCAATGACGCGGTAATGTGCAATATCAAATGCAATTATAATTAATATAATATGAATTATGGAAACGTGACCAGATTGGTAACTGGATGACCCACTCCTGGTGGATGGGGGGGGAAAAAAAACTATAAATTCAATATAGTCAATGTTAAAGCTCCCTTTATTGTTACAAAAAATCAAGAAATGTTTTAATTCTTCTTTGTCAGCTATGTCTAAACATAGAATGAAAAACTGCAAAGCCATGGGGAGGAGTAACCAGAGCGTTAGACATTTTGAAAGTAAAACCATAAAATATTTCACTTAGTTATCAAACAAGCTATTTTTCTCCAAGCAAGTGGTTTGTCGACCTTGTGGGAAAATACCATTGTATATCATACAACTAAGACTGACCACTGTGTCTCTAAAACAAGGCCACAGGTAGTGCTTTGCTAAGATGATTTTTATCATGATTGTAAGATCTCATGTAAATTAATAATTCGGAGCAAGGGAGTCTTTCCACTCAGCTCCTCTGCAAGACAAAGCTCTAATGGGTAGGGTGGTCCTAGCTGGACAAGCAAAGGGAAAGCTTGCCAGACATTTCCTTCAATGCCAAGCTCTACAGTTTTATCAGGTTAAATTTCAGCAGCACCCAAACACACGCTCTGGGCTACCCAAGCATTGGCTTTTGCCAACCTGCGCCTAATACTCTCTGGAAATAGGTAGGCAGGATGCGTCCCTCCAGGGCATTGCATTCCAGGCACGGAAATGTCCATGTCTGAGTGACATTCATAGAACTCTCAGTCTGGTTTGGACACTCTTAAGCATGGTGATGGGTATCCACATGTGTCAGACACCTGACTGACCAAAAAAAAATGATAAAGAGGCAGTTTATATATACACAGCTTATCTGCTATTAACCATGTGTTGATCATCCATATAAAGCTCCATTGCAGACTACGTAGTTTAGTGCTTATACTGTAGAGGAAGAGCATTTCCATAATGCACTGCATAACTGGCAAAATATCCCTCCAAGTGCAGAACATTTAAGCCTGCAAAATATCTAAAGATACGGGCCTGCAAATCAGCTCTGTACACATTTCTAAATATAGAAGTTACACAGTTCTGTATTTTGTAATTCACAGACTTCGTAGAATTAACTAAAAAAAATCTAGTTACAATTTTCAGGTTGGTGCAAGTATGGGCTAAAAACTGTCTCATTTACCCCTGATAATTTAGATGTGCTTATTATTATTATTAACTAGCTAATACACCTTAGTGCATTGCCAATGCATACAAAATACATTGCCTATTTAATGCTTGCTTTTTAGTTGAAGGTATATGATCTCATAACATCTTCACTTTCACCTGGTCCCTGGTGTAAGGCAAAAATATATACAAATAGTACAATATATATTGCACATATATGCAAAATGGTTGACTGTTAAACTGTATTCGGCTGCTTTGATACACCCAAAAGAATGCAGCTGAAATTTAAGACATCAGCTGCAACATAATACACATGCTGAATTTCAATCGCATAGCACAAACAATATGTACTACAGTACAAATAATATTAGCAAAGTAGTAAAGACGACATGATCAACATGCATCTCTCTCATCTCAGTTACTCGCACATACATGGTAAACAATTGAGGGTCTCGTTACAGACTGTATTAAGTAAACCAAATAAATAAAATAGGGTAGGATTTAAAAAGACCACTTGCAGTAAACACTAAACCATAATCTAATTTTGGTCACGTCAAGCTTCCGTCCGTCTGACTTTAGCTTACATGCCTAAAAGATTTTCCACATCTGAACCACTGGCTTCTGGGCAGATGTCAGGCAGTGAGGTGTGCAGCAAAGAGACTACAATTCATCAAAGAAGGCCACTCGGGATTTAGTGCTTTGCAGAGTATGCTGTAATGAAGAGAAAAATATAATTAGGATGTACAAATGCATTCATTACACACAATCATGGGGTATTACTAACAACCTATGATCATGATCGATTTTATTCCTCCTACTTTCAGATGGCATTTTTTATTCTCCACCTTTTTAGCTATTCTTTTCCTCTCTCGCTCACCAAGCAAAGCCATCTGCTATGTGGTAGGTAGGAAATCTACTCCAAGGCATCTGTCAAGACTGCTCTGTAACCTGCTTCTCTGTGGTACATGACAGCTACTCACGTAGACTTTATCTCCCCTGGGGGGAAGTGTCTCGGCTCCGCTTGACACCTCCCCTGATGGAGCTTGAAAATTCAGTGTATGGGGATTCGCAGGCCTGAATCCATATCCCACCACAGGAGATCATACAGCGATGTGCTTAACCACTGAGCCATCAGAAGGTTTTTTTTTGTCCTCCTTTCTCCACCCCTGAAGTCACTGACTCACGCTGTGCAGTTCCACATCAGTAAATCCTCCAGTACCTCACCAAGTTACCATTCTTCATAAGTGGCTTAGACATTGAGTGTCAGTTGGCTATTTCTGCTGGAGGTATCGTAGCCGAGTCCAATGAACACCCTCATTTTCCAGTAGAGGTTTTGGTTACAACAACTTGCATTTCTATAGCACCCCTCATGCAGGGTAGAGTCCCAGAGTGCTTGACAGTGGCAGAGCACAAAACCGAGTCGGGGGATGTGACAGTAGGCACAGTCGAAGAGGAAGGTCTTTGGGCGCGATCTGAAGATGGGGAAGGAAGGGGCCAGGTGGAGGGATAGAGAAAGAGTACTCCAGACTTTCGGGGGTGGTGGCTGAAAGCCACTTAAATGGGTTAGCAATCAGGAGTGGCTACTCTTCTCTTCTTAAGGCCAAGGTGCTAAAGCAACCAACTGCCATCCCAGCTGAGATCAAATAACAGTCAACCATCGGGAAGATTTTGTGACCATTAATACTGTATATGAGAAAGGCCCATTTCCAGATTCCGTATCTACATGGCTATTTATTCACCAATTTATTCAGATTGCTATGAATTGTGGATGCATAAGAATTTTTTTTACTATCAATACACCTAGCCTAAAGTCATCCAGTCTTGGAAGATATCTGTGAACTAATAATAATAATAATAATCCTTGCATTTGATATAGCGCTTTTCACGTCGGGAGGACGTCCCAAAGTGCTTCACAGAATACACTGTAAAGTGAATTGACTGTATATTTGTGGGCGAACGCGGCAGCCAATTGCGCACAGCAATGTCCCACAAACAGTCGTAGATTGAAAATGACCAATTTATTATTGTTTTTGATTTTGGAGGGATTATTATTAGGTGTGTGGAGTAAGGAAACTTGCCCAAGGTTTCGCCCTGTGCCTGGAATTGAACTCAGGTCTCTCGCTTGCAAAGCGAGTGCTCTAACCACTGAGCTACAGGACTCCACTAATGGTCTGGAATTGAAGGAAACACAGAATCAGTGCCATCATATCCCACATGTTGTGTTCCTGGTCTGAATCGAAAAAAGGGAGGGTGACTCAACTCAAATATTCTTTACTTATAAATACTGAACTTACTTGGTGTTCAGTAAGCCTCGAGCAGCAAGTCATTCGGAAATTTGCTCAGAACTGTGTGCAACAGGGAAAGCCCTAAATGTTGGCAAGGAAAATAGAGAGAAATACTCCAACCCCATTTAAGTGCACCAGATTCTTCTAGTGTCTTATTCCTCGGTGATTTATTAACACAAGAAAATCCTGTATGGGTACCACACACTCAAAACGACTAAGTAAATTTATCTTTCCTTTACCACTGACAGCAAATTGACTCCAACGCGTGATCCATTGTAGTGCTCTGCCAACGTACTCTGCAGAGGCACCAGTTAAAATAATTAACCCTTAGCCTGCTGCTTGTGGATTTGGACCCAGTCTTCACATCCTTGGCAAGCTAAAGGTTAACATTTACTGAAGCGCTTTAACATTTACTGAGCTTAGGGTCCAGTTTTGATGTCGCTATGGCCTGAATATTCTCACTGCAATTTGTATTACTGTACCAAAGAAGTCTGCAAGTAAAAAGGCAACTAAAATTAACATGTCTTTTTTAATAATAATAATCCTTGCATTTGACATAGCGCCTTAGCACGTTTTTGAGACGTCTCAATGCGCTTTACAGAATATACTGTAGAGTGAATTGACTGTATATTTTGTATGCATCTCTCTTTCCTTGACTGACCTGTTGTGATATCACGTAACCAAGGACATCAAATCTCATGTTGGTAAACTAAAAAACAAAAGTGTCACAAGGGTCGAGGCTTCTACATGAGTTGGCGGAGTAGTACCATTCAGAAGTCTTTAACAATCCCCTTTTACAGTTGCAAAGTGATGCTAATTTCAACTGTTGTTATTTCATTTGAATCTAGTCAGGGTCTTATCCGAGTGCAAGAATTATATATATTATACTTATTCTTACTATATTACTCCACCTTCTGCTTCAAAGACTTTCAGTGATATCCAATTGATTTTTAGAGTCAAACCATCAACTGTATCTTTGCAATTTGCTGCTGGTTCAGAGTACCTAGCCTCCCGAAATACATCTTGAACACACAATACGCCACAATTTGATGTAGCTGACTGCTTTCATATCAATTCATATAAATTCAGCAAGTGGTTTTTGGTCTGCAAAACTGCCCAGAGTCATTCATCATCCTCATTATTTCTTACTAGATGGGCTAGCTTTTCCGATCGATGCTGTACAAAGCTCTGATGCTGCGCAGTTGACCACAGCAGTTTCTGTTCCTAAAACAGAAAATGATCTTCAGCCCATCCTCGAGAAGTACACTTGTGGAAAAAGTCACTTGACTTTGAAGCAGAGCAGCACCTAATATTTGGCTAATCATAAGCAAGTGCTTATCTGAATATTGATTTGTTTTGCCTAAATTCATCTAGATCCCTGGATTCACAAAGGGCAAGCAGGCACTGAATGAGCTGAATCAGAAACATATTACATTACATTTATGTTGGAACCAAACCTTTCTTTTACAAAATAGCTACCATCGAACCTGCTCAATTCAAAAGCGCATTTTATCCACAAACAGATTTTCATTGTTTCTAGAGTATTCGATTCCTGCTAAGTCATTGGCTGTATAAAAGATGTTTTAATCTCCCAGTGAACCTCTGTGGATCTTTTGTCTTGTAGTTTCCTGATCAATTCCTCGCCTATGGTGCTGAATTACATGACAAAAGTCTCGGGAAATGCCAATGGCCTAATGATAAAAGGGATGTCTATTGATAAATACTGTACAATAGCTTTACAACCGCTCGTGGCTATAATCTGAGCTAATATATGAAACCTTGAAGAGGGCAGTGTTGGTATTCAGAAGACTGGAACAGCAACACCACAGCACCCTAGTTCATTGTCGCCCACACCTCTTCTCTTCCCTTCTCTCTTCCCCCAATCATCACATTCATGTGTCCCAGGAAGGAAAAAAAATCAATTTGGGGAAAACTGTTCAGTCAATTTTCCAAACAAAGGCAAATGTGTAACTCTGCAGTTATTACAACCCACTATTCTGCCCGGCAAGACTTCAGTACTCACTCTTTATCACAATACAGGCAATATTTCCATGAATTTTCCATTGACTTATAGAAAATTACTGATAATTACAGTGTTCTTAAATTGATATGTCTTTTTCTCCTGAATTTTATCCTCTTTTCTCACTTCCCATTCCTAAAGGCATTGCCGATTCCTGTTATCACTTGATAATAACAAATGTAGCATCCGCGAGCCTATTCTTGAAGTCATTCTTTAAAAATGTACACCTACCTCGTTAACCGTGCTTTCAGTCATCTTTCCCTCCCACCCCTCTTGGCTCCTACCCCCAGCTCGAGTCCCAGCCAGTGCTGTTAAGCATTTTGGGATGTCCTCCCGACTTGAAAGGTATGATATAAATAAAAATGTGTATTGTTGTTGTAGACCACCTAAGTTTTGTATTATTTGGAGTAAACATCAAATATATTTTTTTTAATTATTAAACCACAAATTTAAAGTAACAAAGCTAATCTTTTGAGACTTGTTGCATCAATATTGAATGAAATTCCAACCAGCATCAGAATTTGTTCTTGCCTTGGTGAGTAATGTAAGCATGATGTCTTTGTGACTGTGGAGAACGTCAGTGAAGTAAGCCAGAGAGCCAGCTGTTTCGCTAACCTTCCTCTCCACAGTGACAGCATCATGTCATGACAATTGGAAGATGCACCTCTGTTTGTGCTCAGTATTCAGGGCACATCAGAAATCTTCCTGTGAATTCTAAATTGAAAACAAATTCTTCTGACCAGCAGCACTTAAAACAAATGATTGTTTTGGGGAAAGGCGATGGCTTCACTCTGGGTTTTTCCGAAAGGATTATTTACAGCTATGGCCATTTCTGTTCAAACTCATTCAGATTGCAATGTAAGGTGGGTGGAATGGCCATATTGCAAAGGTCACCTTAGCAAAGAAATTAAATTTAGAATTCAGCAATCTGGATCCCAGTGGCCTTGTGATGTTTAACATAATGCCGACATATTTTATTACAGACCTTTTTCAGAGTGTTGTACTTATTGCTGCCCAGCTCGGTGTTCTCGTTGTGTATTATGTCGAGAGGAGTTTCTCTGTCTTTGAGCTTCAGAGCTTCAATTTCTGTTTTGAGTTCATTCAGTTGCTCTTGGAGATGTTTACTCTTCTCCATGTACTCAACCCTGGAAAATACGATTTAGAGTGAAAAACAGAATAAATCGGATGCCTGCACTTCTGTCCATACCTCTTGCACTGTGTTATTTATAGGAACTGCTGGAAGGAATAGATTTCTACATATTCAAGAAGTGGGATAATAGAAGCATACAATCACATACTGTATCACCAGTGTAATCCAACATCTTGAAAAAAACATGCCTCGGGATTCGCATACACATCCATATCATGGAGTTCTGTTAAGCTTCACTGATATTAAAGTAATCTGGTAGGAATATCTTTCCACATGCTGGTTGCCCACAGAAAAAGTCATTACCACTTCAAATAGCATCAAACCTGCTAACATATATTCGTGTATGAACAGTGCAGTACAACAAAGCTTCACAATGGGGAACAGTGGAATATTACATTGATTCAATGTAAGAGAAATGTGTCCCTCATAAACAACGCCTCAGGGGATTTAGAAAGGTCTTTTTTCTTTAGCAGAGAAAGCCTGGCATACAGTATCACCATGATCCTTCTTGCATCATTCGATACACAAAGTCTCAAATTCTACCTTGTCTTAGCTTGCCCTTTGGACTTAAAAATTTTGATTGCTCAGAATCGGGAGGGTGGTGGATTTTGGAAGCCGGCTCTGTGCGATTTTAATGTTAAGATAAGATGGTCTTACAAACTACGGCTAAGTGAAATTTCAGGCCTGCAACCCAGTTTTAAAAAAACAAGAACACTGGTTATAGTGGTGAAAATTACAACACTAAAGGCATTAAAGCAGATTTGTTATATCATAGAGAAACTACTGTGAAATCAGGTTGGCGGTAAAGAAGTGTTGCAAATCTGCCAAAGCACAGGGCCACAGACTGGTCGGTGGTGGTTGGATCCCTGATCCCACTCAAGATCCTCTCATGGGTTGGGATGGAGCTTGAGAGCATGTCCCCCCAGGCAAAAGAAAGTTTGCATGCTTTCTCAAGTGCATGGTATGGCTGAGGGGTACTACTATAGTTCATACATGTAGTCTTACTCTCTTGTATTTCCTGAGGGGACAAGTAACTGTGAGTATATACTTGTAATTGCAATATACTTTAATCTCATTGCACCTTATTTACATTTTAGATGTGATTATGCAAAAATTTGGCACAAAATGAAAAAAAATGCACCAGAACATAGATTCAAAATGCACGGAAGCATTCATACTTGCTGTGAATCAAAGTAAATTAATAAGATATAAAGAGACATGATTTGAGGCTTCGAAAATATCCAGACAAGAGCGGCAGTAATGCACACTGCTATGCGACAATGTCCTGCCGGACTGAAGCCCGTGGTACAGTGTATGACAAAATGCAAAATGGAACAATAGAGAATAAGACATAATGTTAACAGCCTCACCCTACTCAAACAAGCTAAACCGGGCCAACTGGTGGTGGAAGACGAAAGAAACTAATGTGAAAGCAACAGAAATATTTTAAGTCTGCACATTAAATATCATGCTTAGCAATAAACGTATAAGTGTTACTGACAGCTACAATTTACTAGTTATGGTTTTAAATTGATGCATGAAAATTACAGAAACTGAACAAAGTTTTTGATAACTCTGATTCACAGAGACATATTGGAATAATAGAAAGAGGAAGGGGTCGTTCACTTAAGCAGGCTACATTTTCCATTGGAACACATTACATACAGAACTCAATGTGCACATGATTTGACAGTGAGTAAAGTCATCACAATACTGCACCAGGCAATTAATCATTCCCTCATCCTAGTGAATGCTATTCTCATCTCTATTTTATCCATCCATCAATGCAAACGTTTCGCTCTCAAAATAGTCAACTCACTTTACAGTATGTTCTGTGAAGAGCCTTGAGACATCTCGAAGGCGTTATAAGGCGCTATGCAAGGATTATTATTATTATAGTGCTGCTCACTCACTGGATTTGATTTCAGTTAGTCCACTTAAAAGGCAATAGGTAAAACAACACCACTAAATGTGCCATCTTTCTCCAATTGTTTTAAAGTTTTGGTTAATAAGTGTTGGAGATCTCAGGTGCTGGGGAATGGAATGTGGATCCACTTTTTGAACCGAGGGTTAGCATCAGGCACTCTCAGATTACGAATAACGCAGATTTCATGCCGAGCAAATCTTCCACTGCTCTGCTCCGATAATGCACCTCAAAGCGTTCCTTTTTTCTACACTAGTGTGACATTTCCATTTCCCACACAAGCTCTCCTTGTGACCTTTCTGAGTGAAATTCTAGTTACTGTTGATTAGTTTTGTACTGCCAATCTCTCTCCGCTAGAAGCTGGACTGCAGTTGTTAAAATTAATTTCACGTAGGACACGAGTCAGCAGAGAGAAGAGGCTTTTATCCATTACAGTGGGCTGATTTCAACCCCGAGACCCAGCAGTAAAAGGACAGTGTACTAATGCATCATACCATTCACTCCCATCAGTTAAGTACTTTTCTCTTCTTCCTCTATATTTTTATTTTGTTGTGCCAAGTTTAAAGGTATACTGTTTTGCATCTAGTCTTGGCAGGCTTTCCCTAAACTATGGCAATTAAAATAACAATTCCAGATTATTTTCTTTACATACAAAAGAGGCACAGATCAAGTACATGATGGAGAAGGAAACTGAGCTGAACAAAATGAGAATGCCATACTGCAATTGGCATGAAATTGAGTTTGAAAAATGCAACTCAATTGTTTTTAAAATTCTATAATAATTGATCGAAATATTGTTTGTTTCTTACTTGAGGAAAAATATGATATATCTTTCCTTGGAGTTTGCAATTATTGTCAGGCACCACAGTCTGTCCCTGACAATAAACCCAACTATTAAGTGCCTAATAGATTGTATTTTTTGATTTATCTGACACATTTATTTATTTATTAAGAAAACTGTACATTAAGTACGTCTCAATGTTAAATGACTCACACCAAGATCAGTTCCAGAAAAAGCGAACAAACTCACTTCTCTTTTTCTATCTCCATAGAGAGCCGTTTCATGTCAGTGTCTTTGAAATCGAATGTGAAGTTTCCATTCTCAAAGCTTGGGATATCAGTCGGCATTGTGGCTGTGCTTGATTTCAGAGGCTGCGAAGAAAAAAATGTTGAATTTGTAATCAAAATAGGAGCCTCAATTTCAGCCCCTTTTGCCCTCAAAGAATTACTGCAAAATTATACATTAATATATACATGGTGCTGGTTTGATATTGGCAGTGTTAAACGTCCAACTTTAAATGTGTATTGATTGGTAGAGTGCGTACTGTATGTGAAGATTTGCTGGTGATTTCAATGAGCTTTTGCTTGGCTCTCTTTTCAGCTTCACGCGCGTCTTGCAAATCTTGCTTCAGTTGCTCAGCTTCTGTTGCTCTGTAGAAAGCAGAAGACTTGAGATTAGTTATCCTGAATGTTAGGTCTTTCAATTTCAACATAATATTATAATCCCTGCATTTGATATAGCACCTCATCATGTTATTGAGACTCTCAAAGCACTTCACAGGATTCTTTGTGTAGTGTTGTGACTGTGTTTTGTAAGCAAACTATGGTTTCCGTGCACAATTTTGATTTTGAGAATGACGAGTCACATATGAAAGCAAAAATAAATATAACAAGCAAAATTAATTTTGTTACTCATATTGCATAAGGAGATGGAACCTGTAGAAAACAATCAGCTCATTTCAAGGCTACAACATTTGCTTCCAATATCATTTAGAATTTAATGTTGAGTAAGAAAGTTGCCATCTTCGGCACTTATGGCAATTAATCATTTTCTGGTCTGACTTTGCTATTACAGAGATCTGTATACGTGCATTGCTTCTGTGAAAATCCTTGTTATTATGGCATAAATGTGAAAATTAGTAATAATAATCCTTGCATTTGATATAGTGCTTTATCAAGTCATTGAGACATCTCAAAGCGCTTCACAGAATATACTGTAAGGTGAATTGACTGTATATTTTGTGGACCCCCAAAAAAGTTAAAAGGTTTACCGTCTCTCAGACTCTTCGGCCATCTTGAGTGCCAACACCTCTGCCTCCAGCACCTTTTGCTCCATCAGTCGTTTTTCTTCCTCAGTTCTCAAAGCCGTGACTTGTAACCTCTGCATTTCCTGCTCAGCCTCTGCTGCTTTCTGGGCCAATAGCTTGGCCTCTTCCTCTGCAATCTGGGCTTTTTCCGCCAGCAAATCAGCCGTCTCTTCGGATCTCAGCTAATAGTGGACAAATCGACGTGTTTAGCCGCTGTACCCTTACCCACTCTGAATAACTTATAGTTTTGGGGCATAACTTTGGAAGAGAACTTCCAATATTTTTTAGTACAAATACGGTGTCTCACCAAAGCCTCGTTTGCCAGCTGGGCTTCATCCTGAAGCTGCAGTAATCGGCGTTCCAGGTCATCTCTTGCTCTCTCTGCATCCTCTCGGAGCTGTTTCTCCCGACATAGCCTATGACGCTCCAACTAGGGAACGGGAACAAAACAGAGCTCTGACAATCATCCCTCCCCTCTATCAAGAATAGAACTAACAAGCACATTATTCTCAGGCAAATGGATATTGTTTTTTTTGTTAAATAAGTGAACATTTGTTTAACTACACTTTTTTTCTTGCTGCAGAATCATATTGCTGACTGGCTGACAGTAGCATTTGCAGCTCAGAAAAATGCAATGACAAGAGCTTTGCAACTAAAGTAAGAAAACACTGAGTCATATTTAGATAAAGGCAGAGTAAACCTGCGAGACAGCTGGTAAGTTTAATGAACCGTGAAATGGCCATTAAAACATCGGCTTTACAATATCACTTCATTGTGCATTTGTTATGTTTCATCAGTATCGCTCTCAATGCAGGGGAAAAAAACCCAGTACTGAACACAGCCTAGAATTTTTATACAATCAATCGAATTTCTCTGAGTAATGAAAGTGAGGTGGTTCTGCAAGAAAATAGTGAGTAAAATTAACTAAATTGCATCACGTTCAATTTAGCACAAAACTAATGGAGAGAGCATATACTGAAGTCATTTCATTCTGATTAGTACATTTCATTTCACGCCCAACATAGGGTGCCTGGTGTCACAATGCCTTAGGCTGCGTGGGTCGTCATGCCACTTATATTCAGTGCTCGCAAAACAAAGTTTGCAGATTATTTATAGTGCAGTTGAACTAGAAGAGTAAGGCACACAGCATTCCATTAAAGCTCCAACCCATGTAAAGGCATAAATCATTTATATATTATTTATGCTGCCGAGTTGTAAATGCTCACTGAAACGCTTAGATTGCATATCTTATTTCAAACAATCCATCTGTAATTTCTTAAACGTAATTTGTATTGTGCGGTGCCATACTTGCTTTCATCTTACACACACCAATCTTTGCTATTATTTAATGGATCTAATTTTTTATCCTACCTGTTTTCTAGCCTTCTCTTCTCTTGCCTGGCTTTTCATTTGCTGAACTTCCAAAGAGTCCACTCTCCGTCTCCTCATAAACAGGTCGTGGTTTCCAATACAAAGCTGCAAAATCTAAAGGATTTGGGAAATGTTATTTAAACTTTCCATTTCTTTACGCAAATGAATAGAAAATCTTCACTTCATTTTACATCGTCACTGGTTTTACAGTAAAGCATTATGCAGTTACAATTGATCTTGGCAATTTATCTTCAAATCAAGGAGAAACAATGAGCAATATACAAAATGGACTGATAAACTGCCATTACTCAAGACATTTCCCGTGGTAGTAATAGTATTCAAATACCAGAACACTAACAGTGAGGTTTTCACTAACTCTTTGCTAGCTTTTACAAATATTCGTTCAGCACCTGTATGGGATTTCTAATTATAAGCATGCAAAGAAAAAATTACTAGAACTAGAGAACAATGCACCATCTTTGGGAACTGAATAAACTGAGATAATTTCTTGCCCTAGTAAATTCAGTTCTTCAGAGATCCAAAACATATAAAAATGGATTAACGAATCAAGCACAGACAGTAAATACTCCAATACTTTAATCGTTTCCAGTTCTTTTTTGAATATGAAGCAATTTAGCCACAAGAATGGAAAGCTGCTTTTTGTGCATTTGTGAATGATTCTGCCTAAGCAAATAGGCTCACAGATTCATAAACATTTCAGCAGGAGAAGGAGTGATTTAGCCATCTGTGCCATTTTAAAGAGTCACTGACACCGGTGTCCATTTAATACTATCTTTACACTGGTAGGACGTCTGACTGCTCTTGTCATTGTAGTTTGGAGGAAAGGAACACTCAATGCAAGGACACACGAACATCTGTGCTGTGATTGTGTTTTGTAGCCTTCTTTCCTCTGATTGAGCAGAACTCGAAGTGGAAGAAAAGTACGTTTCAAGGTCAATGACCGAAAGCATTTTCTGTCTCTCCTTCATACATATACATGGGTACACGAGTAAAGCCACATCAAAATCAGAAAACTCTGCAATTCTGATCGAAGACGATTATGTAATACAATTTCCTTAGGGAGAGAAAGTACCATTAATGAGAACATTTGGTCCCTTATTATATTCTGCTTAGAAATGGAATTTAACTGGATGCACTATAGAAACCTATCAATATGCTTCAACAGTGATGGAAGTCAAGTAAACAACAGACACACTATATTTTGTACATTGATCTTGTCTAAGTGATCTTAAATCTGGATTGCTTTACACTGCAGGTTACAGAAGAGATCAAAATGAATCTCCTTTTTCAAAATAATATTTAAGATTTTTATTTAGGGCTTTATTGTTTTTTCAAGAACTTATGTTTTGAGAGCTGTGGGAGCTGCTTGAAATACACTGCTTCAATTTTCATTTGTTTATAGACAGCCTGTTTGATGAAATACTAAACTGTATTAAGCGTTTTAACTGCAAACACCTCGTAAAAACATACAGCATGCTGACTTGTGCCTGCACCACTTCACAACGTATCTAATTGCTGCAATCCATGCACCTTACTTACCAATTTATTCACTCGCAATTTTGAAGAATTAAATTTAAAAACCTCTGTCTTTTTATCCAAGGGTTTTATAGCAAACTGGAGGAAGAGAGCACATTTATTTGAAAGTGTTATTTTTTTCCATGCAAGAAGACAAAAAGGATATTTCAAAGCAGTAAAAAAAAAGAATCTGGGAGAGCGTGACATTGGCTCGCTGGAACTCAAAGTGGTTTCTAAGAACAGGGATTCCCTCAAGGCTGCAGGATATATTTCTGGTTATTGGATCTCTTAATTATGAGAAACCATCATAAAATCAAGCCTTGGATTATCTAGTCAAAGGCAGATGTGGACAAAGAACCCTCACCTTTTATTGTGCGCAATTGGATGCCATGTATCGCCCACAAAATACAGTCAATCCACTTTACAATATATTCTGTGAAGCACTTTGAGACGTCTCAATGACGTGATAAGGCTCTTTATCAAAAGCAAGGATTATTATGTATTATCTGTCTTGGTTTTTTCAGACACAATAACAAATGTATCACAGTTTGCCAACACTAATTATTGTTGGGGCGGCAGAAGAGGGAGTTTATCCTTATCTTCTACAGTACTAAAATACAAATAACAACTATCATAATAATCGCATTGTAAACTTCTAAATCCTATCATTCAGGACAACAGAACACCCACTTGCCTCTTTGTCACTGTAGGAAATGTTGCGAATCTCATTCCATGGAAATGATATTTTGGGGGTCAATTTGTTCTCTGGATCATAAATATGCAGGCCGAAAGCATCAACTCCAAGCATTAAATTTGTTCCCTTCTTGTTCTAAAAAAAGGAAGAGATGTCAACTGTCTGTATACACATGAGTCAACAACAAACAACAGCTATTTTTGAGTAGAGGAAACACAAAGCGAAAACTATTCTTCAGAACTGGAGGTGCCAGAGTTTATCCAGCTTCTGGTGCTGATAAACTGGGCGAAGAAATGGCCAGCTATCAGGATGGCAGGTTGCTGCTAACATCACTTTGTGCACGTAATATATGTGCACACAAAACAGGTACTGTTGATCATGTCACTTTATGTGTGACATCAGGAAGCACCACTGATGTCACTTGGCTGATAACTATTAATTATTTTTAAAAGTTGTGCTGAGGGTCAAGGAAAGATGAACGGCAGCAAAAGATGCAAAGAACCAGAGAAGATGAAAGGATCCATTATCCAGTTCCACTGAAACTTCTCCTAATCTGACTTGTTCATTTCATGCTCTTCCAAGCATACCTTACCCGTCTAAATACTGTCCACATTACTAGCAGAATTTAGTTGACTGTGCAGAATTCCTAGTTATATATCCCACAAACTCACTGAAATTAAACCTTCCCCTAATTTAGAAATGTCCAAACTTTTCTGATTTTTTTTAAGTACAGAGGAAACTTACTATTGAGAGTAGATCAATAGGTTGGCCTATTTTGCTCTTTTTTTCCCATGTTTGCCTACAAATACACAGCAACTTCACTTGACAGCAATTATCTATGAAGAGCTTTGAGATGTTCTGAAGTTTATAAGTGCTGCGTGAAGTGCGACGATTATTATTATTAAATCTGGCAGTAATTTTATTACTATTAAAGAGAAATGACAGTGAGATGAGAAAATCATGCCAGTTGTAGTACAAAGTAGTGCATCAGTCAAAAAGAAAATCATGTTTGTTTAAACCACGTTTAACTCAAATATTTAAAACTTTTCATTTCAGACAGAGGAGGCAATTATCAGGTTTAAGTGGTTTGACCTTAACGGACCGGACTGAACCGTACACTGTAAATAATTGGCTTCCCTTGTTAAGCTATGGAATGCAGTTTCAATTTTATTAGCATTTTATTCAGAATGCTCATTTTCGATTTCAAAGCTGCATGTTCCTTATTCATTTAAATTTTAAATGGAAAATGCAGGACTACTTCGGTCACACTTAATGAGGTAACCGGACTTAGCATCGGGATTCAAAGACACTATTCCTGTACAATTCAAAATGTGTGCGTACATTTTGATTAAACCCAAATCCCGTCTGACATATCGAGATCAAATTAGTGCCTGAACACATTTATTCAGTCCAGGGAACGCATTTAAGTGTATTTTACAATGCAGCAATGCCTTTGAAATAAAAATACAAATTAATCAGCTCTGCATGAAGTACGAAACACACGTCTACTGTGTGTACAACAAACTGCTTTTGTTGCCGTGCATTTTCTTAATAACCAGTTAAATTATAATGTGTTACTGATTTATTTAGACTTTAAGGTGTCCAATTGTACATAAACAGCAAATAGATGTTCTTTACAATGTAGCTCTCGGTAGCACTTGATGCAATGTGCAGGTTTGTAAACACAGAATCAGAAGAGAGGTTCAGATTAAAATCCTTTGGCTCATTTGATCACGTCATTCCTAACTACTCTATTATCTTCCCATTAGAGTCATCAAGCAGTTTCATAAATTATCTAGTATATTGCCCTCAAACGTTTTCAGCTGTCGATTATTCTGTGTGTAAAGAAATACCTCCCAGTGTCTGTAATAAACTTTCCTTCACACTTCTGAACCAACACTGCAAGATTTCTTCAGTTTTCATCTTGGTAACATTTATGCCATCCACAAAGCACATATCCTTCCTAACTCACACTGTGTGAGAAAATAGCACTGAAGGAATCTGTGAATTATTATAGACATTTTTTGGAGGTAAGAGAGCACCTGATCAGTGGTGGGGCTAGGATAGGGGAAAGAAGTGAGCCAGAAAGGAAACATCGAATAACTAGAGAGGGAAAGTAAATTTCAACAAAACACAAGACTTCCTTGATTTGCATAAAAAGTGTTAGGTTATTGAAGGAAAGATGATTTACATTTTTTAAACAAAAACAATGATGAACATAAATGACTTACTCTGATTGAAAAATAGCTTACACCATACATTTCGAGATCTTGTGCTATCTTTAGATATTCCATTTCTGCTTCATCCCTAGACAAAACGATAGGTGTGTCATAAAACCAGACGGAAAAAAATCTGGTAAATAGATTTATAGTTGAATTGCTCATGGTGTGTATGCAATCCTATGATGTTCCAAGTTTTTGCAAGCAAGTCCTGAGATACATGGGTTTCAGTAATCTGTAACCACACAGGAGAATTTTCCTCAGTTAATGCAAGTCACACCCACAACCTGTCCCCACCAAATTTAATTGATAAATTCATCATCAAATGTATTATGTTAAGGTGATCTCATAATGATTCTGGTAGCAGGATAGAGCATCCACTTAATGTTAGCAACCAAACTTATTACCTTCACTAGTGTAATAAGAGTCAAATATCTTGTAGCAGAGTTTACATCCAATAGTGTGATGACAATTGTTAAAATCTTGATACCTTGCTCGCCCTCTGTGCTCTGCATAACAAGCAGTTATTCTCTCCTCCCACATCTCTGGGGTCATCTGGTACAAGTTTATAACCTGCAAGATCAAGAGAATACAATAGTGTCGTGCAGTTTGATTAAAATATCAGTTAGTTTGGATGAAAAAGACCCTTCAACTCATTTACTCCCATCCATCTGGAATGGCAGCTTCCCAATAGACAGTTTCTTAAATGAGTCCAGTGCCTTGGCCTCAACCAACCTCCTGAGTTGCTTGTGTCAATTATCGACTGTTTTCTGTTGAACATGATGGAACACCACATGGGAGAACGCTTCCCATTTCAAATAAAGGTCAAACTTATTTTATTCCTTGTAAAATTACTGCCATCTCTTTTCATAGCTGAATAACTCACCTAAACCTGTAATAAAGCATTTTCTCACCAGTGTAAGAAAATACTTCAAATAATTTGCAATTGCAACAATGAGTCAATTAAGCCATTTTCCATAACTGTTTTTATTCTAACATTAGCAATGGAATGCAGCAAGATCATTTATGATCAATAGTTTAATTCACCATGAAGAACTCAAATCTGTTTCACTATTAACAGGAGTGTGGCTGGACTCCCATGAGCAACTTATGAACAACTAAATCTGAATTGTTAAAAACCTTTGACCTAATTTACTGGCATCTAGAATTGTGAAACTTTCAATGCGACAAAAAGCAAGTAGCTGCATTCTCTGTTCAAGATTTAACACTTGCCTTTGTTTTCTGCAATACTTTTTTGGAAGCAATTGTTCAAATTCTTTCCCCTAATATACTGGTTGTGCTTACCCTTTTTGGTAATAGCTCCTCTTGAGCTAGGAAACCCGGTTTGTGTATTTTGGGATCATAATCGCCATACTGTTTAAAAATAAAGTACAAGTATAAGTAACACAGTACAACTTTTGATACATTCTCTGTATATTTAATATTTTACTTTGAAATTTCTTGTTCCATAAAAAGAAAAATGTCTTCCTAGATGCCTAGTTATATTGTTCACACAATATTATTATTATTATTAGTTATCTTACAGGATTCCAAAACCTCAGAGATGTAATATTTTGTCACTCAAAATTCAACCACAAACATCAAAATTCAACCACAAAAGGTTCATGATTAAATACAATTGGATTTTACAATAAAATGCCCGTTAGCAATCATTTCCTTAGTGCAATTTTATGCAGCCTATAAAACAATCCATACCAAGTCCAAATGAAAATGTTTTTAAAAAGTCTTTGAATTAGTAGCTCTCATTAATCAATGAAAAGCGCTTTAGTTCACACAATGTTCTATGCTTCCCTGGAGCAAAAGCAGAATGAGACGATACAGTAGACTTCCACAGATATCGAAATGATTGGTATTGCATGTTAATTTTAAACATAAAACCCTACTTACTGTAACACAATTTAAATATCTGTCGCAAGAAAAGGGATTTGAATCAATTGCCATGCCTCCAGGGCAGCAGTAATGCATTTCTGATAATTCTATATGAAACTTAACGGCTACAAATTTTCAGAAATGTACAGCAGTTTTTAAGGATAATCACATTTTGGGAATCATTTTCACTTCTGTTTTATCACACAGGGAGCCAGGTTGACAACCTCAGAATAAGCGACTGCTATTAACACCGAAAAATAAATTGCAAGACAAAATGATAAGTGTTTTTGAGCAGATGAATTTCTGCTCTGAATTCCTTTAGAAGTGCACATCTGCAAGGGCAGTAGTGACTAGCAGAAAAATGTGCCTATAATTTTAAAGCAAACGTGCCTTCAGTATTTAAATTCTTCATTTGTCTGCATGTCAAGAATCCCTCACTGCACTATACCATTTCTACATCATTCATGTCAGCGTCTGTACCATCAGTGACCATAATAACTTGGTGTGTTAAGGTTCAGCAGGTAGGTGTTTATTTTGCCTTTGGATGAGTGTTCTTTGATTCAGCTATTTAAATGTGAGGGAATGTCACAAGCAATTTGTTCTCTTTCTTTGTAATTAGTGTACAGCTCTACTGATTGTTAGACATAAAATAAATATTATGCTGTTAATGCAGCACATTAATAAGCAATCACATTTCATTGGTCTTAGATACCTGTTAAGATAGCTTGAATAGGGCAATTGTCAAAGGTTCGGCAACTTTTAATATCAAATGATTCTGCATCTTCATTTTAGCTTTATTTCAATGAAAGCATCTTTACCTTAGCTTGAACAGCATAGGAAGCCATAAGGACAGAAGCTTCTGGGGGACAATATATTTCCTCTTCCAGGATACTCTTCTTTACCTGAAACAGCAGACATAGGCATCAGCACATGCAAAGGTCTGACTTGTAATCAAAAAATTGTATTCTAATCATTTTATTTGTTCAAGTAATCAAAGAAACATTCCAGCCTAAGATTCAGATTAATCAAGAGCTGATTGCTGGCCTTAGCATGCTTATAATTAAAAGACTGGATGCTTGATTCCAGCCCTAACCCTTCCCATATGTAGGACTCAGCCGCTCACTGAAAAGCCCACTGAGTTTAATGGTGGAGTATATTTTGAGCAAAGGTTCATCAATGTTAACTTCTTTCCATTACCTGGAGGAAAAGTAAATGTTGAGTGATTTCTTGTACCATCTCTTCTTCTGCGTTCTCAGGATAGAACTTGGCAAGGAAATAGAAAGTGACTGGCTCTTCTTTTGAGACATCATGATCTAAGACCTATTAGATAGAGAAGGTCAACTACTTAAAAAAATTATGCATTTAGTTTTTTTTAAAAAAAAACTAGGAGCACTTTCACGTTTTAAAATAACACTGTACGTGTTACGTACCTTTTTGTCCATTTTCAGCCATGCAACAGAACCCTTCTCTGTATATTGAAGGCCGAAGAACCATGCTTCTCTCAGCCCAATTGTCCGACAAACCAAATCAAAAAGATCTTTACCCTTCCACTTTACCTGAAGCGCAACAGAGAAAAAAAGATTATGCTCAAATTTCAGCTACTTTTCACACAGCAATGTCTGCAAGCACTCAAGAGATGCTATCCTGCATGAGGGGCGCTATATAGATGCAAATTGGTGTTGTTGCAAACAGGCATGAAGTGAATGACCAATTTTACTGGGGTATACTCATTCCAGTCTGAGCGCCTATTGCACATGCCTATAATTGCACATTTTCCAGACAGATTAAATATACGTAGCTCTATATTAGTAGGGAAGCTACATTCTATACAAATATGCAACCATTTGTAAGGTAGCAGAAATTATTATACTCCTGGCTTCAAAAAAGGTTAATACTTCTTCAATCACCTTACCAATACTAATATATTTCTACAAGAAACCCTATTCTCATAAACATGACCTTTACTAATCAAAGAGAATATAATATGTATTTTACTGGCATGTTTCACTGCTCCCTATTTTATGCAGTGAGATTACTGTAATGTCATTGGTTTAAAAACAAATTTGCAGAGTTTTCTTGTTCCAATATCATATTTCTCTCCAGGGAAATCATCCACAGGACTATCTACTGTTAAATGCTGATCCCGATTCCAAGAAATCAGGGAAGAGTTCTGCTCCTTGGAGATCTCTCAGCTACAAGTTTTATGATAAACATATTAAATATGTAGCCAAGGATGTTGTTCTTCAATGGCTTTATGTATTTTTTTATTTTCACCCTCAGTTTCCGTTATATTTATTTGAACAAAATTGAACTGTGAATTTGACATTTGTGAATGTGGTTAGGAATGGATATGTTAATTTCCATGTAGACTCATATTGTTATAAATGACTTTTTTTAATATTTGGAATCTCTTGTTATTGAGCAGCTGAACAAGCACCTTGATCAGCTTGGGGCAGGATTTCTGTGATTGAGATGGAAGATGTGCGGTTGTATATACTTGCAGTTTATTAAGATTAATTCTAAAATTGTGGAACTTAAAAGGATACAGAATGGAAAAACAATTTGAGATTGGTTGTTTCTATTCCACAGTATTCACACATTCAATAAATTCTTATCAATTTGGTTACCACTGTAAAAGTGTTTTCCTTACAACTGTGATTCAAGTTTATGTGTTTTTTTCTCTCCTTTTCTAGGTGAAGCAGCTCCTGACACCTCACTCTTCATGTATAAGCCGTAGAGAATGAGCATTGGCATTTTCTCAGCCGTGATGATGGGGGGAGGGAATTTCACAGCCAAGCCTAGTATCTGCGCACACAGACTTTCAGCAAGAATCATTGGATCATGAGGGGCAGAAAGATTCCTGATTGATGTTTCCCTTCTTTTGGCTTATCAAATTGAGTTCAACTCCCACCCCCCACCACCCTTTAATGCAGTCGTCCCAGCAGGGAGGTGTTAAATGCCAGGAAATAGACAATTATAATTAATATACAGCCTACAAGTGATGCTTCTACAGAAGCCATATATATATGCCATCCATCCTAATGTTGGCTTATCATACTTTGCTCATTAAAGTTAGCAATCTTTTTGTTAACATTACAGAAAGACTGCTTTTTAAAAAAAACATTCAGCTGATGATAAACCCCACTTTCATGTATTACTCCCATATAGAAAAATTTGACTTGAGAACAAGTGAACATATGGGTCCTTCCAATGACTGCCACCTGGTGGCTATTATATGATCTAAAGGTATTTTACACCCTGATATACTTTTTCTCACCTCTGGTTTTCTATTTGTTTCAATACAATTACAAAACATTCACTCTCAAAGGTTTTAATGTCACCTAAGCACTGCACCCTAACATTATGTTCTGATGTACATGATGCTGTACAAAAGCAGCACAAGATAGCAGTTTTATAACACCACAAATTAAACAAATCCAAATGATCGATTCACAACATACGGTAAAATCCATGTGAACCGCGAACACACTTAGCTATAGTTAAAAAAACAGTGCATAAATAAATCTAAAGTCAGTTTAATTTTATATTCAGGCATTTGGTGAATTATGCTACTCAGATCTTTAAAACAAGTACTGAAAATCAATCTTTTTCCACCAGGCAATTGTAAAAAGAAAAATGTTACAGAAGCAATTGGAATGGAAAGACTTGTTGTCAAGGGCAAAAAAATGGTTTGTTGACCTGTCACTGATTTGTAGACAAACCAGTCGACCATATCAGTTGTTTTGCATTTTTGTTACTGTCAAAGCTTAAGAGAAACAAGGTATTTGAAGACAGTTTCACTGAGAAGCCTATGCCCCATATGCGTCGAATTCACACCCTCTGTAGCACAAGGCATGATCACAGTTAGATGAATCAAAACAATTATTTCAAATTCCTTCACAATTCAAAGAATTTCTTGAGAGGTATACATTTTGGATTAAATTCAGACATTAATACAAATTGGGTAAAAAATGATCCCTACATTTGTGGTGGTTCCAGATTACAAATAGTGCTTCTGTGCGTTTAACTCTTACTTTTTATGCAGTTTTAAATTCATTACATCGTTCCTGTTTTTCTCTTTATATAAAAGTGAAACATAATTCAAATACACAGGCAATTGAACACTTCCCCTCCCATTCTTCTAGCTCTCTTGTCTGGCCAACAATAGGAAATCTACAACAGGAAAATAGCTCATTCTTAAATGTATTCTGCCACTTACTATCATGTGGCCCCATGTGAATAAGGAGCTACATGAACGGTCTAGATGTTCCTTAGAGAATGTGTATAAATTATGCACAAAAGACTACTGATAATTATGGAATTCATAATATCTACTCAATTCTTGTTGGCAAGGTGTCAATTTGATAAACATCAGTCAAGCTTTAACCTAGTTATAAACTGCCAACTCAAACTTAAATACAACATGCACAATATCACAGTCAATGTATCTTTCAGTTGGACTGAAGAACACAGTTAACATATGGAAATATAAAACTACTATTTCTAGGAAGAAAATCATCCAGTTTTTGGCAAACTTAATTCCTCCACATGACCTACATTCGTTGAAAGGGTAAACCTTTAGTCAATTTTCAAAGCCTCTAGAGCTGCTTTGTGATCAACAAAGGAAAGATCAACCAAATATTTTTTCCTTTCAAGTTGGACCCTGCTACCTTGCATCACTCCACCTTGTGGCTTATCTAATACCTCAATTGGAGGAAGCAGATCCAAGAAATAAGTAAGCCCTGGGAACCAGCCAAGTTCAAAAGTCAGTGGTCACCACTGTTACTTACACTGTATACTCCAGGACCACATGTAAAACAGTGGACTATGAAATCAAGCAGGAATGGTCCTGCAGATTATTGTACAACTTATTAACTATTATCCAATGTTCACTCCTTCCTGGGAGAATGTAGTTCAATAGCATTGAAGAAGGTGAAATGCATTTTGAAACAGTCCCAATCTCTAAATAACGGTGATGATCAAACCTTGCTGAAACACCCTGAACAGTGCTCTCAGATTTCTGCTCAGTGAGGACCATTTTCAAGTGCATAAAATGGTCTTCAGGGGATATCAACCAAACTCAAGTGAGTTACAGAATATAATCCCCAAGAGGTGGGTTTTCCACGTATACGTGATGTAGTTTCTGGTGATGATGCAATTTGCATTAAATCAGTGGTAAAAGTGGAGTTATTCAAAGACTATCGGGAGGTTATTCTCGGAGAGTGAGATCAAATGAGCCAAAAGGCCTTCCTTCCTTCCTTCATCACCCGATCCTCTCCTGTGAAAAGAACATGAACACGGCACATGAAAAGCAACACGCGAGAGCAGAGGGCAGCTCGAGCAGAGGTACCTGGCAGCTGAACTCCATCTCGGCATCTATAGTGACAATCCGCACATTGAAGCTTTTCGAAGGCTTTCTCCTCAACGCCTTGAAGTTAATTTTAGCGGCCAGGCTGCTGGCCGCACTCATGCTTTTGGGATGGGTGGGGTGGGAGGGGGTGGGGGGGGAGAGCGGAAGTTGGGTAGGGATCTTAAGAGTGAAGGAGTTAAGAGGGGGGAACGATGGTAAGTAAGAGTGGTGAGAGTTTAAGAGTGGGGAGTGGGGCGGGCGGGAGGAGGTGAGAGTGCAGCACAGAGGGAGGGAGGGAGGGAGGGAGGGGGTGGGGGGACGAGAGTGCAGTCACCCAGGCGATGCTGATGCTGGAGCCACACTGGTCCTGGCCTTGGAGACGGTTGCTAGGGCTCCCTCCGGCCCTGGAGACGGTTGCTAGGGCGCCGCGGCGGTTTGTTTCTATGGCGACGCGGCAAATTCGACGCGGTCCGGGCAAGCTTCGAAAAAGCTCCGAATTCTCCTCAAAACAGCCCTTATCAACGAATATATATACATATATATAGAGAGAGAGAGAGAAAGAGATGCGATTGACGTCTCGCTCTGTGAAAAATCAAACCGCCGACGACTTTTAATGGGGATAAAAAAAAACAAATAAAAACAAAAAAAAAGGCCGCGGCCTCTCTCTCTCTCTGACTTTAACTCCTTTCTTTTTAATTCGCTTTCTTCTTCTCCTCCGACCGACTTCAATTGGCTACGTCACTCCCATGCACGCGGGAGTGACGGTTGAGGAGCCGCCGCCGCCGTTCAAGCCTCTCTTCTCACCGGCTCAACCGCCCCGAACCGCCGCCGCCGCCTCCACCGCCACCACCACTCGCCGCTTCCTGTCACTCAACCACGGTCACACCGGATGTCCCGCCCGCTCGCGCCGAGTTCGTCTTTCCATTGGTCGCCCACCCACGTCAATCCGTCAGGCTCCACCCACCCGCCCGTCCGTCCACGCCCCTTATTTCTACCAATTTGCACCCAACACCTGTTCCATTCTTATGACAGTATTATTATTATTATCATTATTAATGATGATACTCGATGCTATTTGGTGCACTGTCTGTGCGCCATTGGCTACTGCATTTCACCCACAAAATGCATTAGGGGTAGAGCAAAGGTCGAGTCAAGTGGCTTCTAACAATAAACTTTAATCCCTTGGCTCAATGTACTCATGTGACTTTTTTGTTCTCTCCCCCCCCAATCTGCCATCCTAATGCTTTTCTAAATATAACTTGAAACAGACAGTGAATCGGCAGAATTTCTGCTGGAAAAGGCTATCAACTAAGCTGCTGACACTGAGTTGATTGTGAAAATGAAGAGCTGGATATCGACTTGGGGACAACTTTTGAGGAATATTTAAGGTTTAGGTGAATGAGACACCGAAACTTCCATGCAGCTGGAGTGGAATCAAAGGTTATCTGTCAAGGAAGTCAAGAAAGGGTTGAATAACCATGACTCATTCATTGATTTGTTCGCCCACGAAATACGCAGTCACTCCACTTTACAGTATGTCTTGTGAAGCACTTTGAGACATCCTCTGACATGAAAGGTGCTATACCAAGTTCAATAATAATAATTGTTATTTGCAACGTCTTAAAGATTATTAGTATGCTACATTTGGCAGCCTGGAAAAGTTACGGTTTTGTGTTGTTTGATAACAAAAGTATGTTCCCAATAAATACAACAATCGGAAAAAGAATTCAATGAAAGCAACTGAATCAAATAAACTCACCCTGAAATTTGCTTTAGTCATTCCAAACTATTCAGCATCACGTTTTTTGTCAAAGCAAATGGCGATTTGGCATCTCGCGGCTAAGAAAATTAATGTGAAACAACCTTCCTGCAGCGATTCATTAACAGAACTAAATAGGTTCCATTTCACCTAATGGATAAAATGAATTGATTTGCAATTTGCTTTTTTATACAAAAAACAACTGTATCTGTTTAGTGCAATGGGAATCCAGGAGATGGCGCACTTAAGCACATTTCGCTAATTTCCTCATTGCTCCTGATGTTGCAACCTCCGGTGGGGTTGAATATTAATCAGAACGAAATATCCAATTGTGGTGAATTTTAATTGTGGAAACTTTGTCAGTACAAATGGCGAAGCACGTGTACAGCACTAATATTATAATAGTTGATATAGCGACGTCTCAAAGCGCTTCCCAGAACACATTGTAAAGTGGATTGACTGTATTTTGTAGGCGAAACACAGCAGCCGATTTCGCACAGCAGTGTTCGACAAACAGTCCAAAAAATATTGATAAGGATAAAAAAAATTGCTATGAGCTTACAATAAATAATAGTCCTTCCAATCCTACACTGGCAGCTGCGGTTCACCCACAAATATACAGTAAATTCACTTTATATTATTCTGTGAAGCGCTTTGAGATGTGTAGAAGGCGTGAAATTTGCTAAATCAAATGCAAGTATTTGTTTTATTATTGCTGCACATCTGAAAGCGAGTCACAGGAGTTTAAGTGTAAAGTGCAGCGACTGTGTATTTTCCGTGCCGCGAAACTGAAAGCGTGGCGGCTCACGGAAGCTATCTTTTGAATTTAAAAAAAAAGAGAAACGGAGAGAAATTCAAAGAATAAACAAACAGTTTTCAGACACTGCTCTTGATCTTGAAACCTGAAATCAATTTGTGTGCGCGCGCGTGTGTGCTCGCGTGTGTGCGCTCGCGTGCGCGCGCGTGTGCGTGTGTGTGTGTGTGTGTGTGGTGGTGGGGGGGGTGGGGGAATACTGATTAGCACCACGCACAGTCCTTTGCAATAACAATAATTTGGTCGCTCAATCCGGGACTGCACGCGGGACGCAAATTGGCTGCCGCGTTTCGCCCCGCAAGGCGCGCAGTCAGTTCGCTTTGCAGCCTGTTCCGCGAGGCGCTTCGAGGCGTCCAAAAAAAACCGGGTGAGAAGGCGCCGTCTCGAACGCAAGGCTCATCGGTGATGATGATGCCCATTATTATCATCATCATCCTCCTCCTCATCCTCATCCTCATCCTCATCATCATTACTAACTCATTTCAATTTCAAGGTGAGGTTGCAAATGTCCCCTTTAAATGAAACGAACGAAACGTGAGTGGCAAAGGGAGAAAAGAGAGAGAGAAGAGAAAGAGAGAGAGAGAAAGAGAGAGAGATTTCCCAATGCAGAAGAAGAGGCTCTGGTGTTTGCAAATGATGTAGCACTCGCGTCCCCTATCGTTCTTGGCACAGAGAGAGAGAGAGAGAGAGAGACACACACACACACACACACACACACGATCTCACACATCAACCTTTTTTTTTGCACCCACCCCCCACACCCCCACACACACACCCCACCCCCACACACACACCCCCCCCACCCCCCCCCCCCCCCCCACACAAAAACCTCAGCAAAACAAGAAGATGGCGGCGATCTGGCCTCTTGGTTCGTGGAAATCTTCGGGAGTGTTCAAGCCATGTTGGAGGATGTGCATCAGGTAAAGGGCAGAGAAAGAGAACCCCCTCCGAAAAAAAAAGAAGAAACAAAAATGCGCAGTCGCTGCCCTTTCGCTTGAGTTGCAGCTCCACACACCTGTTCTTCAGGTGGTGGTGGTGGTGGTGCACAGACCAGAGAGAGAGAGAGAGAGAGGAATACCACATCCACTGACCGAAAGGGAGTGATTTAAACTTCTTCATTGCATTTCTAACATCGCGATCCTTTTTTTTTTCCCCCCAAATGTATATGACGTGAAGATACTTTTTTTTGTGGGGGGGTATGTGGGGATGTGGGTGGGGGGGTGTGTATTGTGTGCAAAATGTTTTTTTTTCGACAGAAAAATGTGTATCGAAATGGTCAGAAAGTGGTCCACAAGGGGTGTGATTCTGCGTTGATACGTTTGCAATTCAACCCAATGTAATGTTGTTGTTTTTTCCATAAAGCTCTACCACTCCACACACACACACACACACACACTAACTTTCTGACCAGGTTGAAATGCACTCTTTCTCTCTCTCTCTCTCTCTCTGTCTCTCTCTCTCTGTCTCTCTCTCTCACCCCTTTGCTCCCCCACACCCTCAGGGCTCTCGTTAGCTGCTGACACCAATCCAAGGGTTGAGAATCGTTTGCAGTTTGCAATCCCCCCCCCCCCCATTTCCTTTATTGCTTTGCAAATTCCTCACCTCTTGTCAAAAAAAGCAAAACTGAAAGTCACTCTGTTCCCCTCACTTCTCCCTTTGGGATGAATGCCTCCCTATGAATACTGTCAGAATTGCCAAATTTAGCAGCTGTGCTACTGATGATAATAATGTCTAAATGCCCTGAGCTATCAAAAGTTAGTCAATTGGTGGATTGCTCTCTGGGGGTAATAATCCCTCCCAGGGAAGAAAAAGTCATCGCTCAATCCACAACTGTTTGTGGGACTGCTCTGACAGTCAATCCGCTCTACAATATATTCTGCGAAGCGCTTTGAGACGTCTCAAAAGATGTGATAAGGTGCTCTATCAAATACAAGATTTATTGTTATTACTATGCCTGGAATTCTCGGTTTGGTTTGGATACCCTTTAAGTGTGGTTGATGGGTTTCCGCATGTGCCAAACACTCGTCTGCCCCCAAAAAAAATTGTGTGTGAAAGTTGGATGTTGTGTATGTATGTGTGTGTTTTGTTTTGAAGGGCTTATAGTAAAGACGAGCACAAGGAAAAAGGATGGTTTCGATCGTTATTCGTTCACAAAGTGGATCCGAGAAAAGACGCTCATTCAAATCTCCTCTCCAAGAAAGAGATCAGTAACTTGTACAAAATGCAGTGTGAGTACAAACTTGAAGTCCAATCGAACTTTAATCAGGTCTTAATGCAGGTTGATGAAGGCCTGAGTTGATCAAGGTACCATCCATCGGGATGAGACATTAAACCAGGATCCCGGGGTCTGTGTCTGTTCATGTGAACGTTAAAGATGTATTCGAGAAGAGAAGGGAGTTTGTCTCGCGATGTGAAAGGCGCTGTGTCAAATGTTATTATTGTTTCGCCCCCACAAAATACACCCTTTATAGTTAATCATATAAACAACGTGATAAGGCGCTGTATCAAATGCAGGGATAAGTTGATCAATAGTTTAAGACTCGTCCTTTGTTTTCAGTTCACAATGTGAAACCAGAATGTATGGATGCATACAACGGTTTATCGTAAGTGTGATCTTTATTGTTTTTTTAAACAATTCCGGTTTTGCATCATTCCATGTAATTCAATGCAAAACTCTCTTAATGCGATTGAATTTCCTCTGGCTGTACTAAGCACTGAGGCTGTGTGTGAGCCATTGCCTGGATTGCAGGCTGGATTGCTTTTGGGTAACTGATGATCATTCCTTGTTGGTCGCAGGGAACAGATATTGCAAAACCTACACAATGATCCGGACTACCCGTGTGAGATCGTCGGGAGTTGGAACACATGGTATGGAGAACAGGACCAAACGGGTGAGTGTGAGACTCTGAGCATTTAAGACCTTTCAGTCTGAGAAATAACAACTGTCGGGTCTAGATTGATTCCCATTTGACAAATATTTTCAGTGTGATTTAGCAAAATATTAGAATCATAGAATCTTACACTGCAGAAGGAGGCTATCCAATTACATCCTCGCGCTTTCCCCACAGCCCTGAAATTTTTTTCTTTTCTAGTATACATCCAATTCCTTTTGAAAATTATCATTGAGTCTTAACATGGAAGACGGTTTTCTCAAAAAGAAGATTGTCTTCGAAACCCAGACTTTATTTAAGAACTTGCCAAAATTCTGGGCACTTTGTATTAATAATAATAATCCTTACAGTTGATTAGCGCCTTTCACGTAGGCAAGACATCGTAAAGCACTTCACAGGCTATCAGTATGTACTGTGAGGTGTAGTGAGTGTGTGTGTCATGGGCAAACGAGGCAGGCAATGTGCAGAGAGCAACGTCCCACAAACAACCTTGAAGTGAGTGACCAATTGTATCGGGATGTGGTGGGGGTGGTTATCAGCTAGGACACTGGGAGAAACTCCCTTCTCTTTCCAAATAGTGCAATGGGATCCTTAATGTCCACCTGAACAAGCACAGATGGGACCTTGGCTTACCGCCTCACAATGCAGCAGACTCCCCGCCACCCCACCCCTCAGTTGGAGTTTCAGCATAGACCACATGAGTTCTAAGTCCGGACGTGTGGCTTGAACTCTCAACCTTGTAGAGTCGATCCAGACCCAGGTGAAATTTCTCCCCAGATAACAAGCATTGTTCTGTGACACAGTCAGACTATGGTTTGTCCGCTCAGTGGATCTGCATTCTTTCATTCTGTGCAGTGCACTTGTGGCGTTTTTCTGGTGGCTACGCGGCTTTGACGGATGTTATGGAGAAGTTAAAGCAAAACAAGGTAACAAGGTGGATCCCTTGCTCTTTGACCAGCTGCAGACAGTAACACTTAGATGGACAGTTATCAAGCGACCAAGTTCCCAGTGTTAATGGAACCCTATAAATGGAGTAGACAATAGGATGGTTTTGATGAAGCATCAAAAAAAAGTTCTTCTTGACTTAACACAATAACAGGGGGAGGCTGTTCAGTCAGTTAGTTATTCCACATCAAATCTTTCAATCCCATTTCCCAATCTTGTCTCAAAATATCTATCCATCTCTTTTTGTAAACGTCCTTTCTAAGATCTCACCGCCCACTCTGTGTGGCAGAATGTTCCCTGATTTCCCCGCTAACCAGCTCAGCTGGCATTTTACAAGCACATCCCCTTTGGGTTTTGGATCCCTCTGCCAGAGCAAAGCACCATTCCCTCAGCTAGAGGTGAACTGATACTGCTTATTAAAAATAACAATCCTTGCATTTGATACAGTGCCTTATCACGTCATTGAGACGTCTGAAAGCGCTTCACAGGATATACTGTAAAGTGGATTGACTGTATTTTGTGGACGAAAAGCGGAAGCCAATTGCGGACAGCAGTGTACTGCAAACAGCCACAGAAACCCTTTTGAAATAGCACCATGTGATCTTTAACATCCACCTGAACTGGTGGATGGGACCTCGGCTTAACGTCTCATCCGAAGGACGGCACCTCCGACAATGCAAAACACCGCCCAGCGCTGCATTGGAGTGTCAACTTAGACTATGTGATTCCAAGTCCTGACGTGGGGACTTGAACCTACAACCTTCTGACTTGGAGGCGAGAGTGCTACCCACTGAGATATACCACTGACACACATTAACCTCTGTCACTGCAGGACAGACACATCAGTGTAAAGACTACAATTGAATAGGAAATAGCCTGACAATACCGGGCACCAGTTTGTACGCAAAAGGTTCTTGTGTGTTCCTTTACCGTTGCTTGCTAGTTGCTGCGTTTGTTTTCCCGGAGGGCCTTTGATTACCCGAAGCGACGACGGGAACTCTGAAAGAGGGATTTCTCTCTTGGCAGGAATACTTGGAATTCCGTAGGGAGAGGAGCAAGATGCTAGTGTCTCGGAAAAACGAGATCCTCCTGGAGTTCAGCTTCTGGAACGAACCTCTGCCTAGAGCGGGTCCTAACATTTATGAACTCAGAACATATTACTTAAAGGTAACAAACCCGAGAAACTCAATACTGTTACGGTCTGAAGCGTTTGTTAACAAGAGTCCCAAGCCCTAGCTCTGTGGTGCTAGGACTAATCTAGCTAACCTCAACCGCTGCATTTATTGTAAAACTAGCCATGCCAACATGTGCATATTTTTAACTCTTTCCAGCCGGGGACCATGATTGAATGGGGCAATAACTGGTAAGTAATTAGCTGCAGATGTGATTTTCCGTGTTTATGCCTGTTAACCTGAGATGGGGGCAAAGGAGGGGCAGAATTTGGCAACAGTTACATTGCTTTTGATAAGAAACATCTTAGGAGTTTCTTCCCTTGGTGAGTGATTGAGTGTGTTTATCAGCATTCACATTAGCAGTGATAAGGGGAGCCTAGCTTTGCATTTCATAGAACCATAGAATCCTACAGGACAACTGTTCGGGGGACGCTGCTGCGTTTCGCCCACAAAATACCCATTCAATTCACTTTCTGTGAAGCGTATTGAGACATCTCGACAACGTGATAAGGTGCTGTGTCAAGGGCAAGGATTATTATTATTATTATTAGATCTTGCCAGTGAGTGCAGTATAAACACAGGCTGGGGAAAGGAAGGAGCGCGTGACTACTTAACACAGCGTCATGCCTTGTAGCCCCGTTTACCTGCTTACTTCACAAAACTTAGGCATCCCTGTTTGTAATTACGACCTCACTAAAAGCTTGCGTTAACCATTGACCCTTCTGTCAACACAACCTTTGGTACCAAGGCATTCCTTTCCATTCAGAAACTGGATCTTGCTCTCTCTGGGACGGCTGTGCTCTTTTTTTCTCTCTTGTAAGCACAATTTTTTTTAACGCTTCCCAAACCTCCTGCACTCGTGTGGCCTCGGTGACTGATTTGATCCCGTCTACTTTCTCACCCACTGCCCCATCCCTTGCACAGTAGCCTAGAGCCAAGGAGAGACCTGCGTTCAACAATGCAATGATTATTTTGATCAATGAAGTGCGCAATTTATTATATAATGCAATATTTGCACACAGGTTTTTTGCATTAATTGTGACTTTTGTTTTGCAAAATATCGTGGTTTGCGAAATCCTTGGCATCCTTTATTTGAACTTTGCCTGCTTGGAACTGGTGATTTGCCATTCATAAATCTCCCCGTAATTCATGACGTTTGCAATTAATAATAATAATAATAATAACAGTCCTTGCATTTGATATAGCGCCTTATCATGTCGTTGAGACGTCTCAAAGCGCTTCGCAGAATCTATTGTGAAGTGAATTAAATGTGTATTTTGTGGGTGAAACAGGGCAGACAATTGAGCACAGCAGTGTGGCTTGAATGATCACATTAACACAACAAGTGAGGCTTATGAACATCTTCTGATGATGCATCATTCCTATATCAAGAATAATGCACCCAGGATGCTTCAAATGTCATCAATAGGCTGTTCCCACTTGTCGGGGAATCTGTAAGCAGTTGACACAGGTACAAGATAGCGACGAAGGGGAGCTAAAAGAGAATTTAGGAGGAACTATTTCACGTAGAGGGTAGGAGATTGACCCAGTCATTGGTCTGCCCTTCCAAGTCCTGCCGATGTCAGCAGCAGTGCCCTGGAATACTGCGGAGTCTCCTAGTTCAGGAAATTATGTAGATAAGGTGTAGTCTGTGGTGGTTAATGTTGTACAATTGTCCTCAGGGCTCGAGCTATTCGCTTCCGTCAGGAAAACAATGAGGCTGTAGGTGGATTTTTCTCACAGATCGGAAACCTCTACGTGGTGCATCACCTGTGGGGTAAGTGGGGATGTTGCGTTTGGTGGAATCAAGGTAGCAAATGTTTGTCTTGCCGTGAGCCAGGCCGAGTAGAGGGCAAACAGTTAAAATCGCTGTCTCTTCATTGCTGCGTTATATCGGGAAATGTGGGGTTGGGGAGAGGAAAAGGGTGCATTACTGTGTTTAGCTGTTAATGTTTGATTGTCCCCAGGAGAGGTGCTTAAATTAGGAAAGGGTTGGAAATAACATAGATTGCTTCACTTGTTGATGAGGCCAAATGAGGAGAGAGTAAATATAAACTTACGTCTAGCAGATCCGAAAGCGAAATTTCTTCATGCAGATGGCGGTGCAAACGTGGGTCTCACATCCCCAAACTGTGGTTGAGGCAGAAAGCATCAATAATAATAATATTAATAATCTTGCATTGGTTATAGCGTCTTATCACGTCTTTGAGACATCTCAAAGCGCAACACAGAATATACTGTAAATAGAATCGACTGTATATTTTGTGGGAAAAACGCCAAGCAGTTGACACAGGAGACTCAATGTGTACAAGAGGGAGAAGGGACAACAGCAACAACTTGCACTTGCATAGCGCCCTTCAAGTGGGTAGCGCTTTGAGGGGTAATAGGAGAGACAAGTAAGCAGAAGGGAATAGGAGAGGTGGAGGTTCATGAGCAATATAAACACCAGCATGGAGTAAATGGGCCAGATGGGCTGTTTCATCGCTTTGATTCTGTGTGAGTTAAAATGTTGGCTTTTATTTCTTATTTCAATTGTAGCTTACCGAGATCTGCAATCCAGGGATGAAACACGAAATTCCGCTTGGCAAAAATCCGGGTGGGACGAATGTGTCTATTACACAGGTAACCCTTCCACAATCTGCCGTCAGACCATCTACAGTATAAGAGCCTCAGTAAGAACACACATCACCCTAATATCTCACTACACAGCCTGCAGTTGTTTGGCCTTCTGTGTAAGAGGGTTTCACACACCAGTTTGTGTATGTGTGTGGTTTCAGATCTGTAAAGTGGAGTGATTTCAGTTGGATTATCAATGGGACAGTGTCTTTTTTTTTCTCCTGTCACACCCCTCCGCTCCTATCACTGTCACTTAGCTAAGGAATGGGGGAGAATAATAGTAATAATCCTTGCATTTGATATAGCACCTTATCATAATAATAATAATAATCCTTGCATTTGATATAGCGCTTTTCATGTCCTCTAAATGTCCGAAAGCGCTTCACAGAATATACTGTAAAGTGAATTGACTATATTTGTGGGTGAACGCAGCAGCCAATTGCACACAGCAGTGTTCCACAAACAGTCGTAGATTGAAAATGATCAATTTATTATTGTTTTTTTTGGAGGGATTATTATTAGGCTCTGTGTGGAGTATGGAAACTTGCCCAAGGTTTCGCCCTGTCTGGAATTGAACTCAGGTCTCTCGCTTGCAAAGCGAGTGCTCTAACCACTGAGCTACAGGACTCCACCTGTATCACGCTTTGTTATCACGTCTTCGAGACGTCTCAAAGAGCTTCACAGAATATACTGCAAAATGAATTGACCGGATGTTTTGGGATAAGTCGGATAAGTCCCTGTCGGACACAGCCTGACAATACTCACTGTCCAATATAATAATCCTTGGATTTGATAAAGCGCCTTAGCACGTCATTGGGACATCTCAAAGTGCTTCACGGTTTACAATGTAAAGTGGAGTGACTGGGTATTTTGTGAGCAAAACGCGGCACAGCAATGCGCCACAAACAAGCCATGGAGTGAGTGAGTGATCAATTTTATTCAGGGGATTGTTGGCCAGGACACCAGGAGAGAGAAACTCCCTTGCTTTTCGAATAGTGCCACGGGGAATCTTTAACGTCCACCTGAACAGGCAGACGGGACCTCGATTTAACGCCGAGGTTTAAGGACAGGATGAGACCCTAAACCACGAGCACTGATGGAGAAACTTAGCATCCACTGATGGGTAGCAGAGACCATTTGTTTGTGTATTCGTAAGGTTACCTGTAAATGTGTATCTCTGAATCAATACGATAAACTAGGGAGCAGAAGATTTATAGCCTGTTAATGTAGCTTACTGGGAGCATTGCACTTTGATATCTTATTTAATCTGTAGCAATACTTTTAACTGCAACAGCATAATGGGCTTCTAAGATATTTGCTATTTGACAGTTAAGCGTCAGATAGATAGTTATTGTGTGTTTGTTATTCACACCGTTCAGATAATACCTCCACTAATCTTCAGTTGTATTCATGGCATTGATCCCATTGCTTTGTGATTCTTGGTAACTTGTTTCATCAGGAAACAGCCATAATGACCAAACATGAATCACGGTCGAGAGTTCATCCTGATTTCTGTACTGTGCCCCATATAATCACACAAACTATGGGTCTGCTCAAGGTCTGCCATGCACTGCAACAGATCGCAAATTAGACTTCAGCCTCCATTTGTACAATGCTTCCGTCCCTTTGAACCGGTCACTTGCCTTTACTCGAAAGCCTGCAAAATGAGCGTTGAGCATTGGTGGTTTTGTGTGTGTGTGTGTGTGTGAGAGAAAGTCTCTGTGTTTGTGTGTGTGTGTGTGTGCGCGTATGTTTGTCTATTCTGTATTGTTTGTCTATTATGTATGTGCACGTGTGTGAGAGAAAGTCTCTGTGTTTGTGTGTGGGTGTGTCTGTGAAAAAGTCTTAGTGTGTATATGTGTTTCTATTATGAATTAGTCTGTGTGCATCTATTGTGAGACTGTCTGCGTGTGTGTGTGTGTGTGTGTCTATTGTGTGTGTGTATGTAGCCACACCCCAGTGAAATGAATAAGAAGCAAAACTGGTTTGAGGGAAGAGGAAGGAGACATTATGGGATTATCAAGTAAAACCATGATGCTGCGAAAATCTTAAAGTTTGTTTCTTTCTTTCATCACAGTTCCATTGATTCGATACATGGAATCGAGGATTATGATCCCACTGAAGATCTCCCCTTTACAGTGATTCTGTTTAAAACTCTTTCCTAGTGGTTTCCTTGTGTTCTTTCTAGCCTGTGTTCCGAGTGAGGGCCAAGGGGCTTGTGTTTTGTTTCCTCTCGTATTCGCCATCAGTCAAACGTAAGCCATCTGCAACGGAAATAATGATGTTTCCCCAAGTTTCCTGTCTGTGATGTGCTAAAGTCAATGGACACTTGGTGGACGAACAATGCTTGCAATTCCTCCTTTTGTGAGAACCCGTCTGATCTCCAAGCCAACAATTAATGACGTCTGACAATGAATCATGATTAATAAATACGTTCATGCGTACATTACACACACACACACACACAAAGAGTTAATAAACTAATCCCAATCTAGTCGTTGTAATGCTCCATTCCCCCTTTTCTATTCTCTCAAGGATAATACACTACCACTAATGTATTTGGTTTAAAGGGTTTGGATGTGTGGAAAGGACTGATGGGGAAGGTATCTGACCATTTATCACACCTATGAAAAATGATTATGTCAACAGGTGACAAATGTCTTTCAAGCCCCCTCCCCATCCCTCAATTAAATTGAAAAGAGAACATCTTTAAAGTACATTGTAATAGGAGGAGTCCATTTGCCAGAGCGAGCCTGTTCCGCAGTTTACCAGATGATTGCAGGTCAAATACATTCCTCTTCAGGAGTGTATTTGGAAGCTATTCGGCCATTGACTTGTTACACAATGTCAGGTATGTTCTGGAGGCCACCCACACAACCTACACACCCTTTAAACGATTCCATTTTAACTGGGCTATCCGCCCACAAACTCTTGTTAGGTAAGTTATAATCATATAATAAACCTTGAATTTGATATAGCGCCTTATCATGTCGTTGAGACACCTCAAAGCGCTTCATAGAATATACTGTAAAGTGAATTGACTATATCTTGTGGATGAAATAAGGCAGCCAATTGTGTGCAGCAGTGTCCCACGCACAGTTGTGGATTGAGTGACCAAATTATTGTTATTTTTTCAGTGAATTATTACCCATGGAAAGCGATCTGCCAATTGACTAACAATGGCGTTCCTACTGACTGCTAGATAAACAGAGGCGCGTGAAGTAAGGACACTTGCCTAAAGTTTCACCCCCACCCGGGCATTGAACCCAGGACCTCTTGTGAGTCAAATGCTCTAGCGAGTCTCACCAATGATCGTTTGATGACTATTGATTCCACATGAATCAATTGCCCCAAAAATTCACCCAGTCCCAGCCTGTAAAGGCTCCTTTCTCCCAGATTCCAGGCCAACAGATAAAATTGGCCCTTTATTTCCTGGCTGTTTGTATGGGCATATTGCTGTGTGCAAATTGTCTGCCACGTTCACCTACGAAATACACATTTGCTATAATTTACAGTGAATCCTGTGAAGCGCTTTGAGACGTCTACCTGATGTGAAAGGCACTATCAAATGCAAGGATTATTACTACTGTTTTTAGATGGCCAAGATTGTGGAAAATTCTTAAGTTCAGTCTTAACTTTACAAGCCGATTTTCTGCAGTTCTTAAAAGTGAAACTGGCTTCAAAATGAGGATCAAACCTCAAGAAATTTACACAATTCTGCGCTGTCGTACACTTTAAGAGGGGAAATGGTCAGACTTACAAGCCAAGATCAATTGTAATTTCAGGCGAAAGTATTTTAGTAATTGAAATGCAATGAAACACTTTTTTTTAGCAATCTGACTACGCAGAGTTGAAACGTTTGTCAAATGAACAGTTTACAGTGAAATGTTTCGAAAGCGTGTGGTTGATTAATTTCGGTGTGCACTGTGATATATTTTTAAACGAGGCGTGTCATTTTTAATTGCCGATCTGATTAAAATGTACATTTTGAAGTCGCGAAAGTCTGGGTTCTTTTACTCCAAGCTGATTAGTAACAACAACAACTTGTGTTTATATAGTGCACCTCACGCGGGGTAGCGTCCTGGAGCGCTTTAGTTAGGGCTCAATTCCCTTTATGTGCAACTAACGACAGTGGGCACGATCTCAGAGTAAATGTGAGCAGATAAATTAAGAGGTTCGAAGGCATTTCTTCACTCAGAGGAGGATTGGGATTTATAACCTCTAGTCCTAATTGAGGCTCCAAAAACGGAATTATTTCAAAGGGAAGTGGATTAAGAAGATGAGGAACAAATATTAAGGGATTTGGGATGAGCCCTGTTAAAACACAGTGTTAAACCTCCAGCACCTTGGGATGTCTTCCCAACGTGAAAGGCGCTATACAAATGTAATTTTGTTGTGAAAACACAAGCCAAATGGCATTGAAATTGGAACGCGAGTCGTTCAAAGGAGACACGTTTGCTTCCACCTAGAGTTCGAGCTTTGTCCTTGCAGCTTTGGTAGAAGTGAGCAATTTACTGCCGCGTTTTGCCTACAAAGTATACAGTTTACAGTATATACAGTACATACAGAGAGTCTACAGATTAACCGAAATTCATCTTAAAACTATTCTGCCTGGACTTTAATGTTCAAGTTCCCACAGCTTCAGGGCAGGAACTCAAGCCCTGAGCCCTTTCCCCCTTTTTTTATTGTCTGCTGTTTGCAAACTGGCTGCCGCATTTCGCCCACAAAACGCACAACCGTCAAACCACTTTGCAGCGTGTGGTATGCCGTGAAGCGCTTTGAGATGCCTCCACGGCACGATAACGTGCTATATCAAATGCAAGGATTATTAGTAGCAGCAGTACCCTCCGGAAAGCGATCCGCCAATCCACTAACAACCGGGTTTCCGAAATAACGCTCGATAAACCGAGGCGTGGGGCGGAGAGGCGGGGGGGGGGAACCCTCCTAACGTTGCGCCCCGCCCCTCCCCCCCCCCTCCCCGCCCCGCCCCGCCCGGGAATCGCGACCCCAAGCCGGGTCCTCTCCGCTTCTGCGAGCCGAGCGCGCTGACCGCTACTCTCTGCGCCGGAATTTCATCCCCTTCCCTCTGCCGCCCCAACTCCGCAGCTACCCCCCCCCCCCCCCCCCAACCCCTGACACCAAGATGGGAGGGGGAAATGAATATTCAGGGAACACAGACGATGTCCAGTGGTGGAGATGCAATCGTCACACTTGCTTTTGTGGTGGAGAGGGCGATACAGAAGGCGTCTCTGGGTTGCTTGGTAACCGAGGTGTATGTATGTATGTTGCTGTGGGGTTTTGTCTAATGCTCTGAGGACCTGAAACATACCCAAGTGGGTGGGGGGTGGGATTCCTGGGCCAGACATTCTCTCCCACACCCCATTTCTCCTCCTCGATTCTTTTTTTTTTTTTTTTTTTTTGGGGGTGGAATTAGAACCCGACCAAGAGAGATGGCGTTTCATTTAGAAGACTATTTCACCACTGTGTTCCAAGACCAACTCTTGGTGTGAGTTTTAAAGGGCGATCGTGGGGGTGGGGGGGTGGGGGGGGGGGAAGGGGAGGGGAGGGGGGTTTGGTGGGTGGGATGGGGTGGGGAGGGGGGTGTTGGTGACTGTCAGTGTGGGTTGAGGACAGAGAGAGAGAGAAGGAGAGAGAGAGAGAGAGACACACACACACAGTGTTTGTGCAACTTTGCACAGCTTTGCTCTTTTTTTTCCTCCCAACTTTGCAAAAAAAAAATGAAATGCAAATTCTATTGGAATCCTACTCCTGTCCCGACTTGTGGAGTGTTTTTTTTTTGCTCCCCCCCACCCCCCAACCCCACCCCCCCCACCCCCACCCCAGATGATGCATTTAATTAAAAAAGCAATTCGCAACCCAATCGACTTAGACCGAATTAGTCCTGGATTTTGCAACGGTTTCTTTCTGATTCAATGCCTTGTCTTTTGCTTTTGTTGCTGTTGCTATTCGTTTTTTTTTTCGCAGCGATAAAACTGTTACAAGTTTTTTTTTCCAATTCGGATTTCTTAAAAGAGTTTGCACTTGACCTGCGAGAAATGCTCTGCCACCCCAGTTTCAGTGCATTGGCCGTTAAGAAGCAGAAATATTGCACGATATTGCCCGACAGAAATACTCTAACGTAATGCCACGTCGACACATGGAGTTGTGCAAAGAAACACTTAAGTAAAAATCACATACGATTAGACTTTATTCGTGGGAATGAGGCGTTTTATAACTTCCCTCTTTTTTAGTTGTTTTTTTTTCCTCCTTTTATCATATTTTCCTCATGCTAAATATTATTAAGTAATATATTAAATTTACAAAACTTAAGAATTGAGATAAACGATGTGGGGGGTCCCCTGATTATCTGTGAACATATGTGTGTGTATGTATGCATGTATGTATATGCTTATGTGTGTATGTGTATGCTTAAGTGTGTGAACATCTGTATATTTACATACGTGTTTATATCCGTATCTGTATAAGTGTGCATATGTAGATGTGTGAATATCTGTATATTTATATGCATGTTTATATCCATGTCTGTTATATGTGTATATGTAGACGCGTTTGTGTGTGTATGCAGGTATCTGTATATCATACGTGTTTGTATGTGTGTGTGTGTGTCTAGGGATGAGGCAAATTGTAAGCTGTTTAAAGATATTTCTTAATGAAGATCAAGAAATAGATCTTAGAACCTTGTGCAGTTATGATTCAGACAAGTATGTATATTTTTTATGCCACTTTCCATTGACAGCGATGGGGCGGCGTTTTGTGTTCAGCAGTGATCCACTAAGAGCCATGAAGTGAATGATCAATTTTATTTGGGGGATTGTTGGCCAGGAGAGAAACTGCAGTCTGTTTTCAAGTAATACCATGGATCCATCTTTACAGGACCTAAGTTTAAGGTTTCATCTGAAGGTCGCACTATCAACAAGCTCTATCGCTATCAGCATATCCCCAGACTGCATTAGAGGGTCAGCTAGACTAATACTCTAGGCTGACACCCCAATGCGGTGAGTTCTAAATCCCAATGTGGGGCTTGAATCCACAACCTTCTGTGTCAAGAGGAGAGAGGGCTACCAATGAGCCAGGCCGACATCTAAAGGCTCCACTAAGTAAAAAAAAACTTATATAAGTGGCAGGTGGTTAAACAGGAAAACACAGCCGCTAATTTGTACCAGTAACGCCTCACAAACAGTACTCTGAGGCGTTTAATGTGATAAAGTGTTTTGTCAAATGCAAGTGTTATTTACTTAAGCCACTGAATGCCATGCAGTCAGTGGAAAAATCAGATAGCCAGAGTTAATGAAAGGAACTCATCCCTTATGAAGCGCTTTCGATATCATTGAATTGAAGTATGGCGAAGCACTTCGAATATAATTCACCGTTCCCTCACAGGTCAGTACACTTGAGCTGAGCGCATCTGCCCATTCATTGTGTTGGCTCTCCATCGCAGAGACTGCAATGAAATGGAGACTTGGCGGCAGTTTCTTTACTTTTTCATTCATCCTTTATTGAAAACTAGTCGGTAATTCGTTGTTTGCCAGTCACAGAATCTCGGCTTCAACCCCTGACAAGTAATAATAATAATAATCCTTGCATTTGATATAGTGTTCAAAGTGGTTGGCAGTTTGCACACAGCAATGCCCCACAAACGGCCATGGAGTGAGTGATGGCTTTTATTTGGGATTTATTTGTGATTCCAAATGCCGACATGGGGGCTTGAACCCACAACCTTCTGAGTCAGAGACGAGAGCGTAACCACTGCACCAGTCTGACACACAATACTCGTGTTGACTGGTTTCTCTTCTTTCCTTCCATAAAGAAAACTGCCAGAGAGAGACACTGCAAACCTCACCACTGCCACTCAACTGCTGGAGAAAAGACAACAGTTACTCCAGTTGGAAGAAGCTCTAGGCAATCAAAAAGAGGTAGAGACAGAAACCAAGAATTTGTCCAACAACAACAACAACAAAATTACATTTGTATAGCGCCTTTCAAGTCGGGAGGATGTCCCAAGGCACTGGACACTTAGAGTTTCGGACCCGAGCTGGGGGTCGGGATCGGGGAGGTTGGAGGGCAAGGGGGGAAGCAGGGAGATCAAAAGCACGGTCGAAGAGGAGGGTCTTGAGATGGGTCTTGAAGGAGGCAAGGGAGGGGGCGAGGCGGAGAGACTGCGGGATTGAAAATTGTGGATCATAAACCCAATGGGCAAAGCTCTAAGTAATGTGAGCCTATTCACAGAAACAGAGAGGAAGTTAAACTCTTAGTCTAACGATTGGCATTTTAATATATGTCTCATCTCATTCCTGTTTATCCAGAGCATAAAGCATTTTCTCACTGCACTCTATAAACTACACTGTAGTCTGAACCAATGATTTTTCCAGGGGTTGCCATATGACAGTTTGTACAGCGCCTTTCACATTGGGAAGATGTCTCGAAGTGCTTCACAAAACTGACTAGGAGCCTCAGGTTAATAAGTGGAGGTGGGTTTTGGGAGTAGGGAGGTGATTTTTTTTTGCTAAGCCGGGTGTCGTGATACACACGGAAACTCATCACCATAAGAGTCTCCAAACCAAACTGAGAATTCCATGCATCCCACCTATACATGGAAATCCCAGAGATAGATTGTTGGAATGGAAAGCGCACTCTCTCCCTCCCTGGAGTGTTGCATAAAAGTACAATTTCTCCTTCCGCAGGAGTTTGAGGCGAAAATGGATTCTTTGAAGTTCAGAAGACAGGAACTCAAATACAAGGAAGGGGAACTGAAGGAACAAATTGTTAAATTTGAGAAATTCCTGAAGGTGAGTGCATGTTTTCAGCGATGCCTGTTCAAGCATCTTTTCCATCGCACATGATAAAAATACCCAAATGAAGAGTTTTTAACACAATATTAAATATTCCTTGTGTTTGCTACAGCACCTACAGCACAGTCCACATCAGGGCTTCTCAAAGCGCTTCAGACAATTTATTATAAATTATAATAATAATAATAATCCTTGCATTTGATATAGTGCCTCATCACATCATTGAGGCGTCTCAAAGCGCTTCACAGAATATACTGTAAAGTGAATTGACTGTGTATTTTGGGTGCGAAAGCATCAGGATATTGTTTACAGCAGTGTCCGACAAACAGTCGTGGTTTGAGTGACCACATTTATTTTGGAGGGATTATTATCCCCCGAAAAGTCCGACTAAGACTTACTGCTCAGTAAATAGAGGTGTGTGAAGTCAGGAAATTTGCCTAAGGTTTTGCCCTCTCTGGGAATCGAAGCCGGGCCCTCTTGCTTGCGAGGCGAGCGTGCTAACCACTATGCTACGGGACTCCACATCAGGAGGGCTTCTCAAGGTGCTTCAGAGGATTTACTATAAAGTGTAGTGACTGTGTATTTATCAGGTGAAGAAATTTAGTGTGCAAGCCAGCGTTACCTCGAAATTCTGAGATGAATATTCACAAAAATAACTCTTGCTCCCGGCTCCCCCCACCCTCCCACCCCAATCCCTTTCCCAAGGAAAACGATTCCAAGCGGAAAAGGGCTTACAATAAAGCAAACATGGAACAAGAACTGATTAAGCAAAAAGAGAGGGACATATTGAAACTGCTCCAGGAAATGGATAGAATCATACAACAGAACATCAAACTGAAGAAAAAGCTGCAAAAATACGCCATTTACCTAAACTATATGGAACAAGTGACACAACTCTCAGAGGAGGTAAGATAACAACCTGCATTTGGATAGCGTTAAGTCTTTGGAGGGATTCCGCATTTGATAAGTCACAACGGTGCTGAATTCCTACTTATATATACATACAAGCTTTCGGGGTTCTACTCCACAGGAGAGGAAAATTGGCTACTTTCTTATCTCTCAGTATAATAATAATAATCCTTGCATTTGATAGAGCGCCTTATCATGTCGTTAAGACACCTCAAAGAGCTTCACAGAATATACTGCAAAGTTGACTGACTGTGTATTTTGTGGGCGAAACACGGCAGCCAATTGTACACAGCAACGTCCCACAACCAGTCGTGGATTGAGCGGCCTCATTTTTGGGGGGAAGGGATTATTACCCCCAGAAAGCGATCTTCCAAACGATTCATGACCGAGTTCCTACCTACTGCTAGGTAGACAGAGGCGTGTGGTGGAGTAAGGAAACTTGCCTAAGGTTTTGCCCCACCGGGAATCAAACCCGTGTCCTCTCTTGCGAGACGAGCGCTCTAACCACTACGCTATGGGACTCCACAGAACATAGTTCTGGTTCCACAACATCACCGTTTAACAGTTTCAGGAGCCGACTGTGGCGAAAGCTCGTTTCGAGACCCTGATCATCACTAGGGATGACCTGCTGATGAGCGAAGGCGAAAACCAGGCGGCTATCAAAGAGATTAAAAACAGACTGACTAAATTCGTGAAGCAAAAGAGCAACGACATCTTGATGTACAACAATGACCTGACCAACAAACAGAACCAACTGGAGCGAGCCAAAATGCATACTATGAAACTGGTAAGCGTCGATCAGGAATAATCAAATAAATGATCAAATAAAGCAGCCATAAGGCAGCACCCTATCTGACTTGAAGTCCCAGCTTCTGCGAAGCACAGTTTAGTGCTGATATCAACATCTGCAATGAACACTGCTACTGTATGTATTTCTTTGTTGCAATACAGGAGGTCAGTAACTGCTATGGAAGTGAAAAGGTATTATTACTAATAATTCTACCATTGTAATGAGGCAGCTGTAACTTTGAAATGTCTCAGAGCTTTGCAGGCAATTTTTGACAAGTGCGGGTGAACCCGCAGCCAATTTGCACACATATTGCTAAAATGTGAAGTACCTCTAATAACTAAAATTGCAAACACTTATTTCTGCTTAGGAGAAGGCAGTGAAAGCCGGCATTTCATTATTTGAGCCCAAATGAATTTTAAAGGCCGTTTCCTCTGGAGAATAACTTTTTAAATTGATGTTTTGAGGTGAGGTGATAAACACGTTAATTGCAGAGTAATTGAAATTGTGCTGTGTTGTAACTTATCCAGGAGGCAAGTTGGACTGTAATTCAGAACACGGCAGCTAAAAGGACACTGGTGTTGGGCACAGTAAGGATGGCAGTTCAGAACCTTCACAACATTGTAAAGAAGGAACAAGGCTTACTAATGGAATGCCCTGTGGGGGAAATCAATGGACAGCTTGACACGGTGAGTTGTACCAGTTGTTTATCACATTCAATTCTATTCCACCCTCATTTTAAAGCTTTTATGTTTAGTTGGCGTAGCGTAGTGTTTACCGCGCTCGCCTCGCAAGTGAGAGGATTCGGGTTTGATTTCTGAGCAGAGTGAAACCTTACACCATAGAAGGTACAATGAGACTTGGTTAGTTTCTAAACTAGCAGTTTCATTAAGGCACTGTAAGTGACAAGCTCTGCGGTTTTAACTGGTGAAGTACCTCACTGCATAGTCCGAAATACCCCCAAACAATTTAGCTCTTGCCACCCTGTGCCAGATGTGTTTAGGAATTGGGTAGGAGGGGACATTCCCTCCAGAGAGTTGAGTCCAGACAGACAAGGGGAAATGTGATCGATTCTCATCTTCAAAAAGAACAAGCTGTCACTGAGAACATTACTGTAGATATGAGGACAGGTTGAAATTATGATGAGCCCAAATACTTCACAGAACACAATGGATTCCTGTGTTTTTGTATCCATGGAAGAAGAATGTAGGCCAGGATTTAATAGTGTAAATGTGTGCCAATTGCCAAATTAGCGTTGGGCATTACTATTTGAGCAACTGATTTATCTCATTTTAAGTGGTGCTTGAAAACCATTCAGAATGAACCGAGACATGCTGATCTGTTTCTGAAACTCTCGACAGATCCAACAGTACCTGTTGGACTTGAAGGAAATGTTAATTGACATCTATAAGAGGGATACGGTCATAAGTGCGAGTACACTACTGTTCCTGAAAAAATGGTAATGTTAACCTTTTGTAGCTATTCCTCATTAACATTACAGAACTACAGAAATATAGCCCAGCCCGTTACAGCACAGGTGTAACACAGACCATCGTTGATGCAGTGTTAAGTGCTTTGCACTTCCAGTCTGTGGCACACAAGAGGAGAAAAAATAGCATCTCGATGTGTCTCAGTACGGCCCGGATGAGATGTTCAGGTGGATGTTAAAAGATCTCGTAGCACTATTCGAAAAGAGTTTCTCTCTCCTGGTGTCCTGGCCAATCCCCCCCTCCCAACCCAATAAAATTAGTCACTGACTCCATGGCTGTTTGTGGAACATTGGTACACAACTGGCTGCCACGTTTCACCCAGAAAACACACAGGCAATCCACTTTACAGTATATCCTGTGAACTGCTTTGAGAAATCTCAATGTCATAAATCATGATAATCATTCTTGATTTGTGGCAATAAATCTTGTTATTTTTGTTATTCCTATGATTATTTTGTTGGTCAACTAAAAACGGTTGGTAAATCACTTAAGAATTTGCTACTTGCTAATGTTTGATCAGTTTTTTTAGGACACATTTAATTCTCACTGCTTTGTCATGTTATCTGTCTGCAGTTCATCTTGGCAAAAAAAGAACTACAAGACTAACATTTTCTCTCCTCCCACAGAACTTCTTACCCTCTCGTATCACAGTTTTCAATTTTCTTTCTCCGGTTGAAGATTTCAATCAAAGCTGCTCGCTCAATTTTTATTTAATCAATTCACTTAGATTCCATGTTAATCATTCAATAAAAATATTTGTGTAACAGAGAAACATTAATTATTTTACGGGGGAGCTTTTATGACTCGCCCCGCCAGATTTCAGTCCGCTATTGGACGTTTAACCATGAATTCAGAACAAGATATCCCATAGACAAGCTTGGTTAATATTAGCATGTTATGGGCAGACCTCTGTATTTCATATTACTTGCACAATACTCATGTTGAATAAATTGCACGTCTTTTATAAAATAGCGTTTGCTGTCTATTCTCTTTCAGACCACATATAACCAGGACAACTCACACCAGTGTCAGTGCAGTGTATAATCATAATAATAATCCTTGCATTTGACATAGCGCTTTTCACGGCTTCGAGGTGTCGCAAAGCGCTTCACAGTATATGCCAGATCGTTGTGCTCAACAAAGCTTCCTTATGAACGAACACTCGACCTGTCCTTTTTACCTTGCGTCTTATGGGCGTGTGAAAAATTGACGTCACATGGCTTTTTAAAAAAAATAAATCATGCTCCTACTGCTCCCTATTGGCCCAAAACACTGGTATTAATTTAAGCCAAAGTGGTTGCAAACACTAGCTGCAAGTTTAATGTAAGAAAACAGAACTGTCCATCCACCCAGTCGGGTTCGTACGTTTATTTTCCTCTTCTCATTTTCCCCCTTTTGTCTTTGCCTCGTCCGAAGGCCATGCTCTTCATTTCCCTCACGCGCTGTCTGTTCATGCCTTTGATTTTCTTCATCCCTCCCCGTTGCAGGAACAGAGTCTTTGATTTCTTCTTCCTCTCTCGCAGGATGTCGACTTTGCTCTTGAGCTCGGTGCGCACGTTACGTTGTGGCCCTTGCTTTCCTGGGAAAGAGCCAGGCTGGCGTCTTCCACCTGTCAAGTTACACACTTTTAGTACATTGTCCGTTCCCCCCACCCCCCGAAAGAGTAGAAAATCAGGTTCAGCTGATTACAGTAAACCTCACACGAGTTGTATCAGATGGAACGAAACATTCAATATGACTTACGCAAAGCACGAGTAATGTCAAACTTATAAATGGTAGGACTTGAGCAGATAGATGTACGACTTGGGCGATTATATGATTTATATTATACTGTAGTCATTTAAAAAATGAACATTAGATATGTTACCCAAAGTACGTACACAAGTATTAGGATTATGAAAAATTTAAAACGAGACAGCTAGGAATTAGCTGATGAGAACTGAGAATTGACTAGGAAGTTTCATTCGAGAGCAGGAATTATCTGTCGAGACAAGATAAGGTGGATCTGCACATTATAGTCAGGTAATTTAGTTTGGAAATGTTTGATGGGTGAGCTTACAATACTGAATGTGCTACTGCTTACGATAGAAGCAAGAAATTTCCTTTCATCAAATTTTGCGTCCTTTACACTTTAGCTTGGATTGAGTTTTGCCTTCACTCTGCAGCTAAAGAAATATGGCGGGGGCTGGTCTCAGCTATAAAAATTCCCACAACTGTCAATTGGACGGACACTGTTCAACACTAACTTGTGTTAGTTGCAAACAGTTATGTTTATTGGATAGATACTGAAGGGTTAGTTAGGTACAATGAACTTTAGTGTAAAAGCAGCCAGCCATACCTCTCGCACCTTTCCTGTGCTTGGGGCCCCGTTGCTCATATTCATTCTCATCATCAGACATTCTATCGTCAATCTTGTATTTTTTCTTCCATTCCTCATAGCTGAATGTTGCTGGTTAAGGATGTTAGCAGAATCCATCTGGGATATTTCGCCCACAAAATATAGTCAACTCACTTTACAGTACATTCTGTGAAGCGCTTTGAGACGTCTCAAAGACGTGCTGTATCAAATGCGAGGATTATTATATTTGGTAGCTTACCATCCATACCCTATTCAGTCCGTGGTCACGTCATAACTAGTGTTAAATATCAGAATGACCTTTGAAACAAAAGCCACATTAACTTCTACGTGACATCTCGTGACTTGACTTAGTCACTTCTGAAGCTCGCGGACCATAGGAATTGGGAATCACAAAAAAGTGATCTCTCAAATTGCACATTGTCGGGTTGTTCAGAACTTTACAGAAGGTGAAAATATCTTGAAAAAACGATGAACTTTTCTGAATTTTTATGGCTGAAAAACACCAAGTTATCTTTTTTTACTGTTTTAATATTAATCTTCTCTATGGACGTCCCAGGGAGCTAGACCCTCAAGGATGTGAACCCGAGCTGCGGGTTGGGATAGAAGGTGACCGAAGGCGCGTTCGAAGAGGAGGGTCTTGATGGAGGCGAGGGAGGAAGCAGCAATAAAGGATACATGTTTTTCTTGTATGTAGCATTAATGTATCTTCCACTTTCAATTCTTATTTTCTTTACCTCTTTGCCAGTTTCTCTGACAAATCGTTTTTTCTTACGGTCCCTGAACAACAAAAAAAGCAATGTCAATGTTATATGTAGAACTTGAACTTCACATATAGAGTATAGTGTCGAAAGTCTCTAAGCACTTCACAAGGCTTCACTGTAAAGTGCAGCAACTGTGAATTTTTTAGGCAAACACAGCAACCAATTTATGCACGCAACGCCCCACAAACTGCCATGAAGTGAATGACCAATAACTTTTTTGATCTGGAGGACCGTTGGCCTGACTTCCTTTGCTCTTTTCGAACAGCACCCCGGGATCTTTAACGTCTACCCAAACATGCGCAGACGGGATCTCGGTTCAACAACAACATGTTACATTTGTGCAGCATCTTTCATGTTGGAAGGACGTCCCAAAGTGCTGGGCAATCAAGGATGTGCACCTGAGCTGGGGGGTTGGAATCGGGAGGGGGGGGGGGGAAGAGGAGGACAAGGAGGGTGGGGATAGGAGAGTGACTAACGTGGTTGAAGAGGCTCAATATCTTCCTTGATGCCTCATCTGACGGGACAGATTTTACGTATTTCATGATGGTACAGAGATCTTGACTAGGGTAGTGCAAAGGTTGGGATTAGAATTCTTACAGGGAAAGAATGGGAAAAGATCCATAGGTCCATCGAATTCCCACCCAATACTCAAACTACCCTTCTGTGCTATTGTTGGCCAAGGCAGGGGGATATGGAAAAGCAGAGAACACTGGACAATACAACTTACCATTTCATTATCTGTTTGTTCTGCATCATATTTTTAGTTTCATCACCCACCAAGTCCAGCACAGCACCAGAGGCCTGCTGTTCAAAGGTGCTTCCCTCTGCGCCTAGACTTAGCCTAAAACAAAGTGAAAATCAGCTCTAAAATAATCATGGAATCATAGAATTTTACAACACAGGAGGCCATTCAGCCCATAAAGTGAATAAATATAGTTTATGGGCGAAACGCAGCAGCCAATTGTGACCAGTCACACGAACAGTTATTAACTACTGGAAATGATCAGAATAAGAAGGAGCATAAATAGTTACCCTCTCTCTGAGTTGAAGTCCTTTGGCCGATAAGGAATGTAAAATTCCTCATCTTTTCCTTTCTTCCTCTGTTTAAGAGGCTGATCATTGGATTGCTTTTTCCTTTTTCTCCCCACGACTTCGGAGAACACAGCCTGTGAGAAACAAACATACTTTGAATTAGAAATTATATTATAATAATGCTTGCATTTGATATAGCACCATATCGTATCGTTGAGACGTCTCAAAGTGCTTCACAGAACATACTGTAAAGTGAATTGACTGTATTTTCTGGGCAAAACGCGGCAGCCAATTGTGCACAGCAGTGTCCCACAGCCATGGAATTTTTTTAAAAAATTGGGGGATTGTTGACTAGGATATAGGGAGAAACTCCCTTCCCTTTTCGAATAGCGCCATGGGATCTTTAACATCCACTTGATGGAACCTCGATTTAACGTCTCCTCTGAAGGACTTGTAACTAACATAAAGCTGACTCGACCAAATTCTGATTTCCTTCCCTTTAAATTATGTCACGCCTTTCCAAGAACAGAGACAGCCAATCACAAATGTAAGACGCACACTTCAAAGTTCACCCCATTGATGCGGAAGATTTTTCTGACCTCAATGTTGTCTTCGTCAGATTCCTGCTTAGCGAGGACATTGGTTTCCGTTTGGCTTGATGTGCTCATTGAATGACCCGCTTGTTTTTCTTGCTTCACTTTTTGAAACTTCTTTATAACCAGCCTCTGCTTGTCCCGTGTAGCTCTCATAATTTCACTCGCTGTGGTTTTGCTGGTAGAATTGATTTCGAAAATAGTCTGCCCCAAAAAATGTAAGAGAGCTGTTTGTAGCAACAGTTTTAAAACTCTCAAGGATTCAATGAAAACGCAGCACTTATCGCCACAGTACATTAATACTTACAGATCTGGTTTTGTAGTTTTTAATGCTGTCAATAACCTTTAGTCTTTGGAGTTCTGTGTCTTCTAGGTTCGAACCTTAAGAACATAAAAAAAATTCCTGCTCTTAGCTTCTCACTTCATTAAAGAGTTCTTTTGAGTTTTATCCTTCAGCTAAGAAATTAATAATACTAATCCTTGCATTTGATATAGTGCCTTATCACATCTTCTGAGACGTCTCAAAGGGCTTCACAGGATATACTGTAAAGTGAACTGACTATATATTTAGAACTACAACATTAAAATAATCCTTGCATTTAATACAGTCCCTAGAACTTCAAAATGTCTGAAATTTCTGCACAATATTTCTGTCAAGTAGAACGACTGTATTTTATAGTCAAATGCGGCAGTGGTCCCCAAAACAGTCATGAAGTGAATGAACAGACGATCTGGAGGATTATTGGCCAAACACATTACAGTGAATGGTGTAAGAGAATTCTTCTGTGATTATAGCAATTTCTCGCTATAACCATAGCAATACAAAGTGTCTTATCCACTATACTACCACTTGCCCTGCAAGCTTGACATACGTTCATGTACCATATAATGGATGAATGCCTAATGTAGAGAAGTCCATTTCTTTAACTCTCTTTATTGACTCTTGAGAAGGGTCAGGCCTTGACTTCAAATACTGTTTGTAGGCATTCTCCGACACTCTCTTTAGATTCTGAAGATCCAGTGAGGAGTTGTGATCACTGATGAGTAACGATTCTTCATCATCTATAATACTCTGGGGAACTCTGCCATATACTCCATCTGTGTCTGAAAGTGTTAAAGATGAAACAATTTAGACTGTAGTACAATGCAAATTGATGGTGTATTAGCCAGTCTATTACAACAAGGAGGTCAAAACACCCTTGGCATTTATTATTCCGTCTAATGCCAAACACAAAGATTAAGCTACAGGTTCCATGATAAATAATAATAATCTTTATATTTGATATAACTTTTTCCACTTCAAGAGGAAGTCTCAAAGCACTCCACAGGATATACTGTAGAGTGATTGTGCGATAAGCAGCCATATTTTAGTAGCAATGACTTACAACAACAACAAATTACATTTGTATAGCGCCTTTCACATCAAGAGGACATTCTTACATATGATGCCTTCCATTTTATACATGGAAACAAGAAACTTTCTACTGAAATAAGCTTTGTATTTTCTGTTGCACCGGTCAAAAATTTATCAGTGCATGATGTTAACTGAGCTCTGAGACACCGTCCGGTGTGGAGGATGCTATATAAATCCAAGTTGTTGTTGTTGAAGAACAGTTGTAAACGAAACACAAAGAGTTTTCTTATTCCCACCTCCAACCTCAAAAAAAACCATGGAGATGCTTTAAGGCACAAGCAGAGGAGAACCTTTCATTACCCATTGCAATGGTATCTGATTTGGCAAGTTTTAAGGGCCGACCAAGGAACAGATGTAAATCGTAGACATATGCAACTTCATCCAGGGCAACCATTGAGTAAGCCGTGCCACTTTTGCCAGCTCTGGCCACTCGCCCTGTAATAGAAGAACACAGTACAATAAATATCATGCCTTCCAACAGGACATGAATCATTCACGCCTACCAATACAACAGGCTATTTGGAACATTCCCAACTAGACAGCTTTCAAAAGATTTCCTGTTGCACATGAACAGTAACATGCAAACCGCAGCAATATCAATGGCAAGCTATGTGGTTTTAACTGGTTAGACTCTAGCAATTACCTCCAATGCACACTCTGGGGTCCCCCAGCCTCGGCTCTTGCCAACCTGCGCCTAATGCTTTCCGGAATTAGGTAAGCAGGATGCGTCCCTCCAGGAAGAGAGATTGAGAGCATTCCATTCCAACATCTATCTCTGGAATTTCCACGTTTAGGTGGAATTCTCAGTTTGGTTTGGACACTCTTAAGCAAGGTGATGGTTTTTCGCACGAGTCAGACACCCCAGCTGACCAAAAAAAAAATGCAATGTAGAACTACCAAAGGGATTCAAACCTATTTTTCCTAAAGCACTGAGACTTGATAGTCCATGAAATCTGTATCTCCACAAACGTTTTTTTTAAATAATGAACTCAAACTGCCCCCCACCCCCTCCCCAAAAAAGTATCTTAACAACAATGTGCGTTTATATATCGCCCCTCACACAGGGTAGCATCCCAGGGCGCTCATCTCATTCGCTGGGTTTGCAATACAAAGAAGTTACACAAACGGCAGTTCCTGAACGGGACCGATTAATGGGACACTGTCGTCTGCAGCGATCTTTCCAATGTAAAGATCGAGACGATTCAGAACTCTAATCAATCTCTACCCGTTAACGGTCTCATAAGTTTGCTTACCAACTCGATGCAGAAAAAGCTTGGCTTTGGGTGGGAAGTTGTAATTGATGACATTATCCAACATGGGGATGTCAATTCCACGAGCTGCCACATCCGTCACGATCATCACCATACACTTTCTGTGGATGAATTTCCCGATGTTGATTTTTCTGGCGGTTTGGTCTAAGGCGCTGTAGCTATGTGTACAGTCGATACCCTCTTTGGTGAGCAACTAATGGAAATAAGAGCATCTGAATGTGGGCTTCAGTGTAAATAATGCAAACACATTACATTGGGATAATTGTTCCCTAAAGAAAGACTGTGCAAGGAAACCAGGACTCAGATGCAGGTATTTCAATAAAACTGGAAATTTGCAAAAAGTTAACTCAAGGAACTAGATAACTCAGATAAAATCACTTCTAACCTTACTGGTTAGTTAGACTTGTAAACCTAAGTTATCCATTTACCATTTTTGACATGGAAGAGAATAAATACTTTTTCCAAAAGATTAAAGCCAACGCTAATGGAAAATTAAAAATAACTCTTTAATTTTAATGAGTTTATTGCGATGTTCTCATTTACGCTCATATTTGACACCAACCTCTTTTAGGTATTCAACGTGATGTTTGGTAGCAGCAAAGATGACAGTCTGTTCCTGAGGTTTGATCACATTTCTTAACAGGTGAAGCAGCACAGCTGGCTTATCATCTGCCCTCACGTTAAAAAAGGCCAACTTAAAATATCAGAGAGAAGTATATTTTAGCACAGAAAGGGCAGTTTTCCAATCCTTAAATCACATATAAATCACAAAGCTGCCTAAAGCATGACTGACTTCTCCACAAACGGCGGTCAGTCCTTCAGCCTTTCTGCCTTGGCCCATTCTGGAGAACCTCCGCATCACTCTCTCGCTTCCTTCAAGGCCCGTCTCAAGACTTTCCTCTTGGACAGCGCCTTTGGTCAAACTTCCTACACTCCCTCTACCTGCCCTCCACCCCTCCTGATCCGAACCCTCAGCTCAGGTCCAAATCCCTGACTGTCCAGCTCTTTTTAATAATGATAAGAAAAAGATTCCATTCCCAACAAAAATATTTGGAGTTTTTGCACAAAGCAATGAAAAGATTAACCAGTGCAAGCACATCAGTTAACACACAAATTAAATACTCTCTATGTAACCTTCAAATTGTGATTACTTTGTAGGTTTATTTAAGAGTACATCTATTGACCAGTTCTAAAACATTCTTACCTTTAGATTTTCGCTCAGCTTACTGTCTACATCCAGCCGAATTAGAACTGGTTCGGTCAAACCTGGAACAGGGGGTAAGATTCTTTTTCGTTACTAAATTTTATTTTAAAAAAATGTTTTTTTTAAAAAAAGAAGTTTCCCTGATGGCCTGGGCTGCAGCACTGAGTCGTACACATCAAAAAGATTCAGGTTTAAATCGCAGACTGTGCTGAATTGGCTGATTCTGGCTGGGGCACAACAATTTGGCCTCAGTTCTCTTGGGCCACTGAACGAAAAATTAGCTAGGGTCCAGGGTCTAATCGCTATCCATTGATCCCAGATGGAATGTGTGCTTGTGCAAACATTAAGCCCAGGTTAAGCTCAGCACGAATCAGCAAATTCAGGAGAGAAGGGAAGAAAGTGCCCAAATTAAAGCATTTTGACCTCAGTTTACAAAATTCAAACAAGCGTTTAAAATTGTTTCAGGCCATATCAATAGGATCACCAGGGAAAGCACTGCATATCACTGTAAACTATTGATTTAAGAGTCTATCACCCGTACCGGATGGGTAAAAAACTTTTGAGGGATGAGTATAGTAATTCTTAAATGAATTAATTCGGAACTCCATCCCCACAGTCTCCCATCTCAAGACCTTCCTTTTTGACCGCGCCTTCGATCACCCTCCTACCCATCACTTTTCCTGATCCCGTCCCCCAGCTCAGGTCCAAATCCTTGACTGTCCAGAGCATTGGAATGTCCTTCCGATGTGAAAGGCGCTATATCAAATGCAAGAATTATTATTATTATTTACCGGCACTTGCAAACTCCACCAGCTGTTTGGGTAGGGTGGCTGAAAAGAGCAGAGTCTGTCTGGAGTCTGGCAACCTTCGAATAATCTCTTGTAGTTGTTCCGCAAATCCCATTTCAAACAATCTGCCACACACAAAAAAANTCCAAATGTCAATAATGCTGATTTTAACCGCAATCTTGGACTACTTTTACAGTCATTGACTTCCATTGCGAAACATAAAGAATGAAAATATCAGGGAGTGTATTTTCTACTCAAGAGTTGATGCATATTTTTGTATAAAGGGGGCGAAACTTCGGCAAGTTTCCTTACTCCATATGCCTATGTGTAAAAATTCAAACCATCATACACGAGTAGATACTTATGTCTGTCTCTTTGAGGTCAAGAAATGTTGAAAATCGAGGGAAGTACATTCTTAACAGTGTACCAATTGCAGACGTATAGATTCACCAAATGCATTTCAATCTTTACTTGAAGGTCCCGGTCAGAACAGGGTATAAGAATATCTAACCTGTCTGCTTCATCAAACACCACATATTCCATACTGCGTAGCTTGAGGTTCATCTCCACAACCACGTGCATCAATCGACCTGGTGTGGCAATTATTCTGTAAAGATAAAGGGACACAAAATAATCAGGGAACGGTGGCAAGCATTCACCTGCCCATCAAGTCTAATGTAAATCAAAAGTTCAAAGTATTAGTCTTGAAAATAACGAAGTCATTTGCTTGTTGGGTTCAGGCTTATATTGGTGGTTGTGTATACTCCTGGATACCTCTCCCCATATCCCTTACGGTCGGATTTTCCTGACACTTTTCAAAACATGTTAATAAGAACATATTCTACCAAGATTATTATTAATAATAATTTGGTCACTCAACCCATGTCTGTTTATGGGACTCTGCTGTGTGCAATTGGCTTCTGTATTTTGCCCACAAAATATACAGTCAATTCACTTTACACTATATTCTGTGAAGCGCTTTGAGACCATTCAGCGACGTGACACGGTGCTATATCAAATGCAAGGATTATTATTATTTATTTATTCATTTATTTAAGTCAACTTACATATCAGGGTTTTCATGCAGCGCTGAAAACTGATCCTCCATTCTGATAAAATAAACACATAGACACTTTGCATTAAACTTTGACCTTGTTCATTGCTCGCCCATTACATTACACCAAGAAACGTATGCATTCGTTTCCATCTAAATCATACTCACTTGTCTCCACCCAAGATTAACGCTGTTTTGAGCCCAGCAAATTTTCCAAGCTAGGTTCAAGAAAAGAAAACCAGAAGGCACTTTTTAATTTTATTAACCATGTTATTAGCGTTTTGTAACATATGTGCAGTGCAATAAGAATTTTGAGATTTTAAAGAAACAAAATTATAGTGTTGTCCTCCACCGCACAGATATGGTTCCTATCAATAATCTATATCTATTATAATCCAAACAACATTGGCTATATTTAAGTGTTAATATCCAAACACAAGACGAACACTCAGATACCAGGAAATAGTTTACCTCTTTTGTGAACTTCATGGTCTGTAACGCCAGCTCTCTCGTTGGAGTCAGGACCAAAGCTCTTGCTCCAGTCTGGGCACTGTGGACTTTTAACCGCTCGAACATTGGGACGAGGAAGGCTGCAGTTTTACCACTGCCTGTCCTAGCCATAGCAACAACATCCTTGCCATCCAGTATGATTGGGATTGTCTAAAACAGAACACAATATTAATAGTTTGAAAAATTTTGCCCACAAAATATAGACATTTCACTTTGAAGTATATCCTGTGAAGCGCTTTGAGACGTCTCAATGATGTGATAAGGTGCTATATCAAATGCCTGGATTATTATTAATATTATGTTAGCATTCAGTTCTATTCCTAAACTGATTTCTTAAGATAACAGTAGCTTTCAAATACTAATGACTACTGGATCAGCTTCTCAATCATTCTTGCATGCTTATACATGCAAATCTGAGTTTCAGCGGAGCGGATTATTGCGTGTAGCAAGTGACATTTCAAGCAGCTTGTTCTGTTAGTTACCTTTCTTTGAATCGGTGTTGGTATTTTGTATCCTTTCTTCATCACGCCTTTGAATACAGGAAAACTTAAACCTGTCAAAAGGCAAAACAGAAATGATGGGATTCCAGCAATCTTCAAAATATCACCATTGTGAAGCTAGTCCTGCTAGAGACTGCACAGCACTTTAGGTCATCCTCCTGATGTGAAAAGCACTACACAAATGTAATTTGTTGTTGTTGTTGTTGTTACGCATACCCATGGACTGAAAGCCTCCAGATTTTTTCTTCTTCTTGTTTTGCTGCCGCACCATTTCCCTTGTGTCCAGTTCCATGTCCGACGGGCATTCAGCTGATGGGAAGCTTAGTAGTGGTTTGGTGGTGTCCTGGGGGGAAGCAAACGCAACAAGGATATTCATTTTAAGCTGAACATTGTTTCTGAATAATAATAAAAATACTTTGTAGTATTTGCTTAACAAATCATTTCAGTCCTTGTGCTCGCTGCATCAAAAGCATTTCGAGATAATCTGAAAGGACCTGTATTGCAACTCTTCTCTAACTGAATAGCATCAAAGGATCCTTTTCGTCCAGCTATAAAGATAAGACTGGAAATCTTCAACAGTACAGCAAGGCCCAGCACTGGAGCATCAACAACAACAACAACAAAATGACATTTATATGGCGCCTTTCACCTAAAGAGTGAAGTTTGAAACCTCAACCCTCTGACTCAGAGGCGATGAAACCTACTGACAGACCCAAGCTATCCTGCGAGGAGAAATAAGGGCAGTCCTGTGGGTAGAAAGAGGGGGACCCAGGACTGTTCTGTTGGGGGGGGGGGAGGGGGTTATCTGGGCCTGTGGAGTCCTGTAGCTCAGTGGTTAGAGCACTCGCTTTGCAAGTGAGAGACCTGAGTTCAATTCCAGGCAGAGGGCGAAACCTTGGGCGAGTTTCCTTACTCCACACACAGAGCCTAATAATAATCCCTCCAAAACCAACAATAATAAATTGGTCATTTTCAGTCCACGACTGTTTGTGGGACACTGCTGTGCGCAATCGGCCGCCGCGTTCGCCCACAAATATACGGTCAATTCGCTTTACAGTACGTTCTGTGAAGCGCTTTGGGACGTCCTCCCGACGTGAAAAGCGCTATATCAAGTGCAAGGATTATTATTATTATTATTATTATTATACGGAGGGAGGGAGGGAGGGGGCACTTACCACCTCACTGTCCTCACTGGCAGCATCACCCTTCTCAATGAAAGGGGCCAAATCGAACTCTCCTCCGTCGCTCTCCAGGTCCATCTCATGGTCGTGGCTCCGGCGCTGTTTCCTGCGTTTGTAGTTACTCTTCTTTTTCTGTGCCATCTCCCCCTCCCCCTCCCCACCGCGTCTGTGTCTGGGTATGTGTCTGTCTGTGTGTGTCTCTAGTGTGCCTGTACGTCTCTCTATGTGTCTGTATGTGTGTCTCTATGTGTCTGGGTCTGTGTGTCTCTCTGTCTGACCCTCCCGGGCTACACGTGGTTCCCGGCACCAGCTTCCGGTGACCCCGCGCACGCGCGCGGCGTGGGTGGGGGAGGCGGGGCGCGAGGGGGCGTGGGGGTCAGGGGACTGTACCAACTCGCTGCAAAGCCCCCGCTCAGTTTGGTGTGAGTGGAGGGGGGTGTGGTATTTGTTGGGTGTGGAGAACCCACTTTAGAGACATCTAAATCGAGCGAAAAAACACAGCCTTTATGTTGATGGTACAAAAAGTTCCAGTTCATTTCCAGGCCCCCTCCCCAGGGATGTTTTTATTGGGAGGTGTCACCCTGTTTCCACCGCCTCCCCTCTCCTCCCTGGAGATGGTGCGCCCCGCCCAGATGTCGGTTGCTATGGCTACAGGAGGCGGAGTCGGGTTGGGCCGTCGAGCGCCGCTGTTGCTGCTGTGGTGGTGGTGGTGGGGGGGCTTTTAAGCAACGAATAGACCCCCTCCCCCCCTCCCCCCACCCTCTGTTTCTTCACCGCAAGGGTCTTGTGCGCTTCATTTAAATGTAGCCCCCGACCCCAAGACCTTCCTCTTCGACTGTGCTAACCGTCCCCTCCCCCCCCCCCCCCCCAACCCACCACCACCCCATCACCCTCCACCCAGAGTCAGGCTGCCCCCCCCCACCCCCCCCCCCACCCACCATCACCCTCCACCCAGAGTCAGGCTGCCCCCACCCACCCACTGGTAAAGGTCTCTGAAGGGCGGTGTGTAAATGCAAGTTGTTGTTGTTGTTGCTGTTGCTGTTGTTGTTGCGTTCAATTGCAAATGACCGCCGCTGGAGCAAATGGCATGGGGAGGGGTTTGGGGGGGAGGGGGTGGGTGTGGGTGGGGGGTGTGGGTGCTCGCGGCTTCACAGTCGGCAGTGATTTGTTCGATGACTGACGAGATCTCCCAGTTTGAGGTGAGCAAGTTGGAGCGAGTCGACGGAAGTTGTTTTTATTCGTTGAAATGTGAATGGGGCGGACGGACTAAACGCCCACACAGTTACGCACGCGCAAACCCCTTCCGCGTCTTGGAATATCACAACCACGCTGATGAGAGCAATAACCAGGGTTACCGTTTAAATTACTGCTTGTAATTATACTGCGGCTTGAATTAATAATAATGATAATCCTTGAATTTGATATAGCGCTTTTCACGTCGGGAGGACGTCCCAAAGCGCTTCACGGAATGCACTGTAAAGTGAATTGACTGTATATTGTGGGCGAACGCGGCAGCCAATTGCGCACAGCAATGTCCCACAAACAGTCGTAGATTGAAAATGACCAATTTTATTATTGTTTTTGGTTTTCGGAGGGATTATTATTAGACGTGTGGAGTAAGGAAACTTGCCCAAGGTTTCGCGCTGCCTGGAATTGAACTCAGGTCTCTCGCTTGCGAAGCGAGTGCTCTAACCACTAAGCTACAGGACTCCACAATTGTTTGCAAGGAGTACCATGTCCACTTGCAAAATGCACAGTTACTGCACCATACATATATATTGTATATTGCTTTGAGACCCTCTCCTGACTTGATAGGCGTTATATCAGATGTAAGGATTACTATGGTTATTGTTATGTAAGTAACAGAATGAAAGGCACTTTTGTTCTTAAAATTTCTTAAAATTTGAATGGTAGAGCAGTCATGAGCAATGATTTATTGACTTCACACTTTAACACTATTTCCACTTGTAAAATACAGAGCACTTGTATCCACAGTGGTCGTTGCATTAATAATAAAATATTCACATTGCATAACGCTGCGTTTCAGCCAGTAGTGTCTAAAATAATTATAAAGGCAACATTTTGTGGAGTACCACAAGTAGTATACTGTACAATTACTCTGCATATTTGAGCTGTTTTTTAACGTTACAAAAAATCTTGCTTTTAGATTAGAATCAGTGCATTTTAAAGGACAAAGTTTCCAAAAACAACAGGAAGGGAAAAAGAAACCGTCTCTGTAGCAGAAATGTCTACTGATTTAGCAGTCACTGGTGTTCGGGCCAGTTGCATAAGTCACAAGGGAAACAGTCAATACCGAATTAAAGCAAAGATGTCCTATGTGGATGAGAGCCTGTTTGGCCGTTCGAATGGGCTTCAGAGCCCAGTGCCTGAATTTGAACCACCGTGGGTTTCCAAGCCCCAAACCGAACCACAGCAACCATTGTTATGGAGCCCTGTAACCATAAACTCACCGAATCGGCGGACTGCCAATGGGGAACCGAACCCAATCCCAGTGCCTTCCAAGAGTGGTGGCACGCCAACGAAAAAGAACAAATACAGGTAATACAGCCAGAATCAAGGTGGTGACTGTCAATGTTGGAGTTTCATATGTTGTACTGCACAGTACTAACTAACCAAAAAAAATCTTTGGATGGCTGGGTGTCTGACAGATGTAGAAACCCGTCACTGTGTTGGATCCAAACCAGACAGTGTTCCAACTGCATGTGGAAAATTCCCTGTGTCTGGATTGGAATGTGTGAGGAGAGAGTGAATTCTAAGCCTGTTGACGCGTTTTCCCCAAGTGTACAGTAGAAAACTCAATAATTTAATTGATGGAGATCAATGGCCTTATTTCATTTTTGACTCCCGAGGTCTGTAAATGCTTTGAGTCTTGACTCAAAATAAGAATGCTACTGTACAGTGTCAAACATTCAGTTTAAATTTAGAAACTTTTTTCCACAGTTCTGGTATGTGGACCTTGCTAATATTTTCTCCTGTGTCTTAATTTTCTTACCAAGGTTAAAAAGCCATACTCCTAGCTACTGTGACGAGTCTCTTTTTGGTTCCAAGCAAGACAGCCCCGTCTGGGAGGCACCATGGACGGCGAAAGAAAACAAAGTAAAGATTCGACCACTGTTGTGGAGTCCTATCACACTTAAAATAAACTCAAGCGCTTTTCACGCTGGTAGCACCAAGAACGCCTCTCCCCAAGCACATCCAGTGAAAGCCCTTTCCCCAGACACAGGAGGATCATCCAGTGGGTTCGTTGCTGAATACAGAGGCAAAACAGATTTCTGGAAGAGACCTGATAGTAATGCCTCCAGTGTTGCTACCACGACCCGGGGAAGATCCCAGTCTTTAACTAGGTGGCAACAGGCTCCAACACAGTTAGGAGCTGTGAGTTCCTTATTGAATTCCAGTAGGAACGCAGAGCGGTTGTATTGTAGGCCGACATCAGCGTTTGCTGGGCTTTCTGAACCACAGCACTGCGGGAGGCGGAGGTCAGGATCTGCTTCCTCTGTTCGACCAAAGATGATGGATTCCCGGAAACCAAACCCACCCTGGAAATACTAGAATAGAATTTGCGTGTGAGTATGTGAGCGCAAACGCATGGGAAGATATTGGGGCTGTACATAATACAGTAAAGAGATTTTTTTCACTGATCCTATTATAATATAATAATCCTTGCATTTGATATAGTGCTTTTCATGTCTTCTAGACGCTTCACAATATGCTGTAAAGTGAATTGACCGTATATTTGTGGGCAAAATGCGACAGCCAATTGCGCACAGCAGTGTCCCACAAACAGTCGCGGATTGAAAATGACCATTTATTATTTTGTTTTGTTTTGGAGGGATTATTATTAGGCGTGTGGAGTAAGGAAACTTGCCCAAGGTTTCGCCCTGCCTGGAATTGAATCCTGGTGTCTCGCCTGCAAGGCGAGTGCTCTAACCACTAAGCTACAGGATTATGAAAATGCCTTGCAAAAAAAAAGCCTTGCATTTTACATAGTACCTATAACATAGCCAAATATTTAAAAAGTGCTTAAGTGCAGTGACTTTATTTGTAGGCAAATAGCAGCTACAGTCTTGCACACCCCAAGTCCTGCCCGCACCTATAAAGTGAATAACAGCATTTATTTGAAGATCCTTTACTGGGACACTGGGAGAAATTCTCTTTCTCTTTTCAGATAGCATCACAGGATCGTTAATAGAGTAACCTAATGGTTTGCCTTATGCCACAACATTACCTACATTTAAATTGTTTTTTTTCCTATGCTTTTATATTTAAATAACACAGACCGCTATTGAAATATTAAACACGAACAGGCCAATGAAAAGCTAAGTAGCCTTCACAAAAGCATATATTCCAGTGGATAATTAGCATTTGGCATAAGCTCTTTTTGCATTTAATAATATAACAATCCTTGCATTTGATATAGTGCCTTATCATGTCGTCAAGATATCTCAAAGCATTTCACAGAAATTACCGTAAAGTGAATTGGCTGTATATTTTTTGGGTGAAACGCAGCAGCCAATTGCACACAGCAGTTTCCCACAAACATTCGTGGAATGAGTGACCTAATTATTTTTGAAGGGATTATTACCCCTGGAAAGCATTCTCCCAATCGATTAATGACCAGGTTTCTACTTATTGCTAGGTAAACAAAGGCATGTGGAGTAAGGAAAGTTGCCTAAGGTTTCACCCTGCCTGGGAATCGAACACGGGGGATCTTCTCGCTTGTGAAGTGAGCGCTCTAACTAATACACTATAGGATTCCAATCCATTTGTCTAATGCAAGTTCTGTACACCAACAGCGAGTGGCTCCTCTGCAGGAAATTGTAAAGCAAAAGTAGGGCGACCTTGAGGAGCATTTTAGAACATGTAGGATAAGCATGTTAGTTTGGACTCCCATTTGCAACATGATCAGTATGCCACCCGTGATTATCGGGGGTTACTATGTACAAAAGCCATTATAAAAGTCAACCATTGGTGGCTGAATCTTGGTAAATGGATATGGCACACAGCATTGAAGGGCAAGCATCAATATCCTGAGTTGAATTTTATTTGAACAAAGTCCTCTCAACTACTTAGCAATCTCTGTCTACTGAATCTAATTTCCAAAATGCCACTTGCGGTATTGTCAATATCAGCCCAAAGGAAGTTCATTTAATAAAAAAACTTTATTATAATAATAATCCTTATATTTGATGTAACTTCTTATCACGTTGTTGAGACTTTTCAAAGCGCTTCACAGGATATATTGTAAAGTGGATTGACTGTGTATTTTATGGCCGAAATGCATATATGATGGATCGTCAAATCAGATTCCAAAACACTTAAATATTTCGGATGGAAATATTTCACACAAGTCACAATTCATGAACCGAACAAAACAGATATGACCAGTTTAATTGGTCCTGTTGAGGGTTTACGCACCTTATTGGGATAAAGATAAGGAGTGTGATTTCATTTTCATTCAACTTAATTTGGGCTTGTTCTTGTATGTTTCATTTGTATTAATCTTTGAAAATAGCAATATTTTGTGCAATTGTGTAATCAGATGTGTGAAATCTTATCTATCTTTGAGCGAAAATATATATTACAATAAACAATAAGCCTTGGATTCAATATAGCACCGTAACGCATTGTTGAATCGTCTCAAAGTGCTTCACAGGGTTTAATGTAATCAGTGAGATATTCCAAGATGTGCCAAGTAAAATACTGTTTATTTTAGTGATTGGATGAATGAATGGACATTTTTATTAAACTAAACATCAATGAAGCATGTCATTTTGTAGGTAATTATTTTCTCTGCTTTGTAACAGCACCTCATTCCAAATTCAACCTTTCAAAAATAACTAGTTAAAAATTTGGGTGCATATGGTACAACACTGAAGTGTGTTTGTTACACCTCAAGTGTACTATAATTGCATTTTTTTCAGATTTTAACCACATTAATATTTACTTAAAACAAATGCAAATGTGAACACTCTATCGGCACAAACTTTAAAGATTAAAAATAGTACACATGGTTTTCCTTTTCTTTTATCTTTTAGTTTCTCTTTGCCATTTTTCCTTTTCCTCACTTCTTTTTCCCTTTCCCTTTCCGGCCTGCTTTTGCTTTTCCCCTTCTCTTCTTTCCTTTCTTCTTCTTCTTTTTCTTTCTCAGGGTTTTCACCAGCTGCCGCACTTTGTAACCCTTCCAGAAAGCCTGGATGGTGACGACTGCTTTGGTCGTCTTTAACAGCTCTTCCTCCTTGGCCTTTCTTTCCAACTCCTTAACCTCCTTTTCGTCCATAATCTGCTTGTATTCATCCTCCAGCATGTGGAGCTTTCCTTCCAGCTCCGTGAGCTGACTGTTTTCTACTTTGTGCACTTTTTCGAGCTCTTCAAACTCCTCCTGCATATTTTCAATTCATTTCAGTAGACAATAATCAGTAACAATAATAACCCTTTCAAATAATAATTTGATATAGCGCCTTATCATGACGTTGAGACATCTCAAAGCGCTTCACAGAAAGTGAATTGACTGTATTTTGTGGGCAAAACGTGGCAGCCAATTGCGCACAGCAGTGTCCCACAAACAGTTGTGGATTGAACAAACAATTTATTTTTTGAGGGGATTATTATCCCCATAAAGTGATCCACCTATCAACTAGTAACTGGGTTCCTACTTATTACTAGGTAAACAGAGCTGTGTGGATTAAGGAAACTTGCGTAAGGTTTCACCCTGCCCGGTTCCTAGCGAGGTGAGTGTCTAACCACTTTACTACAATAACTATTGTCACTTTATATAAAGCTGACTAGAGATTCTAGTATTTCTTTACATATAATAAATTATATTACTCTTGCATTTTATGTAGCATCTGTACCTATGTAACTACGCTTTGTACTGTACCTGCTTTTCTCCCATATCAGCATCATACTTCAGAATCCAGTTTTCAACCTCAGTTTCAACTTTATACTTTCTCTGAAAAAAATCCATAAAAGTTGGTGTGTTCAATTTGGTTATTAAAAATATTAATTCAGATTAAAAACTGTTAAAGTAGGAAATTCCAGGATTTTTGACCCAGTGATGAAGTAAGGACAATACAACAACAACAACTTGTATTTATATAGCCCCCTTCGCGTGGGAGAGCTTCATATTGGCAGAGCTTGTCGCTGAGCCAGGTGGAGGGAGGAGGTGACAGTAAGTATGGTCGAAGAGGAATGTCTTCAGTTGAGATCTAAAAGAGGGGAATTGGGGGGCAAAGCAGAGGGATTGAGGGAGAGTTTCAAAGCTTTGGGGTGTAATACTATATACAGAATGTCTAAGTTTAAATGGCATGTGACATGGTGGAAGTAACTTTGTGGGAAAGGCTTCAACATTTAGGAGTTTTGCCAGGGTGGATGCACTGTGGATTTTTCCACAGTTACACATTGGATAATGGAATATTTGGTTTCTGCTAGCTTTGCCTTTTCAGTGTGCATTCCCCCCTCAAGAAACACAATTGTATTATCTAAATGAAAATGAGTGGTAAATTCAGTTGTAGCAGTACCTAGGGTTTCCCACCTTACCTTTCTTAAAGCCAGTTCAGCGTCACGGTGCTCTGTTATCATGTTGGTCAAGTTAGCTCTGCGATCGGTTATCATTTCCTGTAATTTAGTGACTTTCAGCTCTGAAGCCTTCATGTCTGCCTGTTGCTGTTTCTCTGCCTCCAGTTTAGTTTGACGGATGTAATCTTCCGAAAACAACTCGAGTTGGTGCAGATTGGTTTTGAGCTTTCGGATGATATCGTTTTTTTTCAAAACCTGGCAAAGGAGATTGAAAATATATACTCAATCAAAGGTGCTCCCAATATACTTTTGATATATATGTATATATATATGTATATATATGTGTATATATATATATGAGATAATAATCCTTCAAAAAAAAATGATTTGGTCGCTCAATCCAGAAATGTTTGTGGGACACTGCTGTATGCGATTGGCAGCCGCTTTTCGCCCACAAATATAGGGTCGGTTTACTTTGCAGCGTGTTCTGTGAAGCTCTTTGAGATGTCTAGAAGACATGAAAAGGCTATATCAAATGCAAGGATTATTATTATTATAACCACAGAAATGCTTCTACACCAAATTGCGCAGGCTATAGAAATGCAGCAGAGTGCATTTATATAGCATCCTTCACGCAGAGCAGCGTCTCAGAGCACTTAACTGTGGCGGAGCCTGATGCTGAGCGGGGGGAGGGAGGAGGTGACCGTAAGCACGGTTGAAGGAGAAGAGGAGAAGATCTTCAATTGTGATCTAAAAGTGGGGAAGGAGGGGGCAAGGTGGAGGGATTGGAGAGATCGCTCCAAAGCTTTGGGATGTAGTGGCTGAAAGCTCTCCTGGTGAAAGTGCAATCAGGCTTGAGCATGTATGATGTTAGGCTCTGAGAGTATATGTGAGATATTTAAACACTGTTCTAACATAATATTTCTGGACAGATGGAACATATGCACTGAATACTACCATTCATGTATACCTCATTTTCCTTATCTTGGTAGGCCTTTTCGAGTTCTGCCTCCAAAGCAGCAATAACCTCCTCATTTTTCTTGTCTCGAAATATGACGTCTTGCACATATTTCATCTTTTCTCTCTCCTCTGTAGAGGTTACAAGAAGTCGCTCGAATGTGAACTCTCTGAGTTCTTCCAGCCCCTGAATGAGCTCTTTGCAGGTCTGATGCTCCGCTCTATATTCTAGTTTAATAGCGTGACACCCTACAGGATTCCCCTGAAAGAGCCGCAGGATGTCTTTGACCGAGTTTTTGAGCGCCTGCTCCAGGATTTGAATGTTGTGCACCCGTTCCTGTTTCATTCTCTCCTCTTTGGCTTTAGCCTTTAATTTTTGGCTCCGAGAGGGTTTACTTTCTTCGGGTTCCTCGTACTTACTGTTCACCACAACCTGCAGGTATTTCTCTATTTTTTGGTACTCCTTCATGGCACACATCAACTCTACGCCAAAGGCAACGCTGTATCGGTCGAGATTTTCAGCCAGGTATGAGAACAGGCCAACCCTTTCTATCTTCTTGATGGTATTTTCAAGCACGGAGATGATTCTCTCTGCTTCAATTGACGTGAGTTTGGTTCTAGCTGGATCTAGGATCTTAAGTGCGTCTATTTTGACCTGTTTTCGCGCAGAACGTGGTACAGCTTTGGTCACATTATTGTCTGGCGTTGGCATGATGGAGATCAAGACTTTATTTGCCATTGTTCCCTCCTCCAGCGGACTGTTCGCATGAGACCTTGAAAGTTTCAACTGATTGTCCCTGTGCAACATAAGACAATACTTTACTCGGCGTTTGCCGCAGCAGTAAACCTCGCAAAAATTGTCGAGCCCGATGAGGTAGTGCGTTTGAACCTTTTTTGCCCGATTTCAAACAAAAAAATCACGGTGCTTTCCGTGAGGCGCATTGAGACGTCTCGACGACGTGATACGGCGGGGTATCAAGCACGAGGCTTATCGTTATTTCTGGAGACATTCTCTGGGATGAGGTGTCGCCTTGGTGGGTGGTGGGGGGGGAGGGTGGGGTGGTGGGGAGGGGGGGGGGGAGGCAAATATTGCCCCGTCTCGTCACTCCGTTCAGCCACAAAAATTGAGCAAGAACCATAAAAACTTTTTTTTTCAAAAAAAACAACAGATACATCAGAGAAACACACCCATTAATTTCGCCCCCACTCCACCCCCCCCTCCCACTCTCCCCCCCCAATAAAAAAAACACTTCTCCTGTTTACCTGACGGCATCAGGAATTTGGGTGAGTTCGGTTCTGGTCAACGCGTGTCCCAGGATTGGGGGTTACAACAAAATATGGTCATCGTGCAGTCTCGGGTGGTTTGAGAGGAAAGTTGTCGTCGTTGAGTCCGCTTCTCGCCCCTCACGGCCACCCCCCCCACCCCGGGCGGCCTTGTGTTTGTGAGCATCTGTTGTCCCGCGTCGCTAGGAGACCGTCGATCACGCCGCCCTCTGACCACGTGACCTCCCTCCTTCCCTCCTCCTCCTGTCACACATCCGGCGACGGTTTTTTTTCAAAACGCGCTCGCGAGCGCACGCGCGCGCGCGCGTCGTCATCATCATCATCGTCGTCGTCGTGAATAACAATCACCACCACCACAGAAGGGGAAAAAAACGCCTGGCGACGTTTGTCGGCTCAACCAAACGTGCTGGTTGCCCCTCTCCACCCGCCCGCGCCACGCGCCGCTCAGCTCAGCGAGATTGACGCGCGACCCCAGCCAATCAGCCTGCCAGGCCCCGCTCGACGGCGGTCAGTCCTCGCCAATCAGCGGACGCGATAGGTAGGAGTGGGGCAGGATCTTCTCCGCCCCCCACTTCCCGACCCCCTCCCCTCTGCCTCCTCCTTCGGCTGCTGTGCCTGTGCAGGACGTTAAGTTAGGTTGCGTAGCGTGGTGGGTAGGCGCGGGCGCGCGGGCGGGTCCAGCGCGTCGCTTGTCGTCGGCTTTGCGGAGGGGTGTTGAGGAAGCCCTCTGTGTTCGTTCGGCCGGTCATGGCGCTGCCCGTGGACGACGAGGACGACGACGACGTGCCCCTGATCCTGACGGAAGACAACAACGCGGTGGGGACAGGGACCGGCGCCCACCCGGACAGAGCCGAAATCCCCAACGAAAGTAAGCGTTAAAATCAAGGTGTCACTTTTACTTTTCGTGTCAGGTCCGAACTTTCCCTCCGTGTGTGTGTGTGTGTGTATCTGCGTGTGTGTGTGTGTGTGTGTTTCTCTCCCTGTAACCTTGTCCCCTGCGTTTATTTCTCCTCATGGATTAAAGTTTACCGCCACCTCGAGAGCCCTGTGGGCACTAAATGTACTTTTCGAGTATTTTTCTGGTCTCCTCCCCCCCCCGCCCCCTATTTTTTTTACACAGTTTTATTTGCGTCCCGTCTCGTAGATCAGCACTGGAAGTGTTTTGTGTGAGTGAGTGAGTGAGTGAGTGTGTGTGTGTTTGTGCGTGTGGTTTGTATGCGCAGTGATGACAACAACGAGAACATCTTGATGTCTCTCTGACCACTTTACCTCTCTCCTTTTTCCAAAAAAAGATAAAATATTTCAAAAGAACTACTCGCTCCGCTCACCGCCGTCGCTGAACGTGGTTCAGATCACCCGCGCCCTCCCCCTCGCCTTTCGTATAACGCCTCACCACGTCGTTGAGGCGTCTCAGAGCGCTTCGCAGAACACGCTGTAAAAGCGAATGGACGGGATGGACGCGTTTTTTTTCTTCTTCCGGGCGAAACCTTTACGATCGAGTCAGCGTTGTAACCGTATTTTTTTTTGGGGGGGTCCACACGTATTAGTGATTTGCGTGGGGCGAACTTGGAGTGGTAAATGCTCCTCTGCTTTACTTTAGGAAAGGGGTAGGTGTTGGTGATGGCGGGTACACCTGGTGATGGTGGAGTCCTGTAGCTCAGTGGTTAGAGCACTCGCTTTGCGAGCCAGAGACCCGAGTTCAATTCCAGGCAGAGGGCGAAACCTTGGGCAAGTTTCCTTACTCCACACACAGCCCTAATGATAATCCCTCCAAAAACCCAAAACAATAATAAAATTGGTCATTTTCAATCTACGACTGTTTGTGGGACGCTGCTGCGCGCAATTGGCTGCCGCGTTCGCCCACAAATATACAGTCAATTCACTTTACAGTGTGTTCTGTGAAGCGCTTTGGAACGTCCTCCCGACGTGAAAAGCGCTACATCAAATGCAAGGATTATTATTATTATTACTCTGCTTATCTGTCAACCCTCATGTGCCATCTCAGTACTTAAGAGTGCTTGTTGCCAGTCTTTACACACTCGCTAGCTTTGAGATCAGCAGCATCTATTATTTTACTTGTGACAGCAGTATTGCAGTTTACTCCTCATTTCTGACCGTATTACTAACAACATTACATTTTTGACAGAACCAATGTGCGAAATATAAATTTCAAAACAAAGTCATTTGTAAAAAAACACACATCTGCTGTTGTCCTCTGGCGCCGTTTCCATTTTGAGTGGACTGAGACCATTGCAGCTGTGTAATACTGTACTTTCTTTTCAAATGCACGCCTTTAACATGGACTGTTTTGTTCTGTAGAGAGGGTGTTATTCGGTGACCCATGAAATAGAGTTGCTGTTGTGTCTGCCTCTCTATTGGGCTCTTAGATGAGCAAAGGAAATGGGACCAGTTAGGGAATTTTAATTCCTTTGAAATATCGTTTGAAAAATTCTTTAGATCTGGATGTGCAGTCGGTTAGCACACTTCTTTCACCGGTACTACCACTATGCCTACCTATAAATTGTATTACTTTTTTTTGAAGGATTAAATACCCTAACTCAACTGGTCCCCCATCTCTAAGTTAGCAATCCCACTTCAAAGAGGTCATAGGACAGCTGGTTTGGGAAATTGAAAGAAAGTTTTATGCTTATGTCTAGCCATGTAATGCCTGAGCATCGGCATTTGGATGTTCAAACTACATGATGTTCGAACTTCTCTGGTATCTTTCACCTTAATAAGAAACAATATATACACTTAGAAACAATAACTTCAAGAAAGCTGTATAAAACAGCACTTTTTTTAAAAAAAAATCCTTTAAACTAGTAGATTGTCCTGCTGAACTTATCTGATTATGCCATCTGTTCTGTATTTGGATCAGCTACAGAGGCAGCAATGCTCAGGAAACAGGGTCAAACTCCCAAGTAGAATGGAATACACACTAGCAGTCAGTTTATTCAGTTACAGTACTTGTGTTAAACGATAGCAGATCTGGCAGAGATACACGACTGGCTCAAACAATTGTATTTTGATTAGCACTTTTTTTTTTACTCTTCGGGCAAAGCTATGAATTGGTTGCAATGTGATATTCTTCCACTTTTTTTTATATGTGAAAAATAAACAATTGAAGTTTCAATACCTGGAAAAAACTATCATATGTTTGTGAACATGTTTCAGTTCGAGTAAACTGGAAAGTATCACTGTAATTGTATCCATAAACACTGTGTCCTTGAGCAGTAATTTGCAACCAAGTTTCACCAAACTTCAAAACTAATAAATTATCACCCCCCAAAAAAACTTTATATTACTGTATCTCCAAAACTTTAACTTTGATTTCCTTAGTAAAAATAATTGTAAATCATATTATTGTCCTGGAAGCCATATTGAACTGTATAATGTTTCTCCAAACACCACAATGTCATTTCCTGCATAATTTTGGCTGAATAGGCCTTTTTTAAAAAAAGAGAAAACTTGGAGGCCATACACAACAGAGTTTGCAGAAGGGTTCAATCAAACAACATTTTAATTAATAAGTGAACAGATGTGGTGATGACCTGATGTACATCACAATGTTTGAGAATTAGAAGGAAAAACTTTGGTTACCTTATTTTTAATGTGGGCATGAAATCTTTTTATTTTCTCCTCTTTTCTCCCTGCTCCCCATCACATTGTAGCTCATCACATCACCTGCTCTCAGGCCTGTGTCAGTCCATACTAGAAGTTACCACCAGGAGGCATAGGCCAGCAGTCCCAAACTGGTAACTCTTAGATTTCTGCTGTACTTTTCATTTTGTTTCTTTTATAAATTTAATGTGCTCTTTGTGTACCTGTGACAAAGATTACCACAATCCAATTACCCTAACAAAATTAATGTTTGAACTGCAGCACAATCCGGTTATATCCCGGGTTCGTTTATAATGAGGTTTGAGTCCGGGTTTTCTTTTTTTTAAAAAAAAACCCAAAATGCACACAGAAAGACAGCTGACTGGCTTTTCACTAGCAAAAAATGGCCGTTGTTAAGCCGTTGAGTTGTAGCAAACTGATTACCTTGAAAGTTGGTCACTTTGACTTCATGTGCGCTAAAAGCTGGCCAGCATTTTGAAACACGCAGCTTTTTCTGCACACATGAACAATGAATGCAGAAGCATCAGATTGACAATCATACCCTGTTATGCAACTGTTTGGGGTTTTATAACCACCCCCCCCCCCTCCACCGCTCACTACTGTGTTATAACAGGGTTCTACTGTACCAAGTTTACAGCATATACTTACTTGCTAAATGCCCTTTCCAGTGGTTCTGCTCTGAACTTTGCTGCTCCTTTAGCTACCTGTAGTGAACTTCTTCAGAAATCTTCCTTTTCATCCTGTTTGAGTGATATGCCTTTATATTGGTGCCCCATATTAAATGTCAGGAGTACTTGGGTGGTGCAACTTCACATAACTGGTAAGAATAGAATTGTTTGGCTTGTTTTCCTTTCAGCATTGTTCATTATCTTGAAAGTATAATCTGTTTAATGGTTTGTGGGTTTTACTTGTTGAAACATGTGAATCCTTATTTTTGTTTTCCTTTATGAATTGCAGAGTGAATCAAGAAATATGATGTATTCTTTTTGTTTAGAAAGAGGGTACCTTATAAAAGAAGACAGATTAACTAAGCAATGCTTGTTTTATTTGGTTGAACTTTTCACATCAAGGCTCGATTACGGAAACTCCCTCCTCATCGACCTTCCCAACTCTTCCACTCACAAGATGCAGATCATCCAAAACTCTGCAGCTCGTGTACTCTCGCGCACCAGGCTCCGCGACCCCATCACTCCCACCCTCGCCCAGCTCCACTGGCTCCCTATCCCCCAGAGGATCGAGTTCAAGATCCTCGTCCTGAGTTTCAAGGCAATCCATGCCCTTGCCCCCTCCTACCTCTCTGATCTACTGACTCCCTACCAACCTGCCCGCTCCCTCCATTTAGTGGGCTCCGGTCTGCTCTATGTCTCCCGCCCTACCATCGGTGGCTGGGTTTTCAGCCTCTCTGCCCCCACACTCTGGAACTCCATCCCACGGTCACTTTGCCTTGCTTCCTCTCTTGCCTCCTTCAAGCCCGGTCTCGAGACCCTTCTCTTCGATTGTGCCTTTGGTCGCCCTCCCACCTCTCTGCCTTCCCTCACTCCTACACCACCTCTCCCCCATACTCGTGCCCCGACACCTGACTGTTCAGTGCTTTGGGACGTCCTCCCGACGTGAAAGGCGCTCTATAATTGTAATTTTGTTGTTGTTTTCAAAACATCAAATTTGAAGTATTCTGTACTTTTGTTTTTCAGTAAATGCGTGTACAGTGTTCAAGTCACTCAATGTACATCAAGGTGAAAACCTATTGGCAAATAAGATACACTGTCAATAGGTGTGTTGGGTGCTTTTTCCAGCACTGTAAAATCAACAAAAAACACCAGTGTACCTGGTAGCACATATCGTTCAGTGATTACCTCAATAATGATTGTCTCAAGAAAACTATTGGACTGTTTTCCTTTCTCAGGATATCTTTAGGCATTTGGCAGTGAAATTAATTTCTAAATGCAATATCTTTTGATTGGCATGTTGGAAATATGATTGAAATTGATGACTCCCATTCAGCAAGTGTCTTGCAAAATGTCCACCAATCAATTATGTCTGAAGAATGGGTGGAGTTCATACCCTTGAAGGTATCCCACCCAATACCAGCACATAATGCAATAAAATTGGCCAGCTGGATGACTGTATTTTTGTGGGTAGTCAGTTCAAACTTTTAGTTTGTTCATTGTCCTCATCACACTTCAAACAAAGATAAAATACTTTTACATGGACAACTATTACAGAGTTGGATGCCAAAGAACCATAATCAGTTTTGTGTGGAATTTCATGAGGAAGTATTTTTTTTTAACCACGTATATTATAGATATTGTATAAAAGATATAGATTATGTATAAAAGAAGTGAATGATCTGATCAGGACAGAAATTTAAATAATTATGCTTAACCACTGTTCTGTGTCAGCTACCCTGGTGTTGGGAATGTGGGTAGTTTAAAGTATTTATTGTTTCTGGACTTTTTATTCTGTGATTTTATTATGCAGTGATCACTAAGATCAGTATGTCATATAATGATATTTTCCATTATAAACCGCCAACAAAATTGTTGTTTCTTTTAGCAATTGGTAGGTGATAGATAGATATCTATATCAATCAAGAAAAGTGCTCTATTTGTTGTTTTCACAGTGCATCTCTGAAGTTGCAGTAGAACATTTTGTCCTAACATTCAATTGCTGAACTAGAAATAATTTGAGTAAGTGATGAAATTGAAAGTCTGCCTCAGTACATGTCTATGAAAAAGCACAACATTTTGCTTCTTTAGGTCTTTGGGGAAATGACTGACATAACACAAATTAATTTTCAAGTTTCCTTGAGAGTACAATTTGCACCTTATATTTGCACCTTACATTTGCAACTTATCAGTGCTAAAAATGGGGTGCCAATGTGGCAGGCAAAACTACTTTTAGCAAACCAAAAATCTAATCCCTTTTAGTAAATGTAGATGTGCTGTACAGCATTACTACTTGTTTCTGAGTGTTCATATTGGGAAAAACTGGGGGAAAAAAGGCAATCAAACTAACCACTACACTACGGAACTCCATAAACCTCAAATACTTCAAGTCCGCTATTTTTATCTTCAACTATCCTTGGAATTTTAAGACTGAATTTATTATTATTATTTTTTATTGTGTTTAGTCTTTCTCCGTCTGCCATACACATTTGTTATGATTACTGTATGGCACTGGGGAAACATCTGCAGATTTCAGAGTTGAACTTCTGGTACTGAATAAACCCAAATGTACATTTTATGTGCTTTGCACACAAATGGGTTGAGTTTTAATGAGTAAGAACAAAAACATCATTTTGATATTTAATTGCAAAAGGTCCATTCTTCAAAATGCCATGTGCATTTGAATACAAGGAATACTGTCTGTAAGTACAAGGAATGCTGTCATTTGTACTGCGCTAGCACTGCATGCACTCTGTACTGTACAAATCAAGCTGTACGATTCAGGGCACTATCCTGATCTTTTCATTTTTGATTAAACAAAATTGCTACATTGCTTAGAGTGTAGCTGGGGATGTGAGCTGTTCTAACCATTGAACAGGTTGAAGGCGGATTCACTGAAGCAAATGAATTAGCAAACGACTCAGTGAATAAGGAAAGGCTTCTGGTACGATCACATGACTAATAAGATCATTGCGGAATCAGATGACTTGGGTTGGGTTATAATTTCAATTGGCATACTTCATGTAAAAAAAGTACAGGGCAACTTATTTTCACTTCTGATATCTTGCAACAATGGGAGTAACTCATATCTGCTCTACTGAATTTAATGCCTATCCTTTGGAAAAATCCTCATACACGCCTGAATTTGATATGAATGGTATGTATTATGTGATTAATCTTTGTTCTTGTTAGAATACGGGTAGGTTTATCTTGCTCGTTTTCTTTGGATTACTAGTCAGGGAGTGTTGAATGGATTTACACAGTCCAAGGAATACTGTGAATTGAGAAAGGTTCTGGAGTCTTGTACATATCTAATTTTCTGCCTTTTGACTTGAAGAAATCCAATCCTGTTTTTCATTGTTGTGTGAAAGAAAAGATTTGCATATTAATCTTTTCAAAAAAATTGTTATCACTCAAAGGATTTTGAAGCATGTGTCGTTCGGTGATTTGTATTCTGTGCAATGGGGTTCCTTCTGACTAAATCAGATAAGAGAACAGAAATCCTAATTGAAAATTTAAAAATATAAGGATGAGGAAACTAATTGTTATTTCTGTGATCGTATGCAGATTAGGTTACCTACTGAACTGGCATTTTTTAAAATGCAAATGCACGAATCAAACTAATAAACTGTTGAAACAGACTTGCTGGGCTGAATGGCCTCTTCCTGCTCCTAACTCATTGGCTGAATCTTCACTAATATATAACTCTGAGCTGGTTTGATTTTTGGCTATGGGCAAAATGTTTTCTTTACAAAATTACATCTAGGATTGTAGATGGATTTCTCACGTGGTCAAAACACAAATAACTGGCGATAATCATAACCATCTCTGTCTTGCTCAGAGAGGGGGTGGGTGGTGGGGGGGGGGGGGGGTCATCAGGCTCCAAAATGCCAAGGCCAAACTGAATCTGCTTGTTACCCAGTGCACAGAAAAGGAACAAAATTCTATCTGCAGGATTTCTATTACCTTACTAAAAGAACACACATAATGAAAGTGATTTGGAAGCCACGTTCGGCTACAAAATACACAGTCCCATACAAAGACTTGTTACAGTAAATCCTGTGAAGATCTGCAAGACATCCTGTGAAAGGCACTATATCAAATTTACCGATTATTTTAATTGAATGGGATGAAATTATATTTTGGTATTATATAAAACAGGAAACCATTTTTAATTAGGTGAATCACATGAAATCTTGAATGTAGAAAGAGTTAGTGAAACTCTTCTATTATACAGTTGCATAAAGTTCTCTTGTTTGTGTTTTCTGATTGTTTTGTAAAACATGAAGGTTTTCAATGAAATGCAGTTTAGAAAGATAGGTGTGTTTGGTACAAGTTATTTTCTCCTCTATTCCCTGATAACTAGAAAATGCATTAATCTTTGTGCTGAGAGGGCATCGATGCTTTGATCTGCTGTAAATCTGCCAGTTTCATTTCTTCTTGTAAAACAAGGCGATGACATTTACCTTCTCCAGTGCATTATATATGAAATTCAAGTAGCATTCTCCAGGCTAATGTCTGACCTTCCTAGCCTGCTGCTATTTAAATCACCCACTCTATGTCCTCTTTACAGATGGAGGAGGATATGACATTATTAACAATGAAGTGGTTGGAACATCAGGTATTCGGGACTACAGAGCAAGCTATGGTTCTCTGAAGCAGGCTTGGGAGATGAACTATCAGGAAGCAGCAATTTATTTACAGGTAGGCAGCGTTTTAGGCACTTCAGTGTCTGTTTAGATCAGGCTTTTAATATGAATAGTGATTGAGTGCATCAGAGTAAAAAAAAAGTTTATTTTTTGAAGTGGCTGACCATGGTATAATTTTTTTTGCTTTGAAATTGACACATTACTAAAAGCAACGCTATTGAGTGGTTTTCCTCGAGCTGTAATTGCAAAGAATCTGCTCTGCTATTTATGCAGCTGTGGTCGTTGACTAGGGGCACGCGAACTCGAGGTTGTAAAAGGAGTTTGTTGCAGGAATCCTTTCACAGTAACTATGCCTTATGACTTTGATTGTGCAGTGCAATAGCACAATTTAAGAACAATAAATAGATGTAGCTGTCTATACCTGTGCTGCAAGCCTTTGAGGGTGACTATCTGACCCACTGAGAGACAGCCTTTTACTTTACTTTATATACAGTTTTCATTTCCTCTCCCTTTTCTAGCTTCCAAGTTTTGCCAATTGATTGTATATATTTTGACAATTGTTACCAATTCCCCCCCTTTTTTTAAAGGAAAATTACCCTCCACATTAAGACTAAATTTTAGGCAATTCCAAAATTTTATACGATCTTAAACTTTAAGGCAATGATCTTAAGCCTGAGAATGTGAGAAATTTGGGTCCTAGATCGTGATAGGATACTGGCACGCTCCTTATGTTGTCGTGATTGTCCAGGAAACTTTAAGGTCTTGCTCAAAGTAATACAAAATAACCGTATAACATGGAAGTCTTGATCATATAAGGAAGTTGCACAATTAGCTGTAACCGTTCCGTTCCCGACCCTACCCACTTCCATGATTTTGTTTAAAATCTCTTTAGACTTTTCTTCCCTTTTTATGTTAAGTTTTAAACATTGGTGTCTTAAGGTGTCTTAAGGTTTTGATTGCTCTAAAAGCTGACCAAATTAACCCTTCCTTCTCCTGTTTGGTATTTAAATATGTGAATCTTTTCGGAATCTATGAAAACAAGATGGCAAAATGAAACGCTGTCAGTAATGGAGCCAACAATATAATTTTATAAAGATTCTATACATGATGCAACAATTGTAACGTGCCATTTCAGATTGAGGCCTCAAAAGCTAAATCTTGCTGGGCAAAAAGCGGATGTCACAACATTTGAAGCTTTCTTTTCTTATTCCTTTCAGGAAGGAGAGAATAATGACAAGTTTATCACTCATCCAAAAAATCAGAAGGCCCTTGCGGCGTACCTCTTTGTCCACAACCACGTATTCTACGTGATGGAGCTGATATCTGCACTGCTGCTGTTGATTCTCTCACTGTGCGAGGCACCAGCCGTTCCCTCACTTAGACTTGACATTTATGTACGTTTTATTCCTTCGTGAGTTCGTCTCTATATTGTTATACACTAAACTCCTGATAACTCGACCCTAGCTTAACTGGTCACCACCACTTTAATTCATCACACTGTCAATATCCCGGCCGCATTTATTTATGTCTAACTTGCCATTTAGATAACTCATCATTGAGCCCTTTTCCCTTGGATTGACGAGTTATCAGGAGTTTACTGCAGTTTGCATTTGGTTTGTACGATATTCTAGACTGATGTATTTGTGATGAGTTTGTGGAAGACCAAGCATTAAAGATTGAGTTTGTGGTGGAGATTACAAATAGGTGGTGCTTCAAGCGATCTCAGCAAATTCTACTCTGGCAAGCGCTACCATTTCTACCACAAAAAAAGTTGACATTACTTTTTATTCCATTCCTGTATGCCACATGCTATTTTGCAAGTCAGGATTGATGACAGGAAAGCAAACTGTTTATAAAACTTAGCTGCGGTGTAGCATCTTGGAGATTTATGGCAGCAATGTGGACTAATTCAATGTGTTTTCTCTTTCCCCTCTTCCCCATCCCCATGCAGAATGTGATATTTATTAGTACCTTCCACTGACTTTTTTTAGCAGTAAGCAACTTGCCATGTTTTCTGCAATGCAATAAGTGGTAAACCTATAAGCGTCTTCAATATTTTTATGTCAGCGTTTGCTTTGAACTCAATTGGCTTGAAGGTGATTTTTCAATTTAATTTTTTAGGTGCATGCCACGCTGGAATTGTTTGCACTGCTCACAGTAGTGTTTGAAGTTGGTATGAAAATGAGGTGGTTGGGCTTTCATACCTTTATTAGACACAAAAGAACTATGCTTAAAGTAAGTAATTATTTCATTGTTTCTAACAGAATTACAGCAGTTACTTTTTATAGATAGTTTTAAAATAAGAATAGTTGCATTTGATATAGCCCTTGCCACATCACAACATCCCAAGGCACTTGGCCGAATATTTCTGTAATGTGCAGTGACTGTATAATTATAGCCAAACACGTTATTTAATTTACAAAGGGAAGGGAAATATACAGGCTAGGTAAGTGGGCAAGAAGGTGGCAAATGGAGTATAATGTGGGGAAGTGTGAAGTTATTCATCTAGGTAGTAAAAATAGAAAAGCAGATTATTTTCTAGAGGGGGAGAGACTAGGTAGTGTTAGTGTTCAGAGGGATTTGGGTGTCCTTGTTCACCAGTCACAAACCGTTAGTATGCAGGTACAGCAAGCAACTAGGAAGGCTAATGCCATGTTGGCGTTTGTTGCAAAAGGATTAAAGTACAAGAGTAGTGAAGTCTTGCTGCAGTTATATAAGGCCTTGGTGAGACTGCACCTAGAATATTGTGTGCAGTTTTGGTCTTCTTATTTAAGAAAGGACATACTTGCCTTTGAGGGGGTTGACCTATGAGGATAGGTTGAGTAAACTAGGCCTATTTTCTCTAGACTATAGAATAATTAGAGGTGATCTTATAGAGACCTATAAGATTCTTAAGATCTTGACAGGATAGATGCTGTGAGACTGTTCCCCCTGGTTGGAGAATCTAAAACTAGGGGTCATAGTCTCAAGATTAAGGGTCAGCCTTTTTGAACTGAGTTGAGGAAACATTTCTTCACTCAGCGGGTAGTGAATTTGTGGAATTCTCTACCCCAGAAGGCTTGGATGCTCAGTCCTTGAACATATTCAAGTCATAAGTTGATAGATTTCTAAAGGATAGAGGGATTAAGGGATATGGGGATATGGAGAAATAGGTTAGAAGATCAGCCATGATCTTATTAAATGGCGGGGCAGGCTCAAGGCGCCGAATGGCCTACTCCTGCTCCTATGCCTTATGGTCTTATTGTCTTAAAACTGCATGTTATTCTTTTGAAAGAATAACATTCAATGCATTTGTAATGTACTTTTTTATAATTGTGTTGGAATTTCATTATTTATGAGTGGAAAATTGAGGAAACCTGTATTTTGCTAGTTTACCTTTCAATGAAACTCTCACTTTATCTCTCTGTTTTATTCCGGGAGCTTGAATCTGGAAATTCACCTAGAAATGACTGATGCATTCTTTTGTGGATTTGAACACACTTTTGAGAAAAATTGTTAAACTGAGTTTTGTGGTACATCTGTTGAATTAAAAGTTGTACAAAAACTGCTCAAATGTGATAGCAATAGTTTGAGGTTTTCAAAAATAACACAAACCAACACAAATGATCACAGTTAACCTTGTTTCCTGTTGTTTTGCAGAGTGCTGTATTGTTAGTACAGTTCATAGAAGTTATTGTGGTGTTAATAAGGCAGACTTCACATGTCCGAGTGACTCGAGCTTTGCGACCCATCTTCCTGGTAGACTGCAGATACTGTGGTGCAGTGAGAAGGTAATAATAATAACCCTTGCATCATGTCTTGAGATGTTGCAAAGCGCTTCACAGGATATACCGTAGAGTGCAGTAGCTGTGTTGTGTGAACGAAAATTTAAAGGTAACCTGCAGCACCTTTATCAAAAATTCATAATCTGAAATATCCAACAAACTCATGCTCGCAAATGAATGCTGACCACTAGCCTAAGCTTAAATTTAAGCCTACATTTTGAAAGGATGGTTACAACATACAAGTTTAGTTGTCAAATTATTGTGTCAGTTATGGTAACAATCTCTCCCCAGTATTACTGCTAATGTAAAACATGTTTTCGTTAAGAAGTATGCTTATCTTTTGGAATTTTTTTTGTTAAATACAGGTGTCGTACTAATTTTAAAAAATGCTGAAAGTATTATTTTATCTGTACCATGTTACATATAAGAACAAAATTGATTTTAGTTCTAAGAATAAAAGTAATTGAAAAGTGATCTTCAGTGGTAGTAATAAATGATGGGCACTTTCCCCTAAACTGTTGTTCTGCATCTTTGTGAGCATGTACTACTAAACATATATTCACATTTAAAGGACTACATGGATTGAAAAGGTTGAATAATTTTATAACTATTTTGAATAAATTCCTTATGCAGCCAAATTATAGTTATTTTAATGTTTGTTTTTCTGTTGTAATAATAATCCTTGCATTTGATTTAGCGCCTTATCACGTCTTTGAGACGTCTCAAAGCGCTTCACAGAATATACTGTAAAGTGAATTTACATTGAATTAAAAATGTTTTGCTTAATGTTGTTTGATTTTTCTTAACTTGAATACCAATGCACAATGTTATAATTTAATTCTAAATTATTATTTATTAAAACTTCTTTTCAGAAATTTGCGTCAGATCTTCCAGTCTCTTCCTCCATTTATTGACATTTTGTCTCTCTTGTTGTTCTTCATGGTAATTTTTGCCATTCTCGGTAAGTTATTATCTACTTAGCTGATGATTTATCTTAAATCCAGTCTAAGTGTTTTGCACATTAAATGTGCCGGGGAGCGTTTGAAGCATTGGGACATAATTGATCCTTCTGCTGTTTGATATTTAAGCATCATAGAAGATTATTGAGTACAGATACTTGGTTAATCATTTCACACATCAGATAACCTGCAAACATGCAGAGAAAATAGATGTTGATAGAGCAAGTGTGGAGATTGAGGGAAAAGGAGGCTGAATGACAGGTATTTAAAGGAAGTGAAGGAAGAGGTGTGGGTGCTGCATTCAGCATTCTGAGCATGAACTTTACACTAGAGCAGGTCTGTATAACTCAACAACAACAAATTACATTTGTATAGCTCCTGCCTTTCACATCTTGAGGAGATCCCAAGGCGCTGCATGAGATTCGAGATTCTCAAAAGAATATAATCCTTTACTTTCAGTTTGAAAATATAATAATACATTTGCAATGCAGAGGCTTGAGAGTCCTGAGAACTGAAATGTAGATGATTGTTTTAAAGGTAGGGAGGCACAGGCTTAAAATTGGACTTGCTTGATCCGCTAGTTTGGCTTCAGTAGCAGTTAGTGTTTCTAAACCGTTTGGTATAGCTTCCGCTGCACCGCATAGCAGTTGGTTCTCCATTTTCCATTTTGATCGAAATTCAGAAAATATGATCCGTGTAGTATTAGATATCATCAAGCCTATCCATTTCAAACCACTCCAGACAAATTGATGCCGCTCCAACTATGCTTGCCACCACGAGCAAAGCTACTGTGGGACACATGCTTCCTGTTTGCATAATGTATAGCATTGGAGTCAGTTTGGTGCAAGTAACAACCACAAATGGACAGCAAAGTAAATTTACCCCCAGTAGCACAAATCTGTAGGATCATCATGTTTGATTTCAAAATTAAGAAGCCATGAGACCCGAGAATCTAAGCAACTCAAGAAACAAATGGTTAGACGTGCAGTGAGAATGCTTTCCTAACATTCACACATGTGCTTCCAAGCACAGGTCACAATCTGCAGGCTCTTTCCAAAGCTTTAGCGATTTATGTTCCAGAAGAATGGAAGCAGAGATTAAAGATTAAACGCGGAGAGGATGATGATGATTGATGAGACTATGGTTTATGACTGAGGGAAAATGATTTTGTAGATGGAGGCGGTTGCAGCACCAGCCCATTAGACAGAACAGCTATGATGGATTGAACGCTCTCGTATTCCATAGATTTTTATCTGTTTTGATTTTTCTTTTCCGATTCAGGCCACTGGCAATATTTCTCTTGTCAAACTGAATTAGTTGATGATTAACTTTCTTAGATTATCTAACAAGCGTGCTGATGGATCATTTGTGTTCAGTTTGATTGACACTCCCCTTTCAGGATGTGATTATTAACACCAGTTTTTGTTTTGCTTTAGGCTTTTACTTGTTTTCTTCCAATCCATTGGACCCAGTAAGTGCTCACGAATGTTAATTATTTCTAAATCTATATCTGTAAAAGCTGTTTTGAAATGTAAAGCAACGTGTCTGGACACCAAATGCTGTAACTGAATATGCTTTGTTTAGAAATGTTAATTCCAGATCCTTTTAATTCTCCATTCTCCAGCTAACAAGCAGCCGTTGTGAAAAATCTGTTTAAAATGTTTGATTTTCACCTTGAACAGAAATAAGCTATTTCAAATCATTAGTTTAAGATTTAGCTGAAGTGATATGGGCTTAAATTCCCCGATCAGGAACATCCAAATATACCCCAAAATTTGTTCACCTTGTTTTTATTTTTTGGAAGGGCATGTAGTTGGCATACATTAGCTGCCCCATTTGTCTACATCACAACATTCATTTAATTTCTACTTAATTTCATTTTGTAAAACGGTTTGAGATGCTTTGACAGGAAAGGTGCTATGTAACTACAAGTGCTGTTTGTAGTACTAATAAGCCTTGCATGAATAAATCTGTGCTTTTCGAAATGTTTTTAGAAAAATACGGAGTGACTTTAATTATCTTTGTGTACTTTCTGGGTTCTAGTTGTGTGTAGACCTGAAAGGTTTGATACTTTTCTGAAAATGCTATTTTCTGTTTTTTTTGGGTTGTAGTATTTCAGCACTCCAGAAGACAGCCTCATCAGCTTGTTTGTTCTCTTAACCACAGCTAAGTAAGTCTGAGCACCACTTCAATCAAAATTACAGTAAAAATGCAATACCTGCGCAACTGCCCCTCAAATATGCTCATTCACCTCGAGAAGGGCTTTAAAAACAGTGGAGTGGCTTGTTTGTGGCCCTTTTAATGCTCGTTGGTCGAAAATGTTACATGATTGTTTTAAGTGTAGGAAAATCCAAAGCATTTGCTATAACATATTATAGCAATATTGCTATATGTATTATAGCAATCTATTTATAAATTCACAACAGTAACAGAGTAGGTTGAAGTACCAATATGCTGTGCCATTGAAAAATAGTGTCGGTGATTGCTTGCCAGTAATTCCCCAGTGAGGCAGTTCTGTTCTGTTAAGGTGGGGATGTTGAACAGAACAAAAGTACATCAATAAGAAGATAACTTAGTTAGTCAGGCAAATGGAGATCACTGCTGCACCTCATGAGATCCAGATCAATAGGAAGAAATTCCATCTTGGCCTAGCTTTACTCTCATGTGCCCTTCACTACAGCCAGTTATGGTGCTTGAAGTAAGCCGCATGATGTGCAGCGATCTAACCAGAGGAAAATAATTCACATTTTCAGCTGATATTATTGTTAATATTTTACAAAAAGTCTGTTGGCTTTTATAATGCAATGATTTCTCTGTACCCCTACGAGAGGACTACATTATAACACTAAGGAGGTCTCGGGTTGATTCCTGGTTTGCATTGAGTTAATTGATATCACCTGAGAAGAAGTGGCACTGTGACAGACCTGAATCTGTGTGTATATTTTAGTTTTCCAGATGTGATGATGCCTGCTTATTCCAAAAATGCTTGGTCCTGTGTTTTCTTCATTGTGTACCTCTCGATCGAACTCTATTTCATCATGAATCTGGTAGGTATTTGTTCAACATTAACAAAGAGCTGAGAATATAGTTAGTGAGAACAGTTAGGAAGAAGTTAGGAAAAAAAGTGCACGCTAACTTTGCTCTTCATGTTTCCTTTAACTTGCAGTATGTTACTTATTTTCTAGCTTCTCGCTGTGGTTTTTGATACATTCAATGATGTTGAGAAGAAGAAATTCAAATCACTCCTTTTGCACAAACGATTAGCAATAGAACATGCCTTCCGTCTTCTGGTTAGCAAACAGGTAAGTCACGCATAGACTTGTAGATTACCATGCACTTGCTTTTAATGCTAACTGAGCGATCTGCCTGTTACATTTAACGTTTATGTTTTATAGCTTTTAATACAAGCCACAAACATATTGTAGGTAATGGCCTTTGACCAGTTACCAGCCTAATGCATCTTTCTGTGTTACAATTCTTTATTGCAGAAGCCTGATGGTATTGTCTTCAAACAATTTGAGGGCTTATTGAAGTTCTTCAAACCCAGAATGAGTGCCAGAGATAAATATCTTACCTTCAGAGCACTCAAGAAAAGCAATACTGAGTTTCTCGGGTAAGAATTTTCATAAATTACTACTACTACTACTGTATAGTAGGAAAGCTGAACCCAGTTTATTCTCTCGACTGATAGTTTTGATAGTACTTTATGGTTATGGTAGCTGGTAATTACTTGCAAATGTTTGCCTTTCCTCTTACCGTGTATTTGATTTATTCATTCATGCACAGAATTGTAGTTGGCAGTATTGGCTAAATGCATCTCGCAATCTCAAAGACTACCATTTTGAAATGCACATGCCTTACCCCTGTGTATCAGTTAACGGCATTTGGAAATTTTAATACTGAGGCTGTGGGCATTTGAATAATCTGGTTTTCTACAATAAAAGCAGATTATCTAAAATAATTAGATAATTATTTGGGGAGGACAAGTTTGCAGGGCTATGGGAGATAGCTCTTTTCAACAAGCTGGCACAGACACGATGGGCCGAATGGCCTCCTTTTGAGCTGTATGATTCTATGATTCTATGATATGAAATGTGTTTTTTTCCCCGCCACAGAATGGATGACTTTTACAACTTGTATGAAGTTACTGGATTGAAATGGAAAGTAAGTAATGTGAAAATCTTACAATTTATCTTCATAATCATTGCATGAAATTGTTGGCATTGACCTGAGCATTCGAAAGACAGGCGTTTTCAGCGCGGAAAGCCAGCACGCAAGTGCGATCCCATTGCCGGCAACCACTTCCCCGGAAATGGCAACAGCCAACCATAACTTCTTACGGCGCAGCAAAGTGATGTTGTGAAGGTTGTTTTCATTTTGTGCCCCATTAAAATGCGATCTCTGGGTTTATGGACCCAAAACCATGCATTATAATGAGGCTTTTCCATTTTTTTAATATGCTAAACCACATAAAAGCAATATCTGATAATTGTTATTTAGTAAAATGCTGTTGTAATTCAGATACTTTTCCCCTCCAGGCAAAAAGAAGTGGAGACTATTGGTTTTATGACCTTCCACACACTCCATTTCTTATTTTTAAAGGTAATATTCCTGTGGATTACTTACTCACTATGCAATCCATCCAGCTCTTGCTGCTCATGTCTAATTCTGCTTTAGAAACCCTAAATAGTTCCCTTGCTGAGTCCTGTGAGTCATGGTAGTAATCTCTGTCTTCAAACCGTGTAATCATATTTAGATTTTTAACTGAGTGCTATTTTTACCGAGCTTGATAAATTGTAAAATATTACGGATGGTGGCAAGGTTTGAAGTTTGCGATTTCATCTCAGGCATAACTGATGCCTGTCAACCACTTTGCTCTGATAGCTTATGATATCATCTAAATTCTAGCCACCCCATTTCTTCTTACTCTTTAAGTGGCAGTTGGTAGCAATCTCTGGATGAGAGAGACCTGGGTTCAAGCCTCACTTTGAGACACTTTCAGCTGAGTATTTAGTATGGGTGGAACTTAAGTTCCTTTTCACCTCCCTCCCACATCCCCCTCCTCACATACACACACATACTGGAACAAATGACAGATGTTACCTAGGACTAGAATAAATAAACTTTAAAATTCGTCTCATGATACTGAATTATATGATTTGTATTTGTGAATCAAATTCAGAATCACATTTCCAGCAGATTATAATATGTATTTAAATGATTAAGTTGTTTGTCTCCGACTGTTTTGCTGAACAGACGCCCTACGTGCTCCTTAACCTTGGCCTTCTAACTCCTGCTGTCAATTAGTCTATCTGCATTCTCACAGCCGAGTCCCAGGAAACAACGCAAATTGCATAGAAGAGTGCTATAAATGATAAACCCAAATAACCCTGTTTTCAAGGGCTGGAGTTTATTAATGTAAACACCCAAACTCGGGAGCAGAAAAACTGAACTAACTTCTCACAACTTGGTTTGTGGGCTAACTTGGTTCATCTCATTTAAAAATGCATCAGTTATCCAAACAGAATGTAACAATGCTTTCAATATAATTTCAGACTACAATTATTTTTTTCATGGGAATTTATTAATAACTGAGATTGACAGTGTGAATCCATTTATTGTTTTCTGCTTTTATAGGCATTAATATTCTTGTGAAATCCAAAGCATTTCAATATGCTATGTGTAAGTATTTTTTTCATATTTTACTTGTTATTATCAACGCATGCTGCTAAATTTACTATATTTATTTTTACATATAAGGTGTAAATAAGATTATGACTGGAACAAAGATTTGTTATTGTGACGTTTTAAGGAGTTAGATCTGTGTCTCTTACTAGGTTCTGCCCCCATTCACTGAATAAAATATTTCCATTTTAATGACAAATGTATTGATTTTCAAAAGCAGATTGGATGTATTAATGAAGTAGCAGTTTCTTTGGAAAATTGACTTCATCTCTTGTTACAATGCAATCTACATTTATGTAGTGCCTCTCGTCAAGTTTCAAAGCACTTTGCATAGCTATATAATCAGCAATATAATTGTTACATGATCAGTACAAATGAATCCAAAGGTTGGAAATAATGAGACATGGAGAAGTTTGGGGGACAAAAGGCTTTCCTGGGAAGGAATTACACGATTCATCCTTAGCTCTGGGTTCACAAGAAAGCTCACACTTAAGTACTTTAGTTTTCTAACATGTGATGTCCCTGGTTTATTCTGTAGGGTAAGCTTTGTGGCTTCAACTCCTGTGAGCCCTTGAGATTTGGCTGTAGTCCTGCAATTCTATATAACAACCTAGTGAAATGAAGTCCAATTATCGGAGCGTGATGAAGAAATGATTTGCTATTGATCCACCTGTCTACTATTTCAGATATTGTAATTGCTGTAAATGGGATTTGGATTCTGGCTCATACACTCATGATCAGCGGTAAGAATAGTATTTTAATTTTTACCAAATCTCTTCAGTAAAATAGGTGAGTTGAATGAAAATGCTGTGACTGTCCTATCATTTTGATGGATGTGATTTGGAACAAGCTATTATTAGCTAACCTGACCTGAATGGAGTTGTGGTTCATGCCTTGTAATTCTACTTTGCATTTTGTTTTTCCGGGGTGGTTTTTACATTCTGCCTGCTGCAGATAGTGCCTTCTTCCCTAAGATTGTGCCCTGGAGCTACATTGTGTTTCTCTCAAGTGAGTATCTGTCTTTTCTCAGCCTTTTCGTCTTTTTAGCGCCTTGGGACATAATCCCGATATAAAAAATGCTATATAAATGTAAATTTGTATTCTCGCTTTAGTTAAAAAAGTTACCTTTCAATTTCAATATTAAGTAAAATGTCCTTTTTGAATTTAGATGATAGTTTATCTCAAATATCTGGATTTCTTTTTTGGATTTTAAAGTTATTTCCAAATGCAATGATTATTATTTTTATTACATTTTGAACTAAATTTCAAACTACAGTTTTGTGTGTTATTATATTATGTATATATAATATGTACATATATACTAGTAAGTGTGGAAAAACCTCAGTCATTTCTCCACAAAAGTAACAATTTATTTTTTGTTCAATCGATTGAGATTGAAAAGTCCATTAGCTGCATTAATTTAACGGACTTGTTAAAGATGATACCATAATCTGATATCTTAAGAATGAACCTCACAAAATATTAAAAGTATTTCCTGTTACAAGGCTACCACAAGTCAAATCTTATTGAAAAGGCTTTTGTAAAATGAGTATTGATCTAATAATAGTTTGTGTGTTTCCATATAATTCATACTGTAGCTTGAAATGAATATCTGCTTACATGATGTTGGTTGTTTTATGCAGTTTATGGGGTGGAAATGTTACTGAAGATCAGTGGGCTGGGACCATCTGAATATTTCACTTCAGGATGGAATTTGTAAGTACGGAGCAAATGCAAGTCATTTTGTAATCCGCTGTCGTGAGTCAACTGGCCACAATCACAACTGAGCTAATGGTGTCCACCCTCACTGCCCACCCCTGACATCCATGCATGTAATAATCAATAGGAGACTTAGTTGATTGTTATTCTTTTCTAGCCCTTACTGAACCAGCAAACTACAGCAAAGGCTGTGATTTCAACCTCGAACGTTATGGTTCAGAATGGCTGAAGACAGGTTGTTTCAGGTCCGTATTGTCCTTTGACAATTTGGAGCCTCGAAGAGTTTGGGGGGGTTGAGTCTTGCCTGCGGGGACAACTCTCTGTCCCTAGTGGAATGCATTTGGTCTAATTCAGTTAGTGGGGTTGAGCAGGCCTAACCTGGCTCAACAATAATAAAAAAATGATGGTTTAGTATTTCACTGTGGTAGAGCCAGTTTGGCCAAATCTGAATGAGCTGATTTATGAATTATAACTTATGTGGGCATTGAGTGTTGCAAATATTATATCAATGATATTAATGTTTTGTTAGATCAGCAGTTCACTTCCTCTTTTATCCTTGGTCCTCTTTTTGTCGTGGTTTCAGTTGACCAGTTACATAATCTATTATGGTTTTCTGTAATGAGGAATCCTCACTTTTAGGACATCCCTGGGCCTTAACTGCTTATGTAGGCCACTTTAATGACTTGTGTCAAAAGAGTTGTCTTATACTAGAAAATACTGACTTTATTGTCTACTCTCCCTACTGTACTTTGCTAAATGGAAGATCTTGACATCAACACATTTGAGCAACCAGTTTCACCTTGTAACATTCAACAGCCAAGCCATGATCGCTCATTAACATGTGTAGGTTATCACCCAGAGCCTTACAATGAAGTTGAGGTCTCTTACTGGAGAGTAAAAGGCATGAAAATTAAGAACATGTACATTTTATATCACAGGTTTGATTTCCTGGTCACTATACTCGCGTTTGTTGGAATAATCGTATTAGCTTTCGACATGGAACCATTCTACTTTATTGTTGTTCTGAGACCACTTCAGCTGCTAAGGTTAGTAATTTTATTGCTATCTTTCTACCTTTCCAATTTGCTAAACCTATTTTTGTATGTCCGCTGAGTGCTGAAACACATTTTGCACATTTGAAATTTACATTGATAACTTGCGCATTCTTCTGTGATTGTGTTTTTGATCTTTGGATTTTCTTATTGGAGCAATGAAATGGAAAAGGAAATTATTATTGAACTGAGTAGAAAACGCAAATGTACCTAAAAGGGTTATGCTGTCACATTTAATAAAATAATTAAACTGATTGCCATTAAATGGTGTTTTATTCTAAAATTATTTTCTGTAAATTGTGGAATGTGGGGATTCTGCGTCTGAATCAGCCATTCGTTTAAAATTGAGTGCTGTGCTTTCAAGCACTCTGAGACACTACCACTCATGAACAGCGCTATATAAATGCTATATAAAAGTTGTTGTTGTTAAGTAGCTTGATGCAAAATTTTATCACCCAACAACAAAGATGAGTTGATCCTTAGTTACTGTTTCTGTCTCTTCGAGGTTTGGACTACTTAAGTGTTCTTAACTCCAATTTCTAGATTGTTTAAGATTAAGCGAAGATACAGAGATGTTTTGGACACTATGTTCGAATTACTCCCCAGAATGGCCAGGTATGTTTTTTAAAAAAAAAGTTTCATGTGATTATTTTTTGCTTAAAAAAACTTTAGTCAAACTTTGACCATGTTTTTTTTCTCTCCACCCTGCAGTTTGGGTTTAACCCTACTAATATTCTATTACTCGTTTGCAATTGTGGGAATGGAGTTCTTTGATAATGTCCTGTATAAAAACTGTTGCAAGTAAGTATATGCATTTGATTAAGAAATCATTTACTTCAGTTTCGGTAAATGCTCTGCCTTACTTGAAATTTCCTCAGGCTTTGCTGGGATTTTTTGCTTTATGTTGGGTCTGATCTGGAGCTGACCTTGTACTTTCAGATTAATGATAGCAGTTTGGGGTTTTGAGTTAGTAAAATGTGTGTGTGTGGGTTGGGAGAGGAGAAATACTTTTCTCGGGAGGAGAAATAGCACTTCTATCTCCTCCACTTTGTTTCAAAACAGTCAAGTAGAAACTACTGTTTTCAACTTTGGGCGCCCTTTAGTGGACAATTTAAGAATTGCCTTTGATCGACACATATTCCTTTCTTCCAGGTTATTTAGACCGTGTGTTTATTTACAGATATTTATGCAAAAATTTGTAGAGACAAGAAATAGATTGCAATAAGTTTCAAAAGTATAGATGAATAAAGTAATCCAAACAGGGTTTGGGTTACTTTAAGGGGGAGTCTGAGCATCTCTGCAGAACTGTTCGCCCAAAAGGTGGAGTTGGTGGCTGGAGTTGATTATTTGGGGATCTTTTGGAAAGAAGGGGCACAATTAGCCCCGATAACTTTAAACAAGGAAAAGAACAATTTCAAAAGGAATTACGCCAGGTCATTTAGCTTTTAATGGAAGGAAATATTTTAGGTACTTTAGGAACCAGCATGTGGTTCTGTTGAAATACTTCCAAAAGATTCATCATGTTTGTGTTGTACAAGCTTTCTGGAGTGGCTTCCATAATACATTAGCTGAGCTGTGATGCATCTCTTTTTATAGCAACAGCATGGTGGCAGATTTCTACCGTTGGGAAAACCGCACTGTTGGTAGCAGGACTGTGATACAAGGATACTATTCACTCAATAACTTCAACAACATCCTGAACAGTTTTGGTGAGTAAAATGAGGCTCTGGTTTTAGGTGGGTTAACCTGCGATAAAAGCTTGGAAAATAATTTTTTTTGTTTTTTTTGCAGTAACTCTGTTTGAGCTGACCGTAGTAAACAATTGGTATATAATCATGGTAAGTTGGCTTGTATGTTCCATAAAGAGGAATTATATTCCATTGTATATGCGTCATATTCCTTGAGCTTTAGAAAGGAAGAGAGCTGTATAGTTAGCAACGACTCTGCTGCCCCTCATTACCAACTTATATGCTTTGGATCTGTCTGCATTTCTCTACCTGAACAGGAAGTCTCACACAAAACATCTGTTGTTGCCTCCGACCTGTGGTTCAGAATAGCAACATAGATGACCAACAGACACCAGGAAGTATACATGCATCTCCCTTTTAATATGTGATTATGCCGCGATTCAGTATTACACACTCTCCAATTAACTTGGTGTCAGCTCACTTCTCAGTACTCCAGGTTTGTTACATAAGCACAGGTTATATAACCTTCTGGGTCACATGGCTAAAATGGATAGATTGCTAACTGTCTAAACCCAACATTGGTGTTTTAAAAAAAAAGACTTCTGCAGAAATGTAAATCCTAGTGCTAAGAAGGTTGAGCTCAGTAACCAATTGAGGCTCATTGCTTAATACTGAAATGAACTCTCCTTTTTCCCCATAGGAAGGTGTGGTGTCTCAGACATCATACTGGAGTCGTTTTTACTTTATGACCTTCTACATTGTAACCATGGTAAATAGCCTAAATGCATGTTGTTGTGAAAGTTCTCATTTTGAAACTGACGTGTGCGCGTGTAGTGTTTGTATCTGTGCGTGTGTCTGAGCTTCATGGTTCTTCCTGGGACGTTGTTGTAAGAAAAATGCCTGCTGCATTCATCTGGAGAATACCATTCCTACGATTCACAAAAAATCCTGTGAAGCATTTTGAGGTGTCTACTTCGAACAAGGAAAATTCTATGTACTGTACTCTGATTTGGGAATTTGCATTGAAACGAATGTGTGAATTGACCCAGTTTGTGACTTTTACCAATCTACTATTTTAAATTGTAGGTTGTGCTGACAATTATTGTCGCCTTCATTTTGGATGCATTTGTGTTCCGCATGAACTACAGCAGGAAAAATAAAGACGAGAAAGGTATGTATTATGTCTCTGAGTGTGTATTAACAATATTTTTGGGACATTTCTGTCTGTCGTGTATTTAGTGCTGTGAGAATCAAAGTGCTGTAAATATCTGTGTTTGAGCCAGCACAAATTATTCTGCTTTTCTTCTTGTCCTGACTACACCCTCTGTTCAGTGGGGTCCAGTCTGCTCCATTTCCCCACCATCGGCGGTCGGGCCTTCAGCCTTTCTGCCCCCACTCTTTGGAACTCAATCCCACTGTTCCATTGCCTCGCCCCCTCCCTTGCCTCCTTCAGGTCCTGTCTCAAGACCCTCCTCTTCGACTGCGCTTTTGGTCATCTCCTATCCCTACCCTCTCTGCCTTCCAATCCCCAGATCCCATTCCCCAGCTAGAGTTCAAATCCTGACCGTCCAGCGCCTTGGTATGTCTTCCCGGCGTGAAAGGCGCTGTACAAATGTAATTTGTCATTGTTTTTGCACTACCTGGGGAGGTATTTTCAGGAGCAGGTTGATTTGCACTCGCTGCTGTAAAAACACAGCAGGTTTGAATCAGTATCATCCCTCCTTTTCCCTTGATCGAGTAACGATTAGCAAGAGTGGCTCTTATGTTGCATTTTGTATTCACGTTTTTACCCTTTGATCTTTTCCCACCAGATGATAATGGAATTGTATTTGAGATGGAAGTGACCAAGGAAGAAATTGATAGAATTCTTGAGTTCAATAAACAGAACGGCTCCTCATCATCTGATATATCCGGGCTTTTTAAACTATCTTCTCGAATGACGGGAACTGGCGTATGTTTCTCTTCACTTTCTTCTGTTTTCATTTAAGTTTGGGTGGAAGAGAGGGTGAAGTGGGAGTTGGGGGAGAGAAGGAGGAAATAGTATCTATTCCCTATTCGCAGTCCAATTGCTTTTCATCCCAAAAATGTGCTCAATGTAGTAAATCCTCGATTAATATTGTAATTTCTATGTTTATGGTTAAAGCACTCGCCTTGCAAGCGAGACACCTGGGTTCAATTCCAGGCAGGGCGAAACCTTGGGCAAGTTTCCTTACTCCACACGCCTAATAATAATCTCTCCAACACAAAACAATAATAAATTGGTCATTTTCAATCCACGACTGTTTGTGGGACACTGCTGTGCGCAATTGACTGCCGGATTTCGCCCACAAATATACGGTCAATTCATTTTACAGCATATTCTGTGAAGTGCTTTGAGATGTCTAGAACTCGTGAAAAGCGCTATATCAAATGCAAGGATTATTATCTTAGATCTCCAGCATTGCTAAGCAATTCATGTAGACAACTTCAGATGTTTGGATTAACATTCTAGAATTTCATTTAACAGTTCCTATGTTAAGCTTTTTTTTGAAATAAACCACACATTGCCTTATTATTTGTAAGTCAGCCTGTAATCTCTGCACTGTTCATTTTTGGAATAATTTAAAAAATATAATGCAATTTGACCACTAGGTGGACTGTAATCACATAAATAGCACCAATTGAGAATTCTTATGCAAGTTCTCAAAGAAGGGTTCAGTGTCTCTCACTCTGTGGTCCTCTCATGTGACTTTAGAAGAGGGGGGGGGGGAAAAAGCAATGCCCTCCCTATATTCTTAAATGGTCCATTTGACCATCTTTTCTTTTAAAAGTAGAGCTTTCTTTTTAATTCTTTCTGAAATTTAGCTGAATTAATTTCTGGTTTGTTGCAGCAAGCTAACATGGTTTTTAATGGCCGAAGATCGAGAACTAAAAGTGACCTGAGTGTCAAAATGTATGAAGAAGAGATTCAGGTACGAGAATATGTACTCTTATCCAGACTTTGTGCCATGTCTTCCACCATTTGAATCCATTTTGATCATTTTGTTGTTATTGTATTTGATTTGTTACAATATATTTCAGAGTAAAATATTTTCCTTGTGTTGATTTGCTTTAGTTTAAGTATTAAAACATCCTGTTTGAGAATAGGATCTGATTTGTGGTATTTCTTAATTAGAAATATTTAATTATTACATTTCTAAAACATATCTGATGAAGAAATTTTGTTGAGAAATACTGAAAATAAGACCCTAATATAGTTGAAATATGCTTTTTATTCAAATGCATTATGCCATGTTAACATTCTTGTATTTTGAGATTTAGTCAACATAAATCTGGTATAAAGGACTTTCTAGGTTTCCTTAGCTTGAATTTAATGTTGTCCAAAGGGATATTAATTTTTTTTAGTAAATACAGCATTAAAGCAACCTGAAGTGGTTTAAGTTGCTAAAACCCGTTCTCAGTATATATTTTATCGCTTAATTCAGTTTGGGGAAGCTTTGATGTGGACTCTTAATTCTGCAGCATTCATATTATCAAAAGCTATCCGTATCTATTCGGTTCTCTGTTGTGACATTTCTGTGAACTCCTGTGTTACACTGCAACAAAAAGTGTTCTCATTGCCCGCAGGAGTGGTATGAAGAACATGCTCAGTTAAACCACGTGGAGGATGGTCAGCCGCTGGAATGTATCCTGAACTCTGGAAATCATCAGCCATCTGCCGAACCCCGACTGCGGTCTCAGACTGTAACTTAAGGGTTACAACTTGTTCTCTCTATGCAATAATTATTCAGTGTTACTTTATATTGGTGTTTTGCACATGTGCACTTGGAAACGTTTTCCCCTATTGGAGAAGCTGCTGTGCGGGTAGTGAGTTAGAGCAATCTAAACCCTTGGAAGGGCTAGAATAGTGAGGGACCATAGTCCTATAACTGACGATCATTATGTGGTCACTTTTATCTGCGTTCTGTGGTATGTTTAAAAAGGATGGCATTATATTGATAACCATTTTATGTAAGCCAGTAAAGGTATAAGACTAGTTTCTTTAGGTTTATTTGGTCTTTTGCTTCAAAGTAACTCTTTCACCTTGATGGTACCAAATCTGTTGGTCATAAAAGTGCACGCTGGATAGCTAATCTCCAAAATTTTGTATCCATTCAGCACTTTATATATTTAACAAACTGTTTATGAAATGAGTCAGTTAATTTCTAATGTTACTGGCTTCCCTTTATCTTGTACTTGATCAAATCAGTTTCCCATTGTTCCTTTCTGTTTGATTGTACTCATTAAGCATAAATGAATAGGGTGAACGGGTTAATGAAACCACCTCTTAATCTTGATATCTAGTTATGCCAGATTAGTGTTGCCACTACAGGTGGGAACTTTAGACCAAAATGTTCATTTTTATTCTCCTCAATCATGAACAGTTTTAGTGCAGAATTTACTTTTTAATTGTACTGCAGAGATCTGCTAAGCCAAAACTCTACTTTGGACCCACACATGTGGATTAAATTTACAATGCTCCTGTTTTACAGCAGACTGAATTCTGTGGGTTTTGTGTTTTGAGGAGGCGCAAAAGTTTTTAGATTAGATACTGGCGTTATCCTCACAAATGAATTTTCAAAAACCAAGAATAATGCTTTTCAAAAAAAAATCTCAGCTTTTCTATATAAATATATAATATATATAAATATTTGTTTGCAAGACAAAGCTGAAGGACCTACCATAATTGCTGGATTAATACTTTTAATTAAGAGTTTTTAGTTATTTAATAATTTTAATTAATGCTTTTGGTAAAGAGATACTGGATCTCGGCGAGAGAAAGTGGAACTGTGTGCTTGATGAGGGTGCAGTGGCATTTTTCATAAGAAATCTGCACCTTTTTTGCACATTTCATTCAATAAAATTGAAGCCAAATAGCAGACATGCTGAGCCAGTAGTAGATCAGATCATGTTGAAAGTTTATTTTACTTTCCCTTTCCACCCCACTATCATATGTTGAATTGCTCCCAGTGAGAATGTGTTCCTGGGATAGTGACCATGCTGTGTTTCAATTGCAGTAGATGGCCACATCAGCATCCCGTTTGCAAAATCAGGCACTGGATAGGTAACTGCTGTTAATCTTCAGAGAGGACAGCAAAGAAATAATGCCACCTCATTTCCTATGATGCAGTAAATGACAATGTAAACCAGGAAGTATTTAATTTATATTTTTAGTGCTGAATACAGAAATGAAGTCTTATCCATTAGTCTTGCCAGCAAGTCCCCAGAAACTTATCCCTTAGCCCTGTGCTAAGCGGTTCTGTACATTGACTTGCAGATTGATACAGGAACCCCATCACCAGCGTTATAGTAATAAAGCCACTCAAACATTAGGATAGCTTTTACTGTGAAATGAATCTTCGCCTAAAACAAAATACCATTTTAAAATAAAAACATTTTCAAGATTTCCCCAGAAGACCTGAACAGGCAGAAAACTGGAGTAACCAGAAAGGGGTTACGTTAGCAGGTCCTAAAGAACTAACTGAAAGTAGATCAGGCTTTTACATGTTCATGTAACTATGCATTTGAGAATGTTAATTGATCAACTAACTACATTTTACTTGGGAAACTGAGGAGGCACCAGATAGGATAGTAATATTCATCATTTTTATAGTGTCAATTATTATGCCCCGAACAAGACTAATGTGTGAGCAACTCTCAACATTCAGTAAATCAATATATAATGTATAATTATAAGACAATTGGGCCATTTTCAGCAGACTTTGACCATTTATCTGGTTTGACACATTGAGGTACTTTTTAAAAAAATTGTAAATCTGCTTAAAGTGTTCTTCAGGTGTGACAATAAAACCAAGGGGCCGAAACAGATCATTCTTAAAGCAGGTAAAACTGATTATTTTTCTAAACCACTATTCCCTGTCTGTACATTCTCAAAGAATTTTAAATCACTTGTTACATAGATATGAATCACAAAATTTGAACCTTAAGAATTAACATTCCATGGAATGAGTCCATCAAATTGTATTCTTTGATCTGAATCTGTAATGGGATCTGAGCTCGTCTCAGTTGGAAGAGCAAGTATTGATTTGCTGCACTAAGGTATTTGCATGAGCTAATCCAGATGTTTGTTCAACAGATTTAGATAGCACCTGCCATGTCAGGAGGATGTCTGGGAATGTAAGATGATGGGAGTAAAACTGAGGAGGGATGGACTTCACTTTTACATTTCCTCAGGTTTGATTCAAACCCAGAGGCAATTACTGTAAAAAGCCATAATATAAAATAGCAGCTAATAAGGGAATTCCATGTACCCTCCACCACCTGCCTCAGAAATATATCTGAGCACTGGTGTTAAAGCAATATATGACTACAAGGCATTGTATTATCTGCTCCTGATGTAACTGGAGTTTTGTGCTATTTCTCTTAACTGCGCCTTGCATCCAGCGCTAAAGTAGGTACTGCAACCAAAGTTCCACTGTGTGACAAACTCAAGTACCAGCTAGAGACAAGGTGCAGACACTCCAGTTCTCATGTACTAGTGAAAATGCACTAGGAATAGTTCTACACAAGTAGGAATTCTGCCCAGTTTGTAGCTACCGTTATCAATCGAATTCTGTTCCTATTACATCTCATTAATACAAATAGCACTGTCTTATCAAACCTTTAGACACAGCCTGTATTGGATGTATTTGCTATGCTAATGGTTATTACATTGAAGGTGGTTCAATGCTGCATTTAAACAAAAATCTCCAATTTATTTAACTCTTCCCTCCTTTTACTGGAACTCTATTTTGCTGCCATGCTAAATTGTAATTTAACTTTTTTGCAAAGTATTTAGAAATAAAATAATGCTGCAAATGTTTCTCTAATGTATCTGCCACATCAGCCTCTACAGCAAATCTTTCAATCCATTGGACTTTGACATGAACAATTTTGCACTTTGATAAAAAACACTTTTCACATAAGCTTTTAGATCTAACGCACATGTATGTATGTAGATTTGGGGAAGAAGATTCCACTTTTTTTTTTGGTCAGTTGGGTTCTTGACACATGCTTAAGAGTACCCAAACCAAATTCCTTGCATCTCACCTACACATGGAAATTCCAGAGAAATTGTGGGAATGGAATGCACACACTCCCTGGAGAGATGCACTGTGCTTACCTAATTCCAGAAAGTATTAGGCAAGAGCCAAAGGTTGGGGACCCTGGTGTGCGTGTTGGGATACTGCTGGAGACTAACCAACTAAAACTGCATATTTTGGATAAAATAGTTAAGAGATGCAACACTGATTTTTTTAAAAAATAAGCTTTTTATTACAGTTCACAATAAAAATAGTTTGTTTGTTTTCATTTTACCAGTGGGGAAAAAAAATTCAAGTTTCCAAATACATCAGACACTTAACAGGGCAAAAGTAGCCATATTTAATCATCCCTTTGTTCAGTTTTAAACTGAGAAACTTAAATTGTGGAATTAGATGCCATGGTGTCACAAGAAGCTTAGAGGGGATCAATTCTTCATTCAACATTACAGAGACAGTTTTAGTGTAAAGTGATTGTGCGCATCTCCAAAATCAGCCTGAGCTTGTGACTTAAACGTGATTAGAACCAGTATTGTCTTAACTAAAACTAACCAAAGTTTTCTCTCTTACCCTCTCATCAGTTTCAGAGCTGAGGAGCAGTGGAAGATATTGGGAGGGGTGTGGTACAAACCAGGGGAAAGTGTGAGAATCTAATGCTGCCAAAAACAAACCCAACTAACTAGTACAGGTTCCATCATCTTGTGGTTACATTTATGAATTCTTCATTCAGTGAATGGGACCAAAACTTCATAAGCACCCATTTGCTAAAACTTTGAACCCCACATTTCACCCAAGTAAATGACAATACAATATTAAGTACAAAAAAAGACATGTTTGAAATGGAACTACAGTATTCCTCACCCATTGTGCTTCAGACACCTGACAGTATCAGTGTGAACTGAAGTCTTTTGTGCAAGAAAAGTTCCATGTCCATCAGCATCATGTTATAAGGAATTCTCAATAGTTTCTTGAGGTTAAGAACTGACATGTATTATGCGGGCTTCAGTCAATAGTGCAATTATAATAAATATGAGGTAATAACAGATCAAACCAAGCCCATACGCTCTTCTAAGATGAAAACCCTGAGCCGGAATCATGATAAATGACAGAACAAGACTGAGGCCAAGAGCACCAACAAGAATCCAATCCAAGAGTCCGTCAGTCGTCAGCTGAGAAGAAAGAAAATTGGTTATTACATAGAAATAGGAGTGGACCATTCAGCATATCGAGCCTGTTCAGCCATTCTATAAGATCATGGCTGAGCTGTACCTCAACTTCAATTATTCACCCTTGCCCTGTATCCCAAGATTTCGACTTCTAAATCTTGTTAAAAATAGGTTAGTAATATTTAGGCTGTTAAAATTTCTAATATTGTAATTGTTATTATAATTCTATAAACCAGCATTTTTGTAACTCTTGCATTTAGTATACTTATCACATCGTTGAGACATCTCAAAGCACTTCACAGAATATATTGTAAAGTGGAATGACTATTTTGTGGGCAAAAACAGCAGCCAATTGCACAATATAAGGTGTAGATTCATACTATTTTCCATCAGTGGAGAAGGAAAAGAAAATCAAAGCAGAAGTGGTTACTTCATCTTTGCATGGAGATGAGTCATATCTGCTTTACAGACATGTTCAATTTTATTACAGCACAAAGCATTCACTGTAAACAAGTCATTCAAATGTAGAGTCCTGTAGCTCAGTGGTGAGAACACCCGCTTTGCAAGCGAGAGACCTGGGTTCGATTCCCGGAAGGGCGAAACCTTGGGCAAGTTTCCTTACTCCGCATGCCTGATGATAATCCCTCAAAAAAAAATTGGTCATTTCAATCCACGACTGTTTGTGGGACACTGCCGTGCGCAATTGGCTGCTTGCATTTCGCCCACAAATATACAGTCAATTCACTTTACAGTCTTTTCTGTGAAGTGCTTTGAGACATCTAGAAGATGTGAAAAGTGCTGTATCAAATGCAAGGATTATTTTTATTATGATAATAATACGAGCCATCCTGAACCACTTCAAAAAAAATCAGGTACTTTTTTCTTAAATAAACTATCAGTTAGAGAACACAGATGCACTTCTAAGTAAGATTTTTTTTTAAGTAATAAGAGCTATTATACATAGTATATAAAGGTCTCAGATGATGGGGGCCCAAGCAGGGTGGTTGATCACCAAAAAGTGTAAGGTTCTGTTTTCGGTGGGTTTTAAAAAGAGGAAGGGATTTACGAAAGAGTTCTAGAGAGTGGGGCCAGAGTGACTAAACGTTCAGCACCATTGGTGGAGTGAAGGGGATACGAGATGTAAATCACGCCTGAATTAGACTGCAGAGAGGAAGACCAGTGATTAGGTTGGGCAAGACATTTTGAATGCCCTCCCCCAGTTGAAGATTCAAAACAGAACATGTTTTGCGGTGGCTGACACTATAAATGCATGCAGAATACAATACGAACAATGTTGACTGTTAGTGCATACCGTAAGGACATAATTATTGTAGGGCATCTGAAGTAGACTGCTTAGACCAATGCCAAACAGCATATCTACAAGTGTAATTGGTTAAGGATGTATTGGTTGGCTATTGGATTCAGAGCACATAAAATGAACACAACGAGTGAAAGGATACTAAATATTATTCCACCGAAGCACGCAGACAGTGCCATACGTGGATATCCCTTGCGAGCAATTGTGGTGTTGGAGAATAAATCTGAAATAAAAAAAGAAAAGTCCTTACAATAAATAACTTAAGCACAGGTTGTAATAGAAATCTGCCTTCACAATCAGATGTGTTTCTAAGTCAAACACTAAAAGCACCAACAAACCCAGGGTAGACCAGGTGGCAAAATATCAACCCACGCTAGTGCTCTGATAGCTTAGACCAGTAGGTACATACAATAGAACTGGGGAACAGAAACTCAGTGGGTGTAATTTGCAGGAAGTTGGGGGAAGAAAAAAAGTTTTGTAATTCAAGATCTCCAGCTAATCAAAGTTCCAATGATAAAGTGCAACTCAGGATTACAGCCTTTAAGCGTACAAATAAAAAAAAAAGGGGCTTCTCTAGGTTTGAGTGGTAACTTTTCTTTCCAAGTGAGTTTAAATTAAAAAAAACTTGGTGTTAATTAATTGTGATTAAATGAACTATATACAGACGCGTGACCACTTCTGTAAGTTGCACCACAAACCAACTTGCAGCAAAAAATAGCTCAACATTATCAATGGTCAGAGTATAATCTATTTCCTGACTCTTTCCCAACAAGTCTGATTTAAAGTGAGATACTGATGAAACAAACTGACAACGGCAGGATATTTTTACCTGTCCGTTACCTTAAGCAGAAATATTAACACAGAATGAGACTCTTCAGCCCAACATGGCCACTATTCACTTCAGGATGTGATTTAGGACAGCTTAGCTCTTTCAGAAAGCCAGCACAGGGGCAATGGACTAAAAGGCCTCCTTTTTGTGCTCAAATTTCTTAAAAAGAAGTCAAATTAATTTAATATTGATTTAAGAATGCCTTAAATCTGAAAGATTTATTAGAAAAAAATATCAAACCTCCAATACTGTTTCCCCACGCAAGCAATGTCAATCCCAGAACAATGTTGCTCCAGTTAAAGATTACTCCAAAGGTACGCAGGAGGTTGACTATTTCTGTGGCCGCTGTGTTAATCAGAACAGCGCTGAACATGAACCCAATAAAGGAGAACACCTGAGGAAAGAAAGCAGTGTTACGAGAGGTTACCAGCACGCAATGCTAGAATGCCTTAGTAACCGATTGTATGCCGTTGCCTGAAACAAGTAATTTTTTTTTAAACTGGGAGACATGAAATACAAATATCCAGTTCAGGGTGTACAGAGCTCCATTCACATTTGCAGTTATTGAGACAAATCTATTTTAAAAAGAATTGACACCTAGGTTTTCAAGACGTAAAAAACGAACTAAACTTCTCAATTGCCCACAAAATATACAGTCAATTAATTCACTTTGCAGTATATTCCATGAAGTACTTTGAGATGCCTCAACAACCTGATAAGGCTCTGCTATACCAAACCAAGGATTATTATTATTATTATTAATGGCTTAATTAAGATAATACAAGTCAATTCTTATGCATTATTTTGTTAATGTTATTATATTAGTAATAGTCAATTATTATGATCTGATGAGTTTTAACAACTTTAGAATCAGAAGATCGTGGGTTTGAATCCCACACAAAATCTTGTGCTCAAATCCAGGTCAACAGGAGTTGAGAATGGTCAAGAAGTAGCAACTATCCTATCACTCCACATACAAGCGCTTTAGTTAAGAGCCAATGCACGCTGTACTTACACAATGATACTTTGGTGGGTCTTCGTTCTTTGAAGTAAAAAAGATCAGTAGTGCTAAAATCAGTCCAACCAGGAGAACCACCAGCCAGACGGGAAACTGACCATTGATGTAAATCAATCCATCTGACAAGATTTAAAAAGTACAGGTCAGTCATTGTCCACCTAAACAAGTTAAAGATCATGCACTGATATGAGGATCTCCCCAGCGCCTGCCTCATGGCCTCGTCAGTAAAACCATCATCCCAAGCACCACTAACATGCAAGCCAGGTAGTCAATTCTTGATCAATCTAAGCACAGAAGGAACCTCTGGCCCAATTTATCTGTGCTGCCTGTCTAAAAGATATGTTCCTCCCAATTTACAAGGTACAGGGATTAGCCCCTTGCTGTCTTGGCTGTTCAGTTGAATGTCGACAAGACCGAGGCTTGGCTCCCGTCAGCGCCTCCACCCATTGGGTGCTGACAGCATCACCATTCATGGATGAACTCTACATCTCACTGAGCCAGTACGGCTTTGTTAATTAATGTAATGTAATTTGTTGTTGTCCTTAGCATGGATTTTACAGTCAGTGGATCACCATCACACAACCAGTTAAGGGGTTCGGCCACAAAATATACAGCCAATTCACTTTACAGTATATTCTGTGAAGCGCTTAAAGACATCTCGAAGACATGATAAGGCACTATAACAAATGCAAGGATTATTATAATTACAATAGCCAGCTTTAAACGTGAGGACACAGACTAGTGGCCCAGTCACAATGTGAAGGCAGTTTAAAGGGCGCTTCCAGTTACGACTCTCCAGGTCCGGGTCCACCACAGGTATACAGATTAGTAGCACAAACTCAATTGGCATCTACGAGAGAGAGGGAAACAAGAGAAATAGTGTCTTAAAAACTGCAGTCAGGGGAGATTTGTTCACTCAGTTGACAGATTGTCCCGTTTAAACAGGAAGAGAAATTGTGAGAGGGGAAGTCATATGCCACTCAAACATTGTATTGGAAAAGGTTCTTTGGGTACACTGAGTGTCAGTTGTGTATTACATTTAGCTGGTCCTCATTTCTCTCCAATCCCAACACAACTCCTGCAGAAATATTCAAGGGAGGGAATGGAGGCAAGAGGCCATAGTATTTAATAAGATTCAAGTCTTTTTCCTCATGGGGAAAACCTTAGCATTTGCAGAGTTCAACTATATGAAAATTTAAGCCATCCTCAATACGTTTATAAAAGGATCTCAATGTCCTCTCCTTGGAACCCTGTAGATACAGTTATGTCTGAACAATCATCATACACACACACAGGACTGCAATTAAATTGCAGTTTTTTTAGGAAATGATGACCGACAATTCAAACCCAAACATATAGTCATTAGTAGTGGGCCATTTATCTCTGTTCTGATTATGAGGAATATAGGGAGGGGGTGCGGAGAAAGGAAACCCCGCATTCTCCAGACCCTTTATCCACAGAGCCCTCTTCCCCCCACCACATGCACCAAAAAAAAAACACACCTTTAGAAACTTCAAGATCTTCCAGGTCAGTGACTTCCTCCTCCATTTCTTGCAGTCAATAGGGTTGATAGAGTTCAAGATGATAGAAATTGTGGATTTGGCTTCTTCCGGTTCGATGAGGGATTGATACTCGCTCTCTGTGCAATGATTAAACACAAGAGAGCGAACGTCAGTATTTTGCAATGATCACAGGAGTTGGGCCAAGAGAACAATCCATTAACCCATTTTCACAGCAGCGACCCAGTCTGAGCTGTGACCTTATCAGTGGACCACAAATGCAGACTCACCCTCTTGTATGCATCCTCTGATGGAGGCTGGAGCTAAATCCTCTGAGTCGGAATCTGAAAGGGGAGGAGAGGAAAAGCAAATCTTAGATCACCCTTGTTTATAGCAAAGCAGCTTTTCATTAAAAATAGAATCCAGATTACTTAAGTCAATTCACTTTTACAATATATTCTGTGAAGCGCTTAGAGACATCTCAACGACGCGATAAGGTGCTATATCAAATACAAAGATTATTATTACTTTCAAATGCAAGAATTATTATAGAATCTGCGGCAGACCATATTTCAGTCAAAAAAATCTTAATGCAGTGAGAAAGTTGGCGGCAATATTCCACAGCACAAACTATCCAGCAGATGATTCGATCCACTTACTTTCCGATTCCCTGGCAGGATAAGAAGCGTTTTCCTGTTTTTTCCGCCTTTGGTAGATGAAGCTGCATATAATCACAGTCACTACATAGGCCAGATACAGACCCAAGTAACCTAAGATTGTATACACAAAAAAAATACATTTCAAATGAAGTTTACTACTCACAAAACAATTCCACATTTGTGCAACTGATTACGCAAGTCATTTTGGATGCTGTGAAACTACTATAAACTTCACAACAGATATCAAAACTATTGCAAATATTAACTTCTGTAAAATAATCTCGTGAACACAAGAGTCACATGCAGCAGACAGATTAGAGGGGGTTGAAAATATAAAGCAACTTTACTGTAATTGTAAAACAAACTCATTAAGATAGTTGCGTTTGAGGGACTTAAGAACCCAGTATTTGATGTGAGTAAATATAGTCGAGTTATCATGTGCACGACGAACATTCTGTTTTTAGTTTGAAGAAAAACAGAGTGGAACAAATGACTGATTAGCAAACCGAAAAAACCACAGCTCACATCATTTTCGTTGAGATACGCAAGGCCTGTAATCAGCATGTGACCCCTTTTTGCTTTCCACCCATCCCACCATGGGATCCTGTGATAAACTTATGGAATCCACTGCATTGATTTCCATGACACAATGTCTCCATCTTTCTTACCCAGTGCCTGGGCTATGTCAATCTTCCTGAAGTAAAGGATGAGGAAGGTCCAGAAGACAGCACCCATGTAGAAGATCATGTCTCGAAGGAAGGGTCTCGAAGGCACCAAAAAAGGTCTGGTGAAAGCCACGCTACCGGCAACGACAGTGGTCACAAACACCCCTGCACCTGCACCACACAGACGGGAATCGCTCATTACGAAGGCAACAACAATTACATTTGTATAGCATAGCGCCTTTCACATGACATTGTGTTTGCCCTTTCAGCCACGACCTCGGAAACTCTGGGTCGTGCTCCGCCACTGTCAAGCGCTCTGGGATCGCTACCCTGCTATAATGCAAGTTATTATGAAAAAATAGCTACAAAAATATGTATTATACATCTCAATATGAGAAAAATAGCTAAGTCAGAACCCCTGTGTTGCAAAAGGTCCTTGTGATTCAGACACCCAAGGAAGCCAGACCTTTGTCCTCTTTCCCCCCAACTTTATGATCCTCTCCCTAACCCCTCCTCGTCTCTCCACACCCCCTCCCTACCCCACCAATGATTTTTGCCTGCGCCACCAATATCAGTCGAACTACAGCCACTTGATCAAGATTTATGCTGTGGCTCTTTAGGAACACAGTGGAGCCTGTTAAGAGAACCACAGGGTCAGGTTTGTGTACAGCCAGACAAGAGACGGCCTTACCAATCAAGGCTCCGATTGCCAGACTCGCTGTCCTTGGGTCGGAAAAGGCTGCCACCGCACTGAATACATCAGGAGCTCCGTTACCCAGAGCAAGAAAAGTTACACCATAAATAAAGCCAGTCAAGGAAAATCTACTGCAAAATCCCAAGGGAGACAGTTGAAGCAGGAAATGTTGATTCCGTCAAATGCAAATTAGATAGTTTTCTTTTAGGAAATAACATTATGTGATACAGTACATAGGCAGTTCAGGACATACGTTTGTGCTCCCGCCAGGAAGGTGGAAGGCAAACTAGATGGACCTCGGTCTTATTTTTGTCTAACATTCCTTATGTTAACTCCAGAACCCTTGAGAACAGACCATTAATGAGATACTACTTGTGCGAAAATACCCCTTCTGAAATTATAAGGTCTAATTCATTCAAAAGCCGAGAGGATGTGCGTTAGCTTGGCTCAGTGGTAGCGCTCTCGCCTCCCGAATCAGGAAGTTGTGGGTTCAAGCCCCACGTCGGAAATTGGAATCACATAATCTAAGATGATACTGCAATCCAGTGCTGAGAATGTGTTGCATTGTCAGAGGTGCCGTCCTTTGGATGAGACCTTAAACCGAGGTCCCGTCTGCCTATTCGGTTGGACGTTAAGCGATCCCATTGCGCTATTCAAAAAGAGTAGTTTCTCCCGGTGTCCTGGTCAACAACCCCCCCCAAATAAAACTGGTGACTCGTTCCATGGCTGGCTGTAGGACATTGGCTGCCACGTTTCGCCTACAAAATACAGTCAATCCACTTTACAGTATATCCTTTGAAGTGCTTTGAGACGTTGCGACAATGTGATAAGGCACCATATTAAACTAAATTACTATTAGCTACCAGACAATGAACATCAGCTCAAGTTGACTTTAGCAAAGTTTATAGCCCTGAATATACACATGGGAAACCCCAGATGATGGCAGGAGGAAGTAATTCAAACAAGCTACAGCATGGAATGGAGTCAAGTTGTTTAATCACAGAAACCAAAAAAGGATATTGCCACATTGTGGGACAGCTTCAGACTTGAGGAAATGGCAGCCAGGTTAGGACAAAAGCTGGGGGTAGAGAACAGAAGAGTGCAAGTTATAAAGTTACATTTACACCCAAGTGTTGGGAGAACACCTTAACAGCTTGTGAGCAGAGAGGGTTGCGGTATGACTGGTCAGTCCCACTTACACGAAGGACGGTGCGAGAAATGAAAGCTGCATTAGTGATTGTGATAAGTGTATCTAGTCAAGTAGTCAAAGCAAAACCGCAGAGAGGTCCATAGTAGCATCTTGTTGGGCATATCTGGGGGGAAACTGAAAGTAGAGAAACCTTTTCCTTTTCAGCCATCCCTTACGCTTATATCCTGCACAGTCAGTACCCAACGCATGCCATTTTACATTAGAAAGATCCTCCATAGTCAATCTACCTTACAGTTTACTGTGAGGTATCTTGAGCTTCTCAATGACATAAGGGGCGATATCAAATGTGAGGATTATTATTATAAATGCTTTGAGATAGAGACAAATGCAAAGATTTGGCTGTGGAATAACAGAATTATTAGAATACTCACAAATGCTCAGCTGTTATTCCCAGGAATGCAAATAGATAGATCAGCCAAAATACCTGAAATGGAACATCAGAGAAAGATATTTGGGATGACTTACTAAAATAAGGCACAGCAGTCCAGAAACTTTCATGTTGAATTGCTTTCCTTGCATTTTTTTTTAATTCAATATTTCAATTTTATTCCAATGTTCGTGCATCTTTCTGCAGATGGTCGGCCTGTGCAGTAAATAGGGAACCCCAGTATATCACAAGGCTGACCACCGAAAGCTGAATGTACTTCCAAACTTGGTTCATCTCGCCTTTAATAAGGCAATTGTAGCACAATTATGTATTCTGTGCACAACTGACTGCCGCGTTTTGCCCACAAAATATACCGTCAAATCACTTGTGAAGCGCTTTGAGACGACTCAAAGACATAAGGCGCTATATCAAATGCAATTATTATGATTATTATTATGTTCATGTTACAACAAGAGTGCACGTCATTTGCTGCAAATGTCAGCCACTGGCACTCACTGAGAAGAGAGCCAAGCTTGCAATCACTTACATACAATATGATAGCCAGAGGTAGCAGATTGTGTGGGAAGCCACAGATAGCCCTTTGATGTAGTCTATGAAGCCACTGTCAGTCTTGCAGTCATCCGTGGTTTGGACGAACGAACACCACTGAGATTCATTGAGCGATTTTATGCTGCGACACTAGATGGAACAAGATTAGATCCACAAAACAGAATTTGTAAGAATGTGCATAGCAGGTATTTAAAACAATCACAACCAAGTTCATTTAACTTTCTACCTTTCTAAGCCAGAACAGAACCTTGGGATCTTGCTTGACCCTCAACTATCCTTTCTACCCCACATCTGTGCCATGACCCGCTCTGCCTTCCCTCACCTCCGCAACATCGCCCGGCTCCGCCACTGCCTCACTCAGCAGGCCACCAAAACCCTCATACACACTTTCATTATATTGAGGCTTGACTATGCAAACTCCTTGCTTGTTGGCATTCCCCAACTCCTCCCTCCATAGGCTGCAGATCATCCAGAACTCTGCAGCCTGTGTCCTCTCCCGCATCAGGCTCCGTGACCCTATCAAACCCATCTTTGCCCAACTCCAATGGCTTCCCATAACACAGACGATACAATTCAAGATCCTGGTCCTCATCTTTAAAGCTCTCCATGGTCTTGCTCCCCCCCCTACCTCTGCAGCTTCCTACCAGACTACTCACTCCCTCTGCTCAGCAGGCTCCAGCCTGCGTCACGTCCCCTGCCTCACTCGCCCCACTATAGGTGGCCGGACCTTCTGCCACTCTGCCCCCACTCTCTGGAACTCCATCCCTCAGTCCCTCCACCTCGCCCCTACCCTTGCCTCCTTCAAGACCTTCCTCTTTGACCGTGTTTTTGATCCCCAGTGCACATACGCAATCACTTTCAGGTCCTCAATTTTTATCAGCTGGTCTCAGAAACTTGCCAACTGGTTTCAATTTACCAGCAGTGCACTAAACACCTTTAAGACAGCTGCACCACTTCCTGTGCTTGTTCCACCACGCTGATACAGCGACAGGTTCTGTAATATTCACGTGAACTCCATTCTATTCAGCCGACGGTTACATTGAGTCAGCCCTGGTGCTGACCAAATGCAATGACAAGGTTATATACAGTGTATAGTTAGACACGTAACCATCTAATGATGGTATCAAGACTCTTCCCTGCTTGCACGTGCTCCAGTTTTGGGGGGGCACAGGGTTGCTTTCGTGTTAGCTTTCCCTTCAGGCCACATAAGAAAGGCGTCTAGGCAAATGAGACCCCAGACATATCACCTCACACCCCAGCACTGCAGCCAATCCAACAGGAGCAATTAGTCTTGATATAAGGGGAATCATCTCCTCGCCAATAATACTTGCATTTGATATTAGCACTTTTCTCATCGAGAGGAAGTCTCAAAGGAGAAGTCACAAGGCATTTCACAGGATTTTACCATAAGGTGTGACTGCATTTTGCAATCTTCGGAATGAGAAGTTAAACTGAGGGTCTGTTCAGGTGGACGTTAAAGATCCCATGGCGTTATTTAAAAAGATAAGGGAGTTTCTCTCCCCCGGGGACCTGGCTAACAATCTCCTCCTAAATAAAATTGGTCACTCACTATGTGGAGGTTGGTGGGATGTTGCTGAGCGCAACTGGCTACCGCATTTCACCCACAAAATACACAATCAAAAAATGCTTGACAGTATATCCTTTGAAGCGCCTTGAGATGACTCGACAACGTGATAAGGCGCAATATCAAATGCAAGAATTATTATTATTAAATTGATAAGCAGCTCAACGAAGGGATTTTCAGAGTCCTATAGAACTGATGGCTGCACTGTTATATAATAACCTTCATACAGTCCTTAGTACCGAGATTCAAGTTTAGTCCAGCCCTTGGCTAAGTAAATGTCTTTGACTGCTACGTGGAGCAAAACTGGTGAGAATGTAGGAGCTGGGAATCTAAACCAAGTTAGCTCAGAGGCTTCAATTGGGGTTGGGGGGGCGGGGGAGGTATAGATACATTACAATATACAATGTAGTGTACATGGTTATTATGAATATCAGAAAACAGTCTAAAAACAGTCACTACACTTTACAGTACATCCTGTGAAGCACATCATGTCAACGGCATGATGAGCTACTGTATCAAATGCAAGGATTATTATAGATTTTCCCCAAACCTACCTATCCTCCTGCCTGCCTTTTAACATAAAATAATCCAAACCGTTGCATCCAAACTACAGTACATCGCAAACGAAAAAAAAGGAAAATCGATATCTGCTAAGAAATGGATGTCACGCAGTTTTAAAGTTACCTTAAAATATAACACGTACCTCAGCATTGCCGTCGAGCTGGTTTTCCAACAGCTCTGGGTAAGAGCTGGCGTTAAAGATGTTCCATTTGACTGGGGGAGGTTGGGTTGCCTGTTCAAAGGTTGTAGGAGGATTGAGTTGGACTCTTGTCAAGGGCTGATTAGCGGTGCAGTGGACGATGGATAGCAGGAGAAAGCATACCCCAGCCTCCGACATGGTTTGTGGCTCGATTCTAGAGAGACAGACAAACAGATAGATAGATTTACATTCATACGAGCAGAGTGTGTGGCATTTTTTAAATTCCCGATCAACCTTATTCAGGATAGCCCGTAATCACAACGCACGCAGTGGGTGAGAATAATAATGATAATCCTTGCATTTGATATAGCGCTTTTCACGTCGGGAGGACGTCCCAAAGCGCTTCACAGAACACACTGTAAAGTGAATTGACTGTATATCTGTGGGCGAACGCGGCAGCCGATTGCGCACAGCAGTGTCCCAACATCACCGGCTCTAACCCACCTGAGCCCTGTTTCAAACACTACCGAAGGAGAAGAGAAAACACACATCTTAAGCGAGAGAGAGAGAGAGCGAGAGGAAAAAAAACCACACATCAGAAAGGGTGAATGAATGAATGATTAAACTTGCTCAGAATAACATATTCTTCTCCAAAAAGAATGAAAAAAAAACACTCGCTTACTTACAAACAAGCCTACAGCACTTTTTTAAAAAAAATACTCTTGATATAAGTGAATGACTTTAACAAGTTAATAGCAAACGTTAGCAGTAAATGAAACCAACACATATATATATATATATATATATATAGAGAGAGAGAGAGAGAGATAGAGAGAGAGATCCTTTTCGTTTGGTTTCAATGGGAAATAAATGCTCTGGTCTTTAAACTGTGTGTCCACACCTGAACCGAATTGGGAGACCAGTCAATTACCTGATTTGATTCCCTTTATGCCAACAAAACCCAACCAGCAGCTGCGACCAGAGAGAGAGAGAGAGAGAGAAAGTGAGAGAGAGAGAGAGAGAAAAAGAAAGGTAAAAATAAGAGGAATAGAAGGCAGTGCATTGACCACACGTCATGTATTTACCAGTCCAGCTCATGTGAGCTCCATTTGCACTTCAGGAAACACATTTCCCACGTTTCCTTGTTGGATTCTGTTCAAATTTTTGTGCAGTTTGGGTAAAAAAAATATTTCTGTGAACCTCTCCCCTCCTCCTCTCCCACACACACACACACACACAACAAATTACTCATCACATCCTTTTATTTATTCCTTCTTTTTTTTTCTCACTCCCGCATTAGCGTATCATATATATGTATATATATATATATATATGTGTGTGTGTGTGTATATATGTGGGTTCGTAAAGATCGGTCGCGGGTACAAAAGTGCAGCAAAATAAACTGCTGATTTAGCGAAGGGCGGATTCTACTGGAGGCGGAAGTGCAGGAAACTGTTACAGTCAAACAGCTGATGTGTCACGTGAGCCGAGAGCGGGTGATACACACACACACACAGACAGACACACACACACAGGGACACACAGACACACAGGGACACACAGACACACACACACACAGACACACACACAGGGACACACAGGGACACACAGACACACACACACACAGACACACACAGACAGACAGGGACACACAGACACACACACAGACAGGGACACACACACAGGGACACACACACAGGGACACAGACACACACACAGACAGGGACACAGACACACAGGGACACAGACACACAGACACACAGGGACAGACAGACAGACACACACACACAGGGACACAGACACACAGGGACAGACAGACAGGGACACAGACACAGACACACAGGGACAGACAGACAGGGACAGACACACACACACACACAGACAGGGACACAGACACACAGGGACAGACAGACAGGGACACAGATACACACACACAGACACACACAGACAGACACACAGAATAGGGACACAGACACACACACAGGGACAGACATACACACAGGGACAGACACACACACAGGGACAGACACACACACAGGGACAGACACACACACAGACAGACACACAGACAGATAGACACCCACACACAGACAGAGACACAGTCACACACAGAGACAAACACAGACAGACAGACAGACACAGAGAGAGACAAACACACAGACAGAGACACAGACAGACACACACAGACAGACAGACAGACAGACAGACAGACAGAGAGACAGAGAGAGAGAGACAAACAGACACACGCACAGACAGACAGAGAGGAGGGGAGAAGGACACATGTGTGTGGGTGTGAGGGGGCTCGGGCTGCCCCTCCTGCTGGTCCTGGCGGCGGTCGGTGTCAGCCCCTCTGCCCGCGGTCACTTGCTCCGATCCGTGGTCCTGGATGAGCACTCGGGGAGACTGCGGGTGGTGGGGGGACTGAACCCCCACAGCATCGCCTGGGCCAACCTCACAGACAGGATCAGAGCCACGGGGTGAGTGCTGACCCCCAAAGCCAGACAGGGGGGGAGGGGGAGAGGGGGGAGAGGGGGATCAGAGCCACGGGGTGAGTGCTGACCCCAAAGCCAGACAGGGGGAAGGGGAGAGAGGGGGATGGAGGGGGAGAGGGAGATCAGAGCCACGGGGTGAGTGCTGACCCCAAAGGCAGACAGGGGGGAAGGGGGGAGAGAGGGGAGAGAGGGGGATGGAGGGGGAGAGAGGGGGATGGGGAAGGGAGGGGGGAGAGGGGAGGGGGGGGGAGAGAGGGGAGAGAGGGGGGGGGAGGGGATGGAGGGGGGAGAGGGGGAGAGAGGGGATATATGTGTAACAATGCACCAGCTGTGGGTTTCACCCCCTCCATCATCTTTTGTCCCATTTCGATTCCATTTAATCTGCGTTCTTAGGAATTGTCGTTTAACCGTTCACAGGACCTGTGTTGTGCAATGTTGTGTGTCTTGTGGTGTGTGTCTTGTGTTTTGTTGTGTGTGTGTGTTGTTGTGTGTGTGTTGTGTTTTGGTGTGTGTGTGTGTTGTGTGTCTTGTGTTTTGTGGTGTGTTTGGTGTGTTGTGTGAGGATCTTTCTTTCAAAAAGGGAGGAGTATATGTGGTGTTCCCATTGGTTTTCACTGTTAAAAGTGGGGCCCTGATGATGATCAACTTGTTCACACACACACACACACTCCTGGAGGCTCCCAGAGTCAAAACAGCACAAGCCAGTTTGCCAACAGCATCGCTTCGGGGGTTTCAGTAATGCTTATTAATAATAAATATTAATAATAAATATTAATAATCCTTGCAATTTGATGTAGCGCCTTATCATGTTGTTGCGACGTCTCAAAGCGCTTCGATGGAATGACTGCGTGGAAATGCAGTACTTGAGTTTTCTATAATAATAATACTTGCATTTGATGTAGCGCCTTATCGCTTTGACGAGACGGCTTAAGGCCATAGCACAGAATATACCGTCAAGTGAACTGACTGTGTATTTTGTTCAACGTAGCTCAAAGGTCATCTATCCCATGGTCCCTCCGCCTCGCTTCCTCCCTTGCATCCTTCAAGGTCGGTCTCGAGACCCTTCCTTCTCTTCGACTGTGCCTTTGGTCTCCCTCCCACCTCTCTGCCTTCCCTCACCCCTACTCCCGTGCTCGGGCGACGACATCTGACTGTTCAGCGCTTTGGGACGTCCTCGTGACGTGAAAGGCGCTCTATAAATATAATTTTGTTGTTGTTGTATTGGGTCACCTTGATGAGGGTTTGATCCTTTGAGGGACAATGGAGTTGGGGTTTGGGAAGGAAGAGAGACTTAACAGAAAATTCTGTGAGGTGTTTCAAGACATCATGACTTGATAAGGTGCGCTCTCAAATGTAAGGATTATGGTTGTTTTGCTTTTTTTTTAAGTTCTTCTAATAAACAATAAATTCTCACTTTAAATGTGTTTTTATTTTATAAACCTATAAAATACACAGTCAATCTACTTTACAATATAATCTGAAAACGCTTTGAGACATCTCAACGATGTGACAAGGCGCAGTGTCAAATGCAACGATTATTATATTCTTTCAAGAAAAATTTAATCTGATGTTTAAACCTCTCTCTCTCTCTCTGCAGCTGGTCATTTCTTGAGATTGGGACAAATGGGAAATACAATGACAGTATTCAGGCCTACGCAGCAGGAGTGGTAGAAGCTGCTGTTACCCAGCCGGTAACCTATTTACTTTTTACGAAATAAAACTTTTATCTGACGATCTGTATATTAAATCCAAGGATTATTATTATTGCCCTGATGTACTGTTCAGAAATCTTACATTTTAAGACAATATGGTCTTTGCATGTAAATCTTGAGGTTGAGTTTAGCCCAGTATTAACCTCTATGTTGGTTTCAATGTTTTTTGAAAGCTTATTTACATGCACTGGATGAACACGATGTTCAACTACTGTGGGCCCTTTAAGTACAAGACGAAATACTGTGAGAAGCTCAGGAACTACATCGAGACCAACTTGGCGTGGATGGAGAGACAGATGGTGAAAGCAAAAGAGGACGAGTACTGGTATCAGGTAAGGATTGGAGGAGAGGTGAGAGAGAGAGTTTGAAAGCTTTGATTCTGTGCTTCCAGTACTGGGAGCAAAAGGCGCATCACTCGCTATCTCTGACTCACAGACCTACGCTACACTATACAGTATATTCTGTGAAGCGCTTTGAGACCTCTAGAAGACATGATAAGGCGCTACATCAAATAGCTAGTAGCATTATTATTAATAGAGTGGAATAGAGTCGTGGCTTGGGTTGCGTTAATAGGTCGGGGCAGAGCATTGCTGTTTTTAATGCTGCCGAGAGTCTCTGTAACAACTGGAGGAAAGGGTCCGTCAAAGGTTACTGGCTGGTTGAGTGGATTGTGGGATGAGCGGAACAGTGTGTTAGCAATACGACGTCAGCTCAATGTCAAATGGCATCGACAAGTGGTTTTGCTACCTATTCAGTAACCTGGAAAATCTATCTGCACTACTGATAATGAACACATTCTTAAAACGGAACCTAAGTTTTTCCACTTGATCTGGAATGCACTGCCTGAAAGGCTGGTGGAAGCAGATTCAACAACAGCTTTCAAAAAGTAATTGAATATACGCTTGAAAAGGAAAAAAAATTGCAAGGCTATGGGATAGGTGCGGGGGACTAGTTGGGTAGATCTTTCAGAGAGCTGGACATAGGCACGAAGGGCCGAGTGGCCTCCTTCTGAGCTGTAAGATTCTATGATCCCTTTTTTTCCCCCTCACCTTTCCCATTTAGTAAACTTGTATAAAACTAGCTATTTGCCTCACTCTTGGGCACAAAACTCTTTATGCAACAACAACTTGCACTTATAGAGCGCCCTCCACGCAGGGCAGTATCTCAGAGCGCTTTATTCTTTCTGCTTTTGCATAAAAAGCAGAAACCTCCAACAGTAAATTCTCCTTATTACAGCTATAGGTAGGAAAGGAATGGGGACGACATTGTTTATGTGAGAGTCCCATTCAGTGATCAGTCAGCAGTTATGCTGAACTCCTGACTAACTCTGTCTAACAGACCTACTACACTGGTCAATCACGCTGGTTAGCCAGAAATCTTGGCCTGTAAAGCTAATGATTAAAAATAATGTCCAGTCTGGCTCTATTGATAGCACAATTTTGTTTTAAACGCAGCGTGTTGTTACAATCGGGAACGCACAGCCTGAAAGGGCAGTGGAAGCAGATTCAACAATTGCTTTCCAAAGGGAACTGGATATTTACTTGAAAAGAATAAAATTTATAATTTATAATTATAATAAAATAATATAATAATAAAATAAAATTTGCAAGGCTACGGGGAAAGACCGGGGGAGTGGGACCAGTTGGATAGCTTTTTTTTAAAAGGAGCTGGCATAGGTGCGATGGGCCGAATGGCCTCTTTCTGTGCTGTAGGGTTCTGTGATAAAATTGGTTACTTACTTCATGGCTGTTTGGGGGACATTGCTGTGCACTAGTCATCTTTGCCGAGGGAAGTGCGCAGTCTGAACTGAACGAATGTTACTGGTTTTTAATGCAGAGTTTTGTGCTGTGCTAGATTAGGCTGACGTTGCTCCAACTTCAGGGGTTGGAGGACAGCTACAACGACCGGGTTTCGTTTCCTGTTGGGAAGTTCTCCATCAATCCCTTCGGATTCATGTAAGCATCTTGCGTACAATTCCCCACCCGTGCATCCCGGCACCTTGCCCCCACTCCTTCCCCATCTTCGGGTCGTGTCTGAAAACCTTCCTCTTCGACCGCGCTTACGGTCACCTTCCCCTCCCCCCGGCTTGGTGCCATGCCCCGCCACTGTCAAGCGCTCTGCGTGATGGGGCGCTATGTAAATACAAGTTGTTGCTGCTCTGCCTCTGTGGGTCCTGCTTATTAAGGGAACACCGCGGTGTGTAGTCTGTTTCAGATGGGTGGTGATTTGGAAGACCTGGAAACCGCTCTGAACGACACCAATGATGGTGTAGTGACTGGCTCTGGCTCCTGCTCCGCCCTCATCAAACTGTTGCCTGGCAACAAGGAACTGCTTGTAGCTCACGATACCTGGAGCAACTATCAGACAATGCTGCGAATCATCAAGAAATACAATTTTTCCTTTAGCTATTCTGCAAACGGTATGGGCGTGATTTTTCCAATAGCTAAATATGTTATAATGATGATAATAATAATCCTGGCATTAGATACAGCGCCCCTAACCTCTTTAAACAATCAATTGCCAAGCCATCACCTACAAATAAAGATCTCATGGCACTATTCAAAATGAGAAGGAAGTTTCTCTCAGCTGGTGTCCTGGCCAACAATACCCCAAATAAAATTGGCCACTCACTTCACTTGTGGGGGTGTTGCTGTGCACAAACTGGCTGCCACGTTTGCCCACAAAACACACAGTCACTTTATAAGTGTATCCTGTGAAGCACTTTGGGAAGCCCCCTTGATGTGAAAAGTGCTGTATCAAATGTAGTTATTATTATAATTATTATTGATATTTTTTTTCTCCAGGTTCGGTGCCCGTCCCAGGCAATGTACAGTCGTTTTCATCATACCCGGGAGTCATCTTTTCTGGCGATGATTTCTACATCTTGAGCAGTGGACTGGTGAGCTGTTTGTATTATAGAGAGGCTGCAACCTAATGAGGGGCGGTAACTCATTAAGAGCTCCGAGATACTGCCCTGAATGAAGGGCTATATAAATCATGTTGTTGTTGTAACAAGTTTCCAAATCCCTGACTGTCCAGCGCCTTGGGATGTCCTCCCGGCATGAAAGGCGCTGTTACAACTCTAATTTTGTGTTGTGAATTAAGTCCAGCGATAGATTTTAAAATGCCACAGTCATTTGGAGAAATTCTTGGATATTGAAAGAATAACAACAGGAGTTTCATTCTCACGCTTGAGGTGACCTTGGAAACCACAATAGGAAACAATAACCCAGACCTGTGGAAGTTTGTGCAGCCGGTGGGCTCTGTGATGGAATGGTTGCGAAACATCGTCGCAAATAGACTGGCCAAGAACGGGGAGCAGTGGGCATCCGTTTTCAAGAGGTTCAACAGCGGCACGTAAGTTGGGAATCTGACTTCCCTTTTCGTTGAATCGCACAACTGTCTTGTGAGTTGGCTTAAGGGTTTTGTTTTGGTCGGCCAGGTGTCTGATACAAGTTTCCACACTCCTCTGTTTACCTGGGAGTAAGTTGGAACCCGGTCGTTATCAACGTCATCAACCTCTCCTTGTCCACCGGTTCAGTTCCCACCCCAATAAAAACAGCCGTCATCACCCCCATTCTGAAAAAACCTTCCCTGGACCCATCCCTCCTCTCCAGTTACCGCCCCATCTCTAACCTCCCATTCCTCTCCAAGGTCCTGGAACAAGTCGTTGTGACCCAGTTCCACTCCTTTCTTTCTCTCCATTCTCTCGTTCCCTCCAATACGGCTTCCGCGCTGCCCATAGCATAGAAACAGCCCTGGTCAAAGTCACTAATGACATTCTGAACATCAGAATGAACATTGTGATCAGGCCTCCCTCTGCCTCCTTGACCTCTCTGCCGCCTTCGACACCGTCAATCACTCCATCCTCAAACACTGCCTCTCCTCTTTGCTTAATCTTCGCGGATCTGCCCTTGCCTGGTTCGATTCCTATCTCTCTCACCATCCCCATTTTTATTGCCTCTAACGGCTTCTCCTCCAGCCCCCGCACTGTCACGTCTAGTGTCTTGTTCGACCCTCAAATGTCTTCTTCCCCACATCCAAGCCATGACCCGCTCTGCCTTCCCTCACCTCCATAACATCCCACCACTACCTCACCCCTCAGGCCACTGAAATTCTTGTTCGTGCCTTCATCACCTCCAGGCTCGACTATGCAAATGCCCTGCTTGTTGGCCTTTCCAACTCCTCCCTGCATAGACTGCAGATAATCCAGAACTCTGCAGTCCATGTCCTCTCCCGCACCAAACTCTGTGACTCCATCTCCCCCATTCTCGCCCGACTCCATTGGCTCTCTATCCTTCAGAGGATCCAGTTCAAGATTCTGGTCTTCACCTACAAAGCCCTCCATGGCCTCGCCCCACCATACCTCTGTGACCTCCTAACCCCCTACCAACCCGCCTGCTCCCTTCGCTCAGCCGGCTCCGGCCTGCTCCACGCCCCCGACCCACCTGCCCCACCATTGGCGGGAGAGACTTCAGCCATTCTGCCTCCAACCTCTGGAATTCCATCCCCCAATCACTCCGCCTCGCCCCCTCCTTAGCCTCCTTCAAGTCCCACCTCAAAACCCTCCTCTTCGACCATGCCATTGGTCGCCCCCCTATCCCCCCCCCCCCCCCCACCCATGACCCCAGCTCAGGTCTGAAATGCTGTACACTGTCCAGCGCCTTGGGACGTCCTCCCGACGTGAAAGGCGCTTTGCAAATGTAATCTTGTTGTTAGTCAATTGGCGGATTGCTTTCCGCATTGCTAACAATTTCTCCAAAAAACATTTTTTTAAAAATGTGCTCAATCCACTTTACATTCTGTAAATGCTTTGAGTGTCTCAATGACACGATATCAAATGCAAGTATTATTGAGCAGAAACCTGTCAACATGCTGAAGGTATCCAACCCGTGCTCCATACTTCCCACTTACACGTGGAAATTGACCGACTGGATTCAAACCCGACCAACCCACATAACTTACTCCTGTCGTTCCTCCAAAAGGAGTTTGCAGTTGAATTTATTTGCATGAGGAACACAGCCCTTGAAAAAATATGAGACTCCTGACCCATAAAACTGAGTTCAGCTACCATCAGCTCAAATATCATGTGGCTGCGTGCACCTTGTTTACTGATCAGTCTTCCTTGACGCAGAGGGGGTGGGGGAAGGAGTAATGGACAGCCCTCAGCTGCCAAAGCTCTGCTCGGATAAGGAAGGCTGCCTCTTGTGTGTAATGGTGTGAAACGCCAGCAAAATGGGTGACACCTGCAAACATGAAGCAAGTGTTACTATGGGCTCAGCTTACACTTGGCATGTTTGGGCAGGGTGGTGAGGAGTGGAGCCAAGTTCAATTCTGGCCTTGTTCAGTGGCCGCAGTGGAGTCTCTCGCGAGCGATCAGCGACCCAGGGTCACTAACAGGCCCCCACAACTCCTACCTCCTGTCAAAGATCAGCCATTCAGTGCAGACCCCAAATCGAACCTACCAACCTTCACTGCTGCTTGTGGGACATTGCTGTGCACAAACTGGCTGTCGTGTTCGTCTTTTTAAAAACGCACAGTCACTACACTTTACATATACCCTGCGAAGCACTTCGAGGAGTCCTCGCAACGCGAGAGAACACTGTATCGAGGATGATCGATTCGTTGATTTAGCTCTGAAATGTCCTGCCCTGTCACTTCTTCTGCAGGTACAATAACCAGTGGATGATAGTGGATTATAATTACTTCATCCCGGGCAGAACGGACATCAAGGAGAAGCTGCTGACGGTTCTGGAACAAATCCCGTAAGCATGAACCCAGCTCCGACCGACCGGCCCCACGTCTTTTTCCGCCATGCAAATTGGGGGTCAAATTTGGGGTTGTGTCTTAACCCATCTGTTGTGTTATTTAGTGGGGGTTTGCAGGGCACGGAGTGGGGCTTTGGGATGTCCCTGACCCGAGTGCGTGACATGACCCTGATTATAAGGACTGGTTTCAAGGACTCCAACCCTATTCTCTGCATTATAGCAGGACCATATCTGTACTTATTTCTCTGATTCTTCCCCGCCCCCTCCCCACCACTAATTTCAACCTATTTCTTCCAACTGCCTTGGGTTAGATATAACCTGCTGTCAGGGTGGGCTGGGGTGAACCAAAGTTTACGCAGTGGGTTAAGCGCTCTTGAGACGCTACCCTGCTTGGAGGGTGCTATATAAATGCAAGTTGTTGTTGTGTTTCCTCTTGCACGCTGTTCAAACATGGCCATGACTCCCATTATCAAGAGTTTTAAACTCCTCGGATCTGTTCTGAAGAGTGGTGGGTTCCTACATGTTCGCGTAGCTAAACCTTTGCTGCTCTCTGAGTCTCTGTTGTGTCGCTGTGTAATTGCAGGGGGCAAATCGTTGTGAGGGACAAAACCGAACTGCTGATGCGCCAAGGATACTGGCCAAGTTACAATATCCCGTAAGTGAGTTTTCACCTTTTGCCCAGCCAATGAGACACTAACGCAGGCCTGAAAATCTCCCTTCCGCCCAATCTCGGCCTGCGAGGCAGAGCATTTTGTCTTTCCAATATTCAGATTGTGCAGAATTATGGAAGGCTCTTTATTTCAGAAGATGTTTGGAAGCCACTACCAAATTTAAACTTTATTTTGAGTTAAGCTTATTTGTGTTGAAGCTTATTTCCATTTACCAGCATCAAATGCAAGGATGATTGTTGTTCTCACTTTTTATTAAATTCTGCAGTTCTGCACAAAATAAAAATTCAGTGCAAAATGCGTAACCAAATGTCTGTTTTACACTCGGACAAAATTCTCTCTGTTAATTTTTTTTTATTTGGTCACCTGAGTGTTGGGGGTAACTGCTGGAGTCTAACCTTCAAACCCTTCGTTCTTTGTAGATATTTTGAAGAGATCTTCAATCTCAGTGGTAACCTGCCTCTGGTGGCGCAATACGGGGACTGGTTTACATACGATAAGAACCCCCGTGCTAAGATATTCCGTCGAAACCAGACGATGGTCACAGACATGGCTTCAATGATCAAGTTGATGAGGTTTGTGTATGAGGGGAATCAGGCTCAGGTCCTCGCCTACTGCTCCGAGTTCCAAACTCTTGCACTCAGCCACCTCCGTGGAGTCCTGTAGTACAGTAGTTAGTGCACTCGCCTCGCAGGCGAGAGGACCCGGGTTCGATTCCTGGGGCAGGGCGAAACCTGAGGCAAGTTTCTTCCACTGGCATCTGATTACCTAGCAGTAAGCAGGAACCCAGTTGTTAGTCGATTGGCAGATTGCTTTCTGAGGGTGATAATCCCTTCAAAAAAATCAATAAATAATAAAAATTTGGTCATTCAATCCACGACTGTTTGTGGGGCACTGCTGTGCGCAACTGGTTGCTGCGTTTCGCCCACAAAATATACAGTTAATTCATTTCTGTCAGACGTCTCAACAGTGTGATAAGGCGCTATATCAAATGCAAGGATTATTATTGTTAACAGAATTTTTCGTCGGTTTGATGCCGTGGTTGGATTCTCATTTGCTTTTACGTTTATCTTGTTCGTCAGATATAACGACTACCTGCACGACCCTCTGTCCAAGTACCCGGGATGCGATCCTTCATCCAATGGGGAGAATTCCATCTCCTCTCGATCCGACCTCAACCCAGCCAATGGCACGTATCTCTTTCCGGCCTTGGAGCACCGGTCGCACGGAGGCACGGACATGAAGGTGGGAAATCTGACAGAACAACAGCAACTACAATCCCTGTGTTTTGACATGGCGCCTAATACCGTGGAAACAACTTGCATTTATCTTGTGCCCTTCATGTGGGGAGGGTTCTTGGAGCGCTTAACAGCGGCAGAGCCCTGATGCCGAGCCTGGGGGAGGGAAGAAGTGACCGTAAGCACGGTCGAAGTGGAAGGTCTTCAGTCATGATCAGAAGGAGTGGGCAAGGCGGAGGGACTGGGGAAGAGTTACAAAGCTTTCGGGGCGTAGTGGTTGAAAGCACGGCCACCAATGGTGGAGCGGCAAGTGATGTGGGGACAAGCAGGAGGCCAGAGCCAGCCAAGGAGAGGAAGTGGGTAGTAGATTGGGGGGGGGGAAGGAATGCAGGTCAGAAAGGTAGGGAGGTGCCAGGGCATAAAGGGATTAGTAGAGGAGTGAGAGGTTCTTGAAATCGAAACATCTCAAAGCAGTTCGCAGTAATTGCTGTTGAGTGCGGTATTTTGTAGGCAAGCGCGGCGGCCAAATTGGGTGTATGGTGACGTCCTGCAAACGAACATCAATTGGGGATGGGGAGGGGGTGAAATGACTAATCCTAAGTGCAGGATCACTGCCCAGGACACTGGGGGGATAAACTTCCTTCTCTTTTCCAGTAGTAGTTTAAGATCCATCTGAACAGGCAGAGGGGATTGTTTGTTTGCAGTTGAAATATCTCGCCTGAAGGACAGCGCATCTGACAATGAATCACTCCTCTTCCCCCCACCTCCCAGCTTGAACTCACTTAAATACTCTTTGCTCTCTTGCCCTTCTTTGCAGGTTACCTCCTCTGAAATGTACAAGACTTTTGAGATGATTGCGATTAGTGGACCGGCGTGGGATCAGGTGCCTCCATTCCAGTGGAGCAAATCCTCCTATAGTGGCCTCATCCATATGGGACACCCGGATTTATGGAAATTTCCACCGGTAATGGTGAGGTGGAGCTAAGGGGGAGAGAAAATATCTACTGTGTCCAAACTTCCCTCTACAAACAGGATCTCATCTGCCGCCTTTCTTATTAAAATGCTCTTCGCGTTTTACATTTACGAGAATGACTGTTGAATGCGAGACAACGATTATAAATTGAAATAATCGAACACCTGCGGTGCTGCGAAAATTGCAACAAAAAGGAAAGAGAGAGAAAAAAATAATCACGAGTAACCGATTCCATAACCCGATCAACCAAGTCGTTTCATTTCAAACAGCTTTTATTTGCTCAATCTTAAATATTTTTAAACAGGCAAAATGATTAATCCGGTCTAAGACTAGATGGGATGATTAATAATTATACAAATGATAATAATAAGTGGGATGATTAGTAAGACAGGAGCCTGTCACCACATTGTGGTGAGCTGTGAGCAGCAAACATATATCACTCACAAAATATACAGTCAATTCACTTTACAGTGTATCCTGTGAAACGCTTTGAGACATCTCAAAAGATGTGATATCAAATCAAGTATTATTACTACTCACATTGTAGGTAGATGACATCAGATGATATCTGACGTAAAATGTCAGATTTTTTTAATATGGTTTTCGCCAGTGTAGTTGCTGTCAATACATACAGTTTGCAATGCAAGATGCTGTGAAGTGTTTAACTCTTTGGTGCGGGCTGCAGAAAAATTGTGCGAATTATCTTTTTTTTTAAAACTCGAAAGGTTTAACCTCTTGAAAAGAGAGGTGGTTCTGCCCTTCTGTGAATAAACGGATGCACAAGTGTGCACATCAGACCTGACTTCCACTGTGATCAGGTATTGTCTTTGTGGACTGCTTCAAAGCTTGATGCGATTTCCCCTCCGCCTCTTAAAAGAAACTCGTTGCGTTTTGTGCGCTAATTATACTAAAGAAGTGAGGATCTGATGGGAACAAGAGCTGAAAAACTCTTTGAAGAAAAGCGACAGAGGAAGTTTCAGATCTTCTGAACTGAATTGATTTGCTTTGAGCCGTTGGTATTTTTTTGTTTTGCTTTCATCTATTTCTGCTCACCAGCTTAATTTTATGATTCCCAAATTCCTTTTGGTCGCCATTAAGATTTTCTGTTTCCAATTGCCCCCCCACCACACGCAGACTCGCTCTACAAAAATAATTGCTTGTTAATTAGAAAATATCCTGGCGACTTGTGCCGCTTTCACATTCCTTCTCCCCGTTGCCAGTAAAATCTCCCAGCACAAGGGACCCCTTTGTTTGCAATATAATAGCTAAATTTATATTAATAGCCATCTGCTACTGAAAAAAAGCAGACTCTTAACGTCCTCAAAACGCCTTCATGCACCAGATTCACGTACTTCGGGTACACATCTCTTAAAACATTTGTCATTCTCTGCACCTTGTCAGGCTTTCAGCCACTAAGCCCCAAGACTTTGGAACCCTCTGCCTCAATCCCTCCGTCTTGCCTCCTGCTTGCCCGTCTCCAGATGGTACTTGAAGACCTCTTCGACTGTGTCGTCACACACCCCCGCCCCACCCTCCTAGCTCAGCATCAAGCTCCACCACTGTTGGGTGCTTCTAAACGCTACCCTGTGTGAAGGGTGCTATAAAAAGGCAAGCTGTTGTGTTCCTGGGGTTGGGCAATGTCCATCCTCTTCGACCGTGCCTTCGGTCATCTTTCCACCTCCGCCCCTGGCTGGACTCTAACCTCCGCCCCTCCCTTGACTCTAGCCTCCAGCTCGGGCGCAAACCCCTCCCGGTCCAGCGCCTTGGGCCGTCCTCCTGATGTGAAAGTCACTGTGTAAACGCAATGTGCTGTTGTTGGGTCCCTGGTTTGAGGCTGAGGCCGACTGTGTCCCTGGGTTCTCTGTCCCTCTGTTCCTGGAGGCTGTGAAGGTCTCTATTCCCGGCTGTTTCTCTGGGTCCGGCCTCTGTCCCTGGAATCTGTCTCTCCTTGGATTGAGGCTGTCACTCTCACTCTATCCCATACTCTCTCCCTCTCTATCTCTGTCCCCCCCACACTCTCTCTATCACTATCTCTCACAATCTCTCTATCACTATCTCTCTTATCCCCCACACTCTCTATCACTCTCTATCTCTGTCACTCTCTCTCACACTATCTCCAACCAACACTCTCTCTATCACTATCTCTCTATCCCCCACACTCTCTCTGTCACTCTCTCTCACACTATCTCCAACCAACACTCTCTCTATCACTATCTCTCTTATCCCCCACACTCTCTATCACTGTCCCCCCCACACTCTCTCTATCCCCCACACTCTCTATCTCTCTGTGTCCCCCCACACACTCTCTCTATCCCCCACACTCTCTATCTCTGTGTCCCCCCCCCACACTCTCTCTATCCCCCACACTCTCTATCTCTCTGTGTCCCCCACACACTCTCTCTATCTCTCTGTCTGTTCCCCCCCACACGCTCTCTATCTCTGTGTGTGTGTCCCCCCCACACTCTATCTCTGTCTGTTCCCCCCCCCCACACACTCTCTCTCTCTCTCTCTGTGTGTCCCCCCCCACACTCTCTCTCTCTCTGTGCCCCCCCCCCCCCCCCCACACACACTCTCTCTCTCTCCCCCACACTCTTCTCTCTCACTATCACCCTCTCCCTGTGGGCCCCCGGTGTGAGGCTGTGTCTCTCTGCCCCCCCCAGTTTGAATCTCCCGCCCCCGCTGTGTGGGGGTGAGGGTGGGGGTGGGGGTAAGATGGCGGCCTTGGCCGAGCTGCCGGACGAGCTGTTGGAGCAGATCCTGCGCTGCCCGGCCCTGGGCCCGCGGGACCTGGCCAGCGTCTGCCTGACCTGCCGCAGGCTCAGCGACGCCTTCCAGGGCCGCGGCTCCCTGTGGCGGCACAAGCTCACCCACAGGTGAGGGAGGCCCCCGACCCCACCCCCCCCCACGCCCCACCCCGCTGGGAGGAGAGAAATCCAGGCCCAGGCTTCCAACTCCGCAGCCGGCGGTTAGGCCTCGGGGGGAGAGGGAGAGGGGGTGTGGGGGTGTGTGTGTGGGGGGGGGGTGTGTGTGGGGGGGGGGTGTGGTGTGGGGGGGGGTGTGGGGGGGGGGTGTGGGGGGGGTGTGTGTGTGGGGGTGTGGGGGGGGGTGTGTGTGTGGGGGTGTGGGGGTGTGGGGGGGTGGTGTGTGTGGGGGGGGTGTGTGTGTGTGGGGGTGTGTGTGTGTGGGGGGGTGTGTGTGTGTGGGGTGTGTGTGTGTGTGGGGGGGGTGTGTGTGTGGGGGGGTGTGTGTGTGTGAGGGGGGGGGGTGTGGGGGGGGGTGTGTGTGTGTGTGTGGGGGTGTGTTTGTGGGGGGGGGGTGTGGGGGGGTGTGTGTGGGGTGTGTGTGTGTGGGGGGGGTGTGGGGGTGTGTGTGTGTGTGTGTGTGTGGGGGTGTGTTTGTGGGGGGGGGGTGTGGGGGGGTGTGTGTGGGGTGTGTGTGTGTGGGGGGGGTGTGGGGGTGTGTGTGTGTGGGGGGGGGTGTGTGGTGTGTGTGTGTGGGGGGGGTGTGTGGGGTGTGTGTGTGTGGGGTGTGTGTGTGTGGGGGGGTGTGGGGGGGTAGTGTGTGTGTGTGTGTGTGTGGGTGTGTGTGTGTGGGGGGGGGTTGTTGTCGGAGGGGGGGGACATTGGACCAGATGTGATAAGAAAGAAAGGGTTAACCGTTTCGGCCCTTTTCCTGTCGTGATAATCAGAATAATAATCGTAATAATAATTATAATCCTCGCACTTGACTCGGTGCCTTGTCAGCTCGCGGGCCGGAGGCGCCTCGAGAGCGCCGCGCCCTCGCCCCGCGGGCCGCAGCGGGGGGTCCGCGTCATCCGCGGGGGGGCGGAACGGGGCAGCCAATGGCGCCCGGGAACCCCCCCACACACACACACGCACACGTGCGCGCGCCACTGCACGCGCACCCCCCCAATCCCCTCCGCCCACCCACCCGCTCACCCACCCCACAAACAGTCGTGGATTAGGGTGACCGATCTTTCTTTGTGTGCGTGTGTGTGTGCGCGGGTATTACCCCCTCTCCACACCCGCCCCCCCACCCGAGAGCGCTCGGCCGATCGACTTAAACCTTCGGGAACGTTGAGAAATTCTGGACACCAGAACGTCGAGCCTTTTTTTTTTGTTGCTGCTGCTGCTGCTGCTGCTGTTGTTGTTGTGGTCGTCGCTCCTTCAATGTTACACTTTGCTTTCGGAAGTATAACCCGATTTTGTGGGTCGTGTGAGACGCTTGGAAAGTTTTTAAGACCAGCTCTCGATGTGAGGAGCCGCGAGGCTACGACAGCAATTCCCGCCGCTTGAGAAGTGCTTCGGGACGTTTCCGCGTAGCGCAAGCGCAAGGGTTATTGTGGAAGGTTTTTTTTTCTGCGTTCAGAACTATTAGGGTGCAAGGAGGTTGTCTGACGGGGGCAGTGATAGCAGAATTGTGGGTTTAGAATGAGAAAGCTTCAAGTGTGGAGATTGAAAGCCTCCCAACACATCCCGAGATACCCCGAACGTAACACAGACCGACGCATACATACATACATACAGACATACGCACACATACACCCTCCGCGCACACATGCATCGTACCGCACTAACCACCAATGAACAAACACACAGAGTAGCAGAAATGTAGAGTCCCAAAAATGTCTGTTTTTGATTACTCTTAGCTGCTCGTGAGCGGTATTGGAGGCTTTAGAGCAAGCTGCAGGGAAACGGGAGCCAAACGCTTTCGAGAAAAACGGATGATTATCAAGTTTTAATCATTTCAATAGTGTTTATAGTTATTTTTGATTTTGTAGGTGGCCCACACTGCTAAAACACTACAGTCGCACAAAACGTTATAACTGGTGGGAAGAATACAGAACTCGACATTCTGTTGGCTTGCAAGTGCGGAAAATTGTGGAGACATTTTCCAAACGCTTTTTTGCCAAAGAGGTTAGAGCAGTAAAATACATATTCTATACATATGTCGCCTTTGTGTGTGTGTGTGTGTGTAACTCCAATGTTAATGTCTGTCAGCCTGCCTGCCTGCTATGTGTAGCAGTTTGTTGATGTGTTGAAGTAAGCTGGTTTGCAACATAATTTTGTTGTAACTAAAGAGGAAAAGAGTTTTTTTCTCGCCTTTGGGAAGTCCTCCCGACGTGAAAGGCACTATACAGTAATTTGTTGTTGTTGTAGTAGCCCCTGTTAATTATGTACTGTAGATGTGACTATAAAGTTAACCCATGGGAAGCATATAGAAAAATTGTTGTTAACAAAACACATCATATGATTCATAGCTTGTTGATAGCGTTAAGCATTTTTAGGCCACATGTAGCCTGCAGAGCAGATAAAAGATAAGGCATGGAAATACACTATCGTTAAACCCTGGCTGTCCACATGTTTGTTAGCTTTTGAAATTATCGTACTTTTATCTTGTTGGCACGGGCCAAGTAGATATTGGTTGTAAAGTGGATCAGAAGTAAAGCCCTTTTTGACCCAATAAAGTGCGAGAAAAATGTTGATTTGGTTTTCGTTATTGTTGCAAACCCAGTGGCAAAGTGATTGATCGTGCGTCCTCCCAGGCCAGAATGTGGCACACTAACACAGTGCTGGCTTCTATTCACACAGCAGGTTCCTGTAGATGGTTTCAGAGACATTGAAGCACTTGATGGCCCGTGCCACTTTATTGAGGACGAGCTGGTGACGATTCTCAATATGGACAGAAGGTGAGTTAATTGAAGGTTGATAACCCCAGTAAAGGTTGACAGAGGACTCTCTACTACGTAATAATAGAACAGGGGGCGTCTGTCAAATTAAAGTTTTTCTTTCACGGGGTGAGTTTGAAATGGCAGTTCTAAATTAATAATAATACACTGCAAATAAATTATTATTTATTTATAAATTTATTTCAAGATTCACTCGTTTTCAAACCACTTCATTCCCTTGCACCTACCTATCCAACCTGCTTAACCCCCACTTTACCACCCGCTGCCTCCGCTCGGCTGGCTCCGGCCTCCTATTTGTCCTCCTGCCCTCCTTTCCACCATCGGTGGCCGTGCCTTCAGCCACTACACCCGGAAACTCTGGAACTCTCCCTCAATCCTTCCGTCTTTCCCCCTCCCCACCTTCAAATCCCACCTAAAGACTTTCTTTTTTGATCGTGTTTATCGTCACCTGCCCTCTCCCTCTCCCCCTGGCTTGTTATCAGACGCTCCAAGATGCTACTCCACATGAATTGCGCTATATAAATAATAATAATCACAGCGCCTTGGGACGTCCTCCCGACGTGAAAGGCGCTCAATAAATGGAATCTTGTTGTTGTTGTTGTAATAACAAATGCAAGTTGTTGTTGGTATATCCTGTGAAGCACTTTGAGACATCTCAACGATGTGATGAGGCGCTATATCAATTGCAAGGATTATTATTATCACAGCAACTGTTTTCATTATTGATGCATTTTTCTGGCAGGAAGTATCTGACTTCGAAATACTACACACGGAAAATCCTGTACTATATTCGTCAGAAGGACATCATGGAGAAATTGAAGGAATTTCTCTCCAATCCACCAGACATGCAAAGGTTGATAGAAGGTAAAAGTTTTTTTCCCCCACCCCCGCACATAGAATATGTATTTGTAATAATATTTCCGTAGTTGACTATAAAATATTAAAGAGGTTGGGACACTTCATATGTGGGTGCGAAGTAACAATGATCTGTGCTTTGCAGAAGCAAATGTTTCTTCCTCTTTTGATCGTTGTTAAGGTCGAGGACATGTTTTTGTTTAAAGAAATGAGCGATAAAGCCTGCACTGCAGTAGACAACCAAATTTGAATAATTCAGCAGAGAGAACCGCAACTTGTGTTTACATAGCACCCTTCAACATAGGGGAGCGTCTCAGAGTACTTTACAAGCATAGGGTTGGACTCCAAGCAAGGGACAGGGAAGAGGGGAAAGAGCACAGGCCTGTTCGAAGAGGTGACTTTTGAGATGGGACATAAAGGCAGGTACAGAGGGGATAGGGGCAAAGGAAAATAAATTGAGAGGCATGAAATTGATCGCATGCAAGATGTATTCAATATGAAATGCATGATCCAATACTGGGTGGGAGTAGAGGTGTGACTTCCAATGTACTTTGCTGACAGGCGCTGTGCTGATCGACCAATACTTAGATCCATTAGCAGAAACCTCCCTGGAGAGTATTCTGCGGGAGCTAAATGACATTACAGAGGAGGTGAAGAGAGTGCTGCGTTTAACAAACTCTTCTCACCCGAGCATCGCTGCGGACAGAGGTAAAAATGGCTGTGTGTGGTCGCACTGTTTGGGATCAGCATGCGCTTTTCTCCATATCTCATACCGCTAAAGGCTAATGGACCTTAACTTGGAATACTCTGGTGCTTCAGATACCTTTGGGAATCTGGAGTACCAATTGCACCTGTAGATTGGGTTGTCTTAGTGAGAAGATCTCTCTCATTTCACCCTCCCTCCCTCCCTCTCTCTCACTTTATTGCCATGCAGATGAAAGGTGATCTGAATGTTTAAAATGTGTTGTATCTATAGACAGAACTTGTTATCACACGTCCTGAGATATATAGTGCACGATAGACACACGATACACTTCTGGTGCGGACTGACCGACTTCCTTTACATGTGCAGGAAGTGGTATCATTTTTATTACATGGAGTCTGTCTTTATGGAACCTGCCCCCCGAAAAAAAATCCTTTGTAACTGGGTCCGACTGTGCTATACGTTTTGAAAGTGCATCCTGTGTCCATTCGACCCAGCCCTTTCTCTTTGACTCGTGCCTTCAGACGGTGACACTTTCATCGACAGTCTGGATCTCCAACGACAGGCGCTGGTCGCGATGAACTCCGTCCTGTACAAGCAGCTGAAATTTAGTGGGAATGAGGACAATTACCTCAAGCCTGTAAATTTCTACATTCACCAGGTATGTAAACTTCAAACACTGTTTCGAATCGTCATGAAATGCGCACTTCATTAAATTAAGTTAAACAGCAGAAACATTACTTCAGTGAGCCAGTAGTAAAAGTATGGAATAGGCGCACTAGGGAGACGATGGAAGCAGAAAGTGTTGTTTCTTTCAAGAATAATTCAGATAGATTTCTGTTAGAAAATAATATCTCGGGATACAGTATATAGTTCGGGTCACGACATGTCAAGCGACTACCAGGATGGTGGAAGGCGAACTGGATGGACCTCGGGGTCTTCTTCTGCCTAGCAAATTCATACGCTCTTATGGAAAGGCAGTGACTCCCTGTGCTTCTTTCCAGGTGCTTCGGGAAAAAGAAGGGATCCGCATCGCTCTTTGTGTGTTATATTCAACGATTGGCAGGAACCTTGGTATACGATTGGAGCCCGTGAGCTTTCTCGGCTATTTCCTTTTAAGATGGTGTCAGAAACCGGAAGGGTGAGAAAGGACTTGCTTTTAAACATCACTGTAAAATTTACTTCCCCCCAATAACAACAACTTGCATTTATCTAGCGTCCCTCACTCACATTAGCGTCCCAGAGCGCGTGACAGTGTTGTCAACTGTAGTCATTTTTATTACATGGAGTATGACTTAATATAGCCAGACAGCTCTATCAATGGTAAACTGCGCGGTTTTAGCTGGTTAGATTCCATAGTTTCCCAACGCGAACTCTGGGGTCCCCCAAGTCTTGCCTCTTGCCAACCATCACCTAATACTCTCCGGAATTTGGTACGCAGGATGCGTCTTGCCAGGGAGAGAGTGCGCATTCCATTCCAACAATCTATCTCTGGGTTTTCTAGGTGTAGGTGGGATGCATGGAAACCTCAGCTTTGGATACTCTTAAGCATGGTGATGGGTTTCTGCCTGTGTCAGACACCCGGCTGACCCCCAAAAAATAGACAAGTTGCATTAAAGAACTTGACGATTTTGAAATATACATTGATTTATCAATTGGCACTCTGTTCTTTACTCATGTGTAATCTTTCTGTTGCCATCATGTGGATGGTCTTTGATGCATTTTCAATCCATTGTAATGCTCTTCTTTTGCTTTTGCTTAGGAGCACCGATTTTCTGGACTATGTCTACATCGATGCCTTTGATAACGGGAAACTGTACACAGCAAAGGAGTGTGAATGTCTGCTTGATCAGCCAGTAGCCACCAGCTACTACAGTCCCACCAGCACCAAGAACATGCTGCTCTGTATGGCCACAAACTTGTTCCATCGGGGAAAGGAGTAAGAGATCATTTATACCTTCCTTGTCGGGTGGTGCTCCCAGTACTATCCCATCCCATTATTAATGTGCTAGACAACCAACCCTGCAAGCCAACCACTCATGGATAGGGTGATCCCAGCTGGACAAGCAGTGGGAAAGCTTGCCAGACAGTGATATCAATGGCAAGCAATGTGGTTTTAGCTGGTTAGACTCCAGCAGTTATACCAATGCACACTCTGAGGTCCCCAAGCCTTGGCTCTTGCCAACCTGCGCCTAATACTTTCTGGAATTAGGTAAACAGGATGCATCCCTCCAGTGCACATTCCATTCTAACAATCTATCTCTGAATTCCATGTGTAGGTCGGATGCATGGAAATCTCAGCTTGGTTTGGATACTCTTAAGCATGGTGATGGGTTTTCGCATGTGTCAGACACCTGGTTGACCCTCCCCCCAAAAACTTTTTATATTAATCAATAAACCAATTGCTATTATCATACCATTCATTATAATATAAGCACAGAATTCTAAAGTGAAGCACTTCCAGTTGAGTGTTTCCCGAAGGAAATATCTTTTCTTTCAAGATACGTTAAGATGTTTTTTAATTTAAAGAATTGTTTCTTTATAGGAATGCTAGCGACGAGTCTTACCAACTGCTAGGAAATACTCTTGATCTGTACGTCACCTTGACTACGATCGATTTGTGTCTCACCTTGACTCCTGATGATGTTCAGTACTTGATGCTGCCCGCCAGACTTTACTTTCAACTGGGGATTAATCCAGAAAAAGTAGGTGATGAACTATATTCATTGTAAGTAGTGATGCGGCTGTCTCAATTGTAGTCTCTCAAGTTCGCCGATGTTGCCACAATTGGAGCAAACCATAAAGAACATTGGAACCCGAATTGAGAAGTATTGGGCCAGTAATAATAATAATGATCAATGCATTTGATATAGTGCCTTAACATTGAGGCGTCTCAAAGCGCTTCACAGAACATGTTGTAAAATGAATTGACTGTGTATTTTGTGGGCGAAACCCGGCAGCCAATGAATAATTAACAACTGTAGGTGCTGAATGCAGTTCAATGCGTTTAATTATAAGTTGGTGTTTAGAACAGATTCTGTTCAGTGTAGTGACTGTGCATTCATAGGCAAACACAGCGGGCGGCCGATTTATGTACAGCAATATCCGATGAAGTGAATGACACCGCATTTTTTTAAGTCTTATTTTAATCTGGAAAAATTTGGGTTGGGACACCGGGAGAAAGTCCCTTCTCTTTTTGAACCGTCCCATGAGATTTTTAACATGGACCTAACAGCTTGGCATCTCTGACACTGTATCGGAATGTCAGCTTAGACTCTGGGCTTAATTGGCTCAGGACAGTTTCACAGCGCACCCGCACTTCTGCTCACACGTACTCTCCTCTTCAATTCCCACCTTTTTTTCGTAGGTCCTGGATATTCTTCAGCGAGTTCAGGTCATTGATCCCTCGCATCATAACGTGGGCCACATGATCCAGCTCACCTTGGAGCAGATAGCTCGCAAGAACCTGATGGCTGAACTTCAGATAAAACATCGCACAAACGAGAAACACCGAGAAGTCGCGTTTTCAGTGGGGTTGATTATGAAGCACAAAAGGTAATTTTGACTGCTATACACTGTGGTGCAGGTGTGTGTGTGTGTGTATATATCTTGCCACTGGCTAGCCAGAGATCACATTAGTTTTAATTAGTGTCAGAGAGGCAGATATTGACAAGTGACGGTAAATTTAAAATCTAACACCCTTGTTTGGGGATAAATAGTATTCACTAAAATACTGTTAATTATAAAGTGCGGATACATTGAGGCTCTTGTAGAGGGTGATGTTATCCATTGTGATTTTGGCTGGATCTGGGTAAAATAAAACTCACGTAAGTCTGATCTGTATAAGTTGTACAATCACCTAAGTCGTACATCTGCCCAAGTCCCGTTCAATAGTTTCTATTCTGTGCAAATAGGTTGTATTAAATGTATGCTGTCAACTGACATGACTTATGTGAGGTTTACTGCATTTGGGTTACTGGGTGTAAAAGGTGTGCGGTTACCTGGTGGTGCCTGGAATTTTTTTTGTCTGAGCCTACATTGTGAGTGTGGAGAGTGGGGTGTATCTTGTAATCACAAGATATCAATGGGGTGTATCTTGTAATCACACCATTTAGACCACTATCTGAGAAACTAGGCATGTTTTGCCATTTTTAATAAAAAACACTTTTTAAAAAAGATAATATCCGAGTTAACGTTAGTTGCTCCGTAGGTGCTAGAGAATTAATCGTTAGCTAGTCTTTAATGGATGGTGTTAGTAAAGTGATAAAAGGTGCAAGCAGACGTGCATTCTCAGGACATGTGTTTGATGGCATTGCAGGTATAGAATGCCAGCAGAGACGTTGGGCCGAATAGCTTTCTGCTGGGCCGAAATTTCTATGGTTCGATAACACAGAAAGGAATTTTTTTGATTTTTAATATTAAAAACTTTTCTTATGTTTTTACTCCCCACCCACTTTCTCTTTAGGTATGGTTATGACTGTGTGATATGTGGTTGGGATCCCAAGTGTATGATGGAAGTGAACTGGATGAGAAATATGGGAGTTTATAATCTACCCAATGGGCCCAATCAACCTTTCTACAATGTTCTTGTACAAGATGGTTCATGCAGATATGCTGCTCAAGGTAAATAAATTAATGAATTTTCAAATGTGTATCTGGAACATTGAACCTGTGCCCTCGATAAAACGGCAAATGAAGCTGATAATGCCAGTGTGTTGGACTTGACATTTTACCCTACAATCATTTGGTCTGTTGTGTGGTGTAATGTTTAAGAGCACTCGCCTCACAAGCGAGAGGACCTGGGCAAAATCTAAGTAAAGTTTCCTTACTCCACACACCTCTGTTTACCTAGCAATAAGTAGGAGACTGGATGTTAGTCTCAAGATGTCTCAGGCGCTATATCAAATTCTATTCTCAATTCATTCCCCTGCTCTTTCCTCACAGCCCATTATCATTGCTGAGAAGAAGTAAAAATGTTTCTCTGCTGTCTGTAAGTGGCAATGTTTATGAGTGGCAAGTATTGCACGTTTAACCCTGTGTATTTGTGTTGTGTGTGTGTGTGTGTGTGTGTGTGTGTGATGTTTTTGTTTCAAAACAGAGAATTTGGTTTATAACCCAGCGCCGTTGGAAATCGGCCATGAGAAAGTTGGCCGCTATTTCTCAGAGTTTACCGGCTTTCACTATGTCGCTAACGTGGAGCTACAGATGCAATACCCAAGTGACCTGGCCTCGACGTCGCAGACTGTTCAGAGGGTGTATGGTTGCATTTGATTCATTCTTTAGGAAGGAAGCGTTGCAGCAAGAGCGGTTTCAACTGCCGGGAGAGCAAAGCAGGAAGCCAGAGACATTTTGTGGTGGAACGCCCATTAACGCAGGGTTGGTAATGTGCTGTCAGTGTCCCATTGCAACCCTTTTTCAAGTGCTGTCATTTTGCTGGGCAGTACTAATTCACAGCGAGCATTTGTATATTTAATGGGAAAGGCAGATGCAGAAGATGCATTGGATTTTCAATTGCCGGTGACTAGTTTCTGTATGGGAAGGTGGGAGGGAGGGGGGGGAATTGTGTATTAGCAGTAATAGTGATTTACTTTGTATAAACTATGATGTGAACTGTATCTATCGCTAAATATTTCCCAGTTTTTCCATAGAAAATTATAACCTGTTGAGATAAATAAAGTGCCTGATCGTATTTGTTTGTCATCGATTTTCTTTTTATTCCACGGAAGATTATTGCCTATATTGTCTGGGGTGGGGTTGGGGGGGGATAAGTTGTATCTCTTTTCATGAGATCATATACTCTTTTTACATTAGACATTTAAAGTATTTGTGTTCGGCTTGGGATACCAGGATTGTTTTGCTGCGTTGTTTCAATGGTGCTGTATTGTAAATTACATCAGTCTGGGGTTATTACAGAGTAATTGGGAGAGCTTAGAGGATATTTCACCACTGCTCTCTGGAAGTTCGTCACAGTCTCCTCGCCTTGTTTCCTCTCTTCCTGCTTTCAAAACCCACTTTAACACTGGTCTGATCGAAGGTGTGAAATTGCGGCAATGCACATAATTCAAGGAGGAAACCATTGATTCTAGAATTGCACATTTTTTTTTGTCGAGGGCGAGAAATAAAAAGCAATGAGATGATGAAGCCCCGCAAACAAAGCGTTGCTCCCTGGAAATGCGATCTGTTCAGTGTCTTCGGAAATCCTTTAGTTTATTTTGTGGCTGTTAACATTTCGGCCACCGACGTGAAATGTGTTCTCGTTCATTTTCCTGGGCCTGGCGTCAGTCTCTCTTGCTACTTACACATGGTGGACGTGTCCATATTTAAAAAGCGAACATGCATTTTAGATTCTATCTTCATGTCCTTCATTATCTGCAAGAGAAAACCAAGCCGCTCGGTAACCTTTAAGAGTAGTTACAAAGGATGTTGATGACTGCAGCATTCTGTAGACACATTATCATGGACCACTACTTAAATTTCACTGACAAAATATTTGTGCCGCACTGACTTGTACTTATACTGCCATCATAATGTGTTTTCTTTAGCCTTCTGATTTACGTGCAGTTCAAACTGGAATGTTAAGTGGTGACTTTCAAGGCTTGTTACTATGAGCTTTTTGTGTTAAGCTTTGCTTAGCTTACAGTGTGTTTTTTCACAGTGGCTTTGGAAGTCATTTTTACAGAGAAATTTGAGGCATCACAAACCTTAAGGAAGTCTTCGAATGTGATTCCTTCATATATTTGGTCGGGTGTCTGGAGAAATGAAATCGAGAATTGATACAAGTTGAAATTGTTCATGAATGGTTCTTAATGTAATGAAAAGCCGAACTGTTTTGGCTTCTGCTCCTAAACTCTCAGTAAATCTTCTGCCTATCTTTTGTCCTGAAGAATTTCCCTTTTTTTTCTCAGACTGCTTTTTATGTAGATCCAAAATACATTTTTCGTTGTCAAATCTTAACACACAGAAGCCTTAACTCCGAGTTAGCATTCACTGTGGAAAAATTCCCCTTGCAAAGTTGTACTGGAATGTCCATAGCACATTCTCAGAACATTCCACAATATGTCCTATTATTAGCCAGCTCTAAATACATCTTGCTTATTGCTTTAAACTCCTCTGTTTTCGACCGTCTAACAGTAACTTAATGCACTGCAGTGATTTAGTGATTGAAGCGCTTTGAGATCCCTCAACGATGTGATAAGGTGCCATGTCAAATGCAAGGAATATTACTATTATTACGTCTGCATTGAATGGTCAGCGGTTGATTCACTGTTCAAGGTATCTCTCTACTGACAGAATATAGCCCTTTGACCCATTTGATCACCTTCCAGAATACATGCCCTTTTGTCCTCCCAATACAGCATCCAGCTGTTTCTTAAATAAGTCCCAACATCCTGGCTTCCACCATCTTTCCTGAAAGGTGGGAGCAAATCACTTGTGGCCCATTCAAACAACAACAAAATTACGTTTATAGAGCGCCTTTCACGTCGGGAGGACGTCCCAAAGCGCTGAACAATCAGGTGTCGGGGTCCGAGCATGGGGGAAGGGTGGTGTAGGCGTGAGGGAAGACAGAGAGGTGGGAGGATGACCAAAGGCACGGTAGAAGAGAAGGGTCTTGAGACCGGCCTTGAAGGAGACAAGGGAGGAAGCGAGGCAAAGGGACCATGGGATGGAGTTTCAGAGTATGGGGGCAGAGAGGCTGAAAGTCCGGCCACCGATGGTTGGGCAGGAGACATGGAGCAGGCGGATCCCGCTGAACGAAGGGAGTGGGCAGGTTGGTAGGGAGTCAGCAGGTCAGAGGATCTGCAGCTTGTGATGGGAAGAGTCAAAACTCTTAGGGGCTTTCAAGGGATGTTTTCTAATGTTATTAAAAAGCTGATAACATGACTCTTTAATCAGATCAGAAACAGCAACACCCAGTGTGGAAGTGATGCACAATTACTAAGTGTGCAAGGCTGGAACTCTGCCACCAACTGTCTGCGTGAATGGTTCTGATTCGGTGCAATGTCGAGTAGTATTAAGGGGAGTATAAATCGAGCCTTCTTATCCGAAAGCAGCCAAGGTTTTTTGTGTATTTCGCTCACTTTACAATGTATTCTGTGAAGTGCTCTGAGACATCTCAATGACATGAGATGGAGCTGCATTGCTGGTTAGACTCCAGCAAGCCTTGGCTCTTGCCAACCTGCATCTAATACTTTCCAGAATTGGATAAACAGGATGTGTCCCTTCAGGGAGAGAGATTGCGCATTCTATTCCAATAATCTATCTCAGGAATGTGTAGTTGGGTTGCGTGGAATTCTCAGTTTGGTTTGGGTACTTTTAAGCACGGTGATAGGTTTCCGCATGTGTTAAGACACCTGGTCGACCCCTAAAAAACATCAAATGCATGCATTATTTTTATTATTGTTATTATTAAGCTCCCAAAGCAGTATACACGCAGAGTAAGACCATGAGAAATATCCTGCTGTGCCAATTAGTACTTGTTTTTGCATTTAAAAAGTTCCCTGAAGTAGCAATCCAATGTGTTTAACATTCCTGGCAAGCTGTCAACCTTTGGTTCTAAATATAGGAGAGTTTCAGGGAATTCTCATGTTTTGCACTGGTTGCATCAGGCCTTTCCCACACTGGGGACTGTTGTTATGATAAGTGTTAAGCTCTGCCATGGAGCAGAACACTGCAGTCATTGAAAGTGAGTTTCCCCGAGTTGGGGGAGAGAGTGAAACAAGGGAGTTGTGGCACTGATTAACCAGGCAGGCAGGTCGGATTCCTCTGCAACTTCTAATCCACCTACAGCCAACCTGTGCCTCAATACCTTTCCTGAAACAGGCAATCAGTCCCCTCAGCACAACATCGATGACTTGGTGAGTTTATGCAGTGAGCAGCTGAATGATCTCTACTATGTTCGATCCTGATCTGTGTTGAGTTGGTTGATTGTAACTTGGGCAAAACTAAGTTGGTGAAACAATTTGCCTTCAATGCCATTGGGTTAGAGTAAAGGTTGTGTATTAAAAGAAATTACCTATGTTCTTGCTCCTATTCATTCTTTAGCACCCCTCTCCTCCTGTTCCCAGGCTTTTAGACCAGGCACCAGGGGGCAACTTTTAATAATGATGATAATAATAATCCTTGCATTGGATACAGCGACTTATGTTGTTGAGACGTCTCAAACTGCTGCACAGAATACATTGCAAGGTGGATTGACTGTATTTTGTGGGCGAAACGCGGCAGCCAATTGCGCACAGCAGTGTCCCACAAACAGTCTGGGAGTGAAATGTACTGTATTTTATTCTCTGAACTCATGCCTCTTCCGCCACAATAATCGCAGAACTAATCTCACTGCTCTCAGTGGTTCTGGATAAGTGACAGAGGTCCTTCACTGTACAAAGAGAATATAAATAACCTCTACAAATAGTGTGAGCCATCAAGACTTGTGGCTTGTTATTCTTATTTGTGTCTTAACCTCTTCCCGTCCATTTTCAGAAGCAGGATGAGGTTGGTCAACTTATCAAGCCTTGATCATTGCTCGTCCTTCCTTTCCTGGAGCGAGCTGCTCTGTTCTCCGTTCCCCGCTCTTTCTCCTTCACCTCTTCTTATCATTGCTTTGCCAACAAGTGTAATTCCTTTTAAGCAGTGATGTGGCTTCAGTCATCCTCCTACCCCTACACTCCCTGCCCTCCACCCCTCCTGATCCCAAACCCCAGCTTGAATCCAAATCGCTGACTGTCCAGGGCCTTGGGACATCCTCCTGACATGAACGGTGCTATACAAATGTAATTTGTTGTTGTTGTTGACTTAGGAACCATCAGTTCAGTCTTTTGAACCTGTTCCACCATTTTATCTGTCGAAGACAAATCTTTTAATCCCATTTCCCTGCCCCTTTTCCCCCAAATTCCTTAATACCCTAACAGTAACGGGGCATTCAACCCAACTAGTAATACTACTCCAGATGAATCTCCACTCCTCTATTCCCTTCTCCCTCACAATGTCCCAGGTATCTAGCCCATGGTGCTTGGGTATGGATATGGTGCTAACCATTTGTCCCACGCAGATGTTAGCAGCTTCTATCATTGCAGCATCAGCGATGGAGGAAGATGTGTTCTCAGTGGTTGTTTTCTTGCACAACAATTCATCTATCACCTGAGGGGAACAAGAGATCTATCAGAGAATGACTATGATTGCTGCATTTGATACAGCTCCTATTAACTTTGAAACATCCCAAAGGACTTTGCAGGTACTGTATTCGCCGTCAGATGTATTGACTGCGTTTCTGTAAGCAAACCCGGCAGCCAGTTTGTGGACAGCAATGTCCCGAAATAGCCAAGAAGCGTATCACCATTTTTATTCCAGAGGATTGAAGGCCAGGACACTGGGAAAAAAACTATTTTTGAACAGCTGATGGGACTTTTAACGTCCACCTGAACTAGGCAGATGGGACCTTGGTTAAATTTTTGATTGAAGGATGGTACCTCCAACAACACAGCACTGCACTGCAATTAGTGAGGTCAAAAGACCTCACGTGGGGCTTACATTAGAATTCGTTAGAATATACAGCACAGAAACAGGCCATTCATCTTCTCTTTGAGAATGGGGGTTGTCTTGTCGAACATGGAGAGAAGAGAAATGTCTTGTGAGCAGTCGGGTTATTATTAAACAATCCACGACTGTTTGTGGGACACTGCTGTGTGCAATTGGCTGCCGCATTTCACCCACAAATATACGGTCAATTCACTTTACAGTCTATTCTTTGAAGCGCTTTGAGATGCCTAGAAGACATGAAAAGCGCTATATCAAATACAAGGATTATTATTATTATTATTCAGCCCAACTGGTCTACTCCAGTGTTTATACTCCACATGAGCCTCCTCCTGCCCTTCCTCAATTAAGCCTTCAAGCATAACCTTCTATTCCCTTCTCCCTCATGTACCTATCTAGCTTCCCCTTCAATACATCTACGCTATTTACCTCAACAACTCCTTGTGGTAGCATGGTCCACATTCCCACTACTCTCCGTGTGAAGAAATTTCTTTTAACTTCCCTATTTGATCTATTTGTGACTATTTTGTATTGTTGTCCCCTGGTTTTGGTCTCCCCCACAAGTGGAAATATTTTCCTTATGTCTACCCTATCAAAACCTTTCATCATTTTAAAGACCTCTATCAAGTCACCCCTTACCCTCGTCTTTTCAAGAGAAAAGACTCCAAGTATATTCAGCCTTTCCTGATAGGTATAACCTCTCAGTTCTGGGATCATCCTCGTGAATCTCCTTTGCACCCTCTCCAGTGCCTCTACATCCCTTCTATAATGTGGGGACCAGAACTGCACACAGTATTCTAAGTGTGGTCTAACCCAGATTCTATAGAAGTTTACCATAACTTCCCTCTTTTCATTTCTATCCCTCTAGAAATGAATCCTAATGCCTGGTTTACCTTTTTTATGACTTATATATAATAATAATAATAATAATCCTTGCATTTGATATAGCGCTTTTCACGTCAGGAGGACGTCCCAAAGCGCTTCACAGAACACACTGTAAAGTGAATTGACTGTATATTTGTGGGTAAACGCGGCAGCCAATTGCGCACAGCAATGACCCACAAACAGTCGTAGATTGAAAATGACCAATTTAATTATTGTTTTTAGTTTTGGAGGGATTATTATTATTATTAACCTGCGTTGCTACTTTTAGTGAATTGCGTATGTGTACCCCTAGATCCCTTTGCTCCTCTGCCCCATTTAGGTTTTTATTTTCCAGGCTTGAACCCACAACCTTCTAACTCATAGGCGAGAATGCTAGCGACTGAGCCAGGCTGGCTATCAAGCGACTGAGCCAGGCTGACATAGATCAAATGTGACAAAAGGGTTTTCATCATCCAAACCTCTCTTGCAAAGTGCTAAGGTTTGTAAGTTACTGCTGGTTTGTGTCAGACAATGGGAGAGCCTGACTGCAGTGCATTTTTGTACTCTCATAATGAATCAGCAGAATTTGAAACTCATGTTAAAAATAAAGGAAGAACCTTTACCTGTTTTAGTTCTCTCAAAGAAATTTTCCCGTCCTGGTCGGTGTCGTACATGTTAAATAAAACTGGAACAAAACACATTCTGAATTAATGCCAAGTGAGGCTTTATCCTGCCATGTGTGATCAGCCTCTGTTTACCTGGCAGTATGTAGGAACCCGGTTATCAGTCGGTTGGCAGATTCCTGTCCGGAGGTAATAATCTCTCCCGAAAAATAAAATTAATAATTTAGCCAATCAATTCATGACTGTTTGTGAGACATGGCTGTGTGTAATTGGCTACTGTTGTTTCGCCCACAAAATACACAGTCAATCCACTTTACAGTATATCCTGTGAAGTGCTTTGATACGACATGATAAGGCTCTATATCAAATGCAAGGATTATTATTATTATCACGTACTACGCAGTCAGTTTCTCAGCAGGGCCCTGCAGGGAATAGCCCTGCTTATAGACTTGAATGCCAGTCGCACCACAATACTAAACATGAACAAGATAACAATGCATCACAACCCTCATTGACACTCATTAAAGAAAAACAGCTCCCAGATGTAGTAACAAACACGCAAGTGAATAGCACAAGTGACGTGTTCTTCCTTTCTGAGAATAACTTTGCAGCTCAGCGACAATGATTAGTGAGACCGCATGTTTCTTGTTAAAAAAAATGGATAATTAATAACAGCTGTAAGTTTCCAGGAATTCAAATTCCCAGGCACAAGGTCTCCTGTTGATCTCCCACAATGTCACTGATGACACGGGGCAACATTTTTGACAGGTGAACTTGTCAGTAGACCGTCACAAGTCAGGGACAGAGAAATCAGATGCACAACAATTGCAAGCATTCTTGTGGAGGAGGAAACAGTAGACAGAGATAGGCAGAGAACGTGGGCGGTGAACGTGTACAAGGGATTAGGTGAAAGGTGGGGTTGATGCGATTAAAATATCTGCCACGATTTTAAAAAAAAATCTGGTGGAACAGGCTTGACGGTTTGAATGTTCTTGTTTTTTATGTGTTCCTAAAAGCTGAAGCCAGGGGTGTGGGTGGGGAGTGGGAAATATGAAACAAGCAAGGAACATGGCAACGCAATTCAAATTTATGACAGATGCAAGACAAACATAATTTGAAGAGCAAATACCAGTGATGTTATGTTGTTAGTCAGTGGCTCGGGAAATCCTCTTGATGTGATAGGTGCTTTATATAAATGCAATTTCTTGTTGCTGTTGTTTTAAACTTGGAACAGAATCCAGTCTTAATTTGGAAAACAATATGCTGCAGCTCTTATGATAATAATAATAATAATAATCATAATAATCCTTGCATTTGATCTAGCCCCTTATCACATTGTTGCGACATCTCAAAGCGCTTCACAGAATATACTGCAAAGTGAATTGACTGTATATTTTGTGGGAGAAACGCGGCAGCCAATTGCACACAGCAGCGTCCCACAAACAGTTGTAGATTGAGTGGCCGAAATGTTTTTTTTTGGATGGGATTATTACCCCTGGAAAACGATTGCTGGGTAAAGAGAGTAAGGAAACTTGCCTGACTCTTCGCCCTGCCCAGGAATCGAACCCGGCGTCCTCTCGCTTGCAAGGCGAGTGCGCTAACCACGGCAGTACTCGTTAAAGAAAATAAATCAGATTATCCCAGACTGATTGGGTGGGACGAGGTGTGGAGAGGGGCGCGAAGCATGTCTGGGGATGTGGGGGAAGTACATCAGATACCAGCTCCTTACATCTCAGCTTCTTTCTGTTGCAATCATCAAGTTCTTCCTTCCCATGGTTTTCGTCCATGTGCTGGAAAAACGACAGGATGGACAAAAAGTTCTCGAAAGTGATTTCCTCCACAGTCTCACCAGACCTCAGACCCAAGTTTCTGGGATAACAATGTAGAGAGTGGGAAGAAATTGCACACTGTAAAACCAGAAAGGTCCTGCAACTTTTTAACCTCCCTCTATTCTGTCCTGTCTTCATTGAGACGTCTCAGAGCGCTTCCCAGAATATACTGTAAAGTGAATTGACTGTGCGTTTTGTGGGAGGAACACAGCAGCTAATTTCGCACAGGGTTGTCCCACAAACAATCTTTTTTATTATTTTTGTGTGGGGGGGGGGTGCTGTTGGGGAATTATTACCCCTGGAAAAGCAATCCACTGATCGACTACTTTACCGCTAGGTAAACAGAGCGATGTGGAGTACTTAACGTCTTGCCCTGCCTGGGAATCAAACCCAAGTCCTCTCGCTTGCAGGGCGAGTGCTCTAACTACTACACTACAGGACTCTGTTCTTGGATAATTATCCCACTTGGGTTAAACAAATGGCTTACCTGCTGTCAAAAAATGCTTTGATAATTCTTGTCTTAATGGGATTATTCTCCAGGTCTGGCACACTCTCAAAGCTATTTTTGCTGTGAATATAAAAGTTAAACCAGTGCCTTTATAATAGACAGGTAGCACACTGAAATCAGTTCAAATTTAACACATGAACCTTTGTAAACTGAATTCGAACATTACCTCATTGTGGGTTTCCCATCGCTCAGGTGCATGAATCTTTTGTGTAGAATTTCAATTTGTTCCGACGTGACTGATCACAGCAAAGTAATGCTAAGTGTGAGACATTACATCCATACACAGAATAACTTATAATAATCCTTGTATGTGGCATTTTGTATCCTCTCAACAACAAAAACAAATTACATTTGTCCAGCATCTTTCTGTGGGGGCAGAGAGCCTGAAGGCCTGACCACCGATGGCGGGGTGGGCAGGGCGGAGGACAAATAGACAGTCAATCCACTTTATAGAATATTCTGTAAAGCGCCTTGAGATGTCTCAACAACGTGCTAAGGCGCTGTATCAAACACAAGGATTATTATTTAAGTGCTCCGAGACACTGCCCACGTAAAGCTCGCTGTATAAATGCAAGTTGTCATTGACATTGAACTGAGGTCCTGTCTGCCTGTTAAAGTAGACCTCATAGCACTAATCACAAGGGGAAGGGAGTTTCTCCCGGTTTCCTGGCCAACAATCTTCCAGATTAAAAACGAAGTGGTCATTCCCTTCATGGCTGTTTGCGCCTTGAGCAAATGGCCTGCTGCCTTTGTCTACAAAATTACACAGTCACTACACTTTACAGTAAATCCTGTCAAGTGATTTGAGGTGTTTTGACAGCAATGATAAGGCGCTATGTCAAATGCCAGTGCAAGTGTACCGACAGCGTTTCGAGCCACGGGAGAGAGCGCTACCAACTGAGCTAAGTGTTAAAACTCAGGAAACTCCACCTGTTTCCTGAGTAAAGAGAAATAAGACACCAGATAACACATTGTTTCTCTTTTTTCACTTTATGAAAATTATGAAATTTTAATAAAGCTTCCTGCATTTGCGTTTTCATAGCTGGGAGGGAGGGAGGGACGAGGAAGGAAAAAAGCTATGCAGAGATACAGAGAAGCTATTTCCTCTGGTGGGGGAAATCCAAAACAAAGGGGGCATAGCCTTAAAATTAGAGCTAGGCCATTTCAAAGTGAAATCAGGAAGCATTTTTTCACTCAAAGAAATCTGTAATTCTCTTCCCCCAAATTGCCTTGGATGCTGGATCCTTCCACACTTGGGGGTGGGAGAGAGGTGGGGGTTGGGGGGGGGGTGGGAGGGGGTGGTGAACGATGAGAAGCTCTTTGAAATGAGACGTCTCAACGACGCGATGAGACGTTAAACCGAGGTCCCATCAGTGCATATTCAGACTTTTTGTCAAAGATCCCAAGGCATGATTGGAAGGGAGTTTGTCCTGGCTAATCAATTGTAGTAATAGTAATAATAATAATAATAATAACAACAATAATCTTTGCATTTGATGTAGCACCTCATCACGTCGTCGAGACGTCTCATTTCGAAGCGCTTCACAGGGTATATGGTAAAGTGAGATGAGTGTATTTGGTGGGCAAACCATGGCAGCCAATGCTGCACAACAGTCTTCCACAAACAGTCGTGGATTAAGTGATCAGATTTTCTTTTTAATGTTTTTTTAAATCAATCCACCTATGTTATTATTATTATTATTATTATTATCATCATCCCAGGGGCTAAGCAAGATTGTCCCTGGAAACAATCTGCACATTAAAATGCAGGACAGATACAACAACAGGAAAGGCAGACAGGCAGATGACATTGAAGTGAAATAAGAGTGGGGCTCTCACGAATGGTCACTAATAAAAAAAAAAGAAGCAAAACAGCAACGAAACCAATTAACCACAAAGACTAGAGATGCAAGAATAAAGCAGGCAGGAAGTTTAGCTCTCTGGAGAAATTGTGTGTTTAGTCCCTGTTGCAACGTTAAAATTAACAGCAATGTGCAGTGCGAAGTTGCACAATATTGGCAAATCGAGTCGAGAAAAGTTCAAGAAACTTGTGAAGTTTCTTGCCCAGTGTTTGGGGTGGTGGGTTATTGTTGACTAGGACACTGGGGCAGAGCTTTTTGCACCCTAAGTCTCCCTTGTCAACCCTCTTTTCCCCCACAAACAACCTCCTAATGACATTGAAACGACAGTGTTAAGAGTTTTTTTTGGCTTTACTTACAGTCTGTCTTGTCCATCAGTCTTTTGATTTCGATGTCTGGCAAGGAGTGTGCAGATCCCATTTTCCTTTTCTCTTCCAGAAACCTTCTCCCTTTCCTCTCTTTGCTCTCCTTTTCCACACAGGTCTGTCTACAGCAGAAAACTTCACCAACTTATGTAATAGAAAGAGAGAGAGAGAGAGAAAGAGAGAGAGAGATCTTTAAAGCCCAACAGCTCCTCCCAAAGTTGAGATGAGCTTCTGATATTGGTAAAACAAAATCAAATGTATGTAAGATGAAGGCACGATTGAGTTCTGGGTTTGCTGATACGATGTGACTGTAACTCAATGACATAACTTACTCCTTTGACAATCTACATGAGGTGCAAATCCCACTGAACTTTCCCAGAAATTTGATTTGAATTGTTTTGTAACGATTCTGCTGGGTCCTATCACCCCTATCTGACCTAACTTCTGCTTTTTTTTATTTGGGCACACACACCCATCAGATGCATCACAGTTTTAGTTATTGGGAAATAATAATATTATTATTGGTAAATTTAAGATGATTGGGCAAAAGAACCAGCGGGGAGAATTTTGTGTATTTTTTTTTCACGCAGAGAGCTGTTAGTGATCTGGAATGCACTGAAAGGGACTGCAGTGGAAGTAGGTTCCATCCATAGCAGCTTTCAAAACGAAAAATTTCGGAGGGCGGTGGGGTAACAGCAGAAGACTAATGAGACTAGTTGGGTAGCTCTTTCAAAGAGCCGGCACAGGCATGATGGGCCGAACGGCCTCCTCCCGTGCCGTAAGATTCTATGAATAATATTCCTTGCATTTGATATAGCGCCTTATCGCACTGTTGAGCCGTCTCGAAGCACTTTGCAGGATGTACTGTGAAGTGGAGTGACTGTGTATTTTTTGTGGGCCAAACACAGCAGCCACTTTGTGCACAGCAATGTACCACATAAGCAGTGAAAGTGAGCGACCAATTTTATTTGGGGTGGGGTGGTGGGGGAGAGGTGAGAGGAGGGGGCGATTGTGGGGGAAGGGTTGTTGGCCTGGACACCGTGAGAGAGAGAAACTCCCTTCTCTTTTTGAATAGCGCCGTGGGATGTTTAACATTTACCCACATGATCAGCCAGTCAGGACCTCAGTTTAACGTCTGATCCGCAGTGGTTTATGAAAGCCAGTTTCCGCAATGTCCTTCACTGCAGGATTTTCAGAACAATAACTTGTGAGATGATGCAATTGGGCACTTGTTCAAGTCGGGTCTTGGTTTGTACCGAGAGAGAATGAACATTGTGACAGGACAACTTCCCTTTGATCCGAGGACCTTTCTCCAGCAGAAGAGACTTTCACATCATTAGTTTGGCGTCTGGCTTGGGTTCAATGCTGGAGACAGGAGCACAGAGCTCTAACTTACTGTGCTGTCCAGTCATCCATAGCAGTGGGCACTCCTCCAATGCCCTCCTCGTTGATCTCACCATCTCCACTCCCCACAAACTGCAACTGATTCAGAACTCTGCCGTCCGTATACTCACCCAGACTAAACTCCGTACCCCCCGTCCATCACACCAGCCCTCGCCAGACTCTACTGGCTCCCTATCACAGAACGGATTGATTTCAAGATCCTCTCACTCGTCTTGAAACCCCTTCGAGCCCTGGCACCTCCCTATCTCTCCGACCTGCTTTCTCCACACTCCCTCCTCTTGTCAAACAGCTTCGCGCTGCCTCCGCTCGGCTGGCTCTGGCCTTCTGCTTGTACCTCGTTCCCCACTCCACTGCACCATCAGCGGCCGCACTTTCAGGCACTACTCCCCGAAGAATAGGAACTCTCCCCCAATCTCTCCGCCTTGCCCCCTCCCACCTTACCCTCTTTTAACATCAAATCCTTTCCATTTAACACGTTAAATCACACAGGTCCAACGCTCCGTGCTGACGCCCTTTTGTGAGTCTGTTTAAAGCTGTTGCACTGTTTTGGGGTTTCCGAATCTGCAGTTCTGTTTACAGATAAACAAGTTGCGACGCGTGTCTTTTTTGTTTGTGTTTAAGTTCTTCAGAGGCAGAGAGAGAGAGAGAGGGGGAGAGAATCAGGATGATAAAGATCTACACATCTTGTTTCCTGACCGATGATTCCCCAGATAAACTTGCCTTTCATTTGATTGTTTGTTGTTTGTGGGGCCTTGCTGTGCAGAAGATCGCTCCTACCTCTTCCTCCAGATACACGGTCACTACACGAGACGTGACTCAAATTCCCTGTGAAGGGCTTTGAGACGGTATCACGTGATAGCAGCTGAAGCAACCCATGAAAAGCGCTCCGGGACGCTACCTGGCGTGAAGGGCGCTATATAAATGCAAGTTGTTGTTGCTGAATGAAAAAGAGCCACAGCTAAAGTGGCAATCCTACTCACCCGTAATTCCACCTGGTCTCAGCCCGTAGCACCCTTTTTGTGTTACTCCATTTCACAGTAAATCTTTCCGACGTGATAAGGCGCTACACCGAATCCAAGGATTATTATTATTATTATTATTATTATTATTATCATTATCATCATTATCCTCTTAACAATATCTGCCGCGGTCAATCTCCAGCAGACCTCCCGTCTCAAGAAAAGAAACGGAGCAACTTATCAGCTGAGAACTGCTCAGTGCAACACAACAGTGGTTTCAAATGCATATCTCCATCTGGTGCATCTGTTGAGATGAAATGTAAAGCAAAGCACTTCTGGTCAAAAAGCCAGTGATGTGGAATTGACATTGGAGGCGATACCCCATATAGACCGCCAGAGGGAGAACTTCCCCACTTGGAAACATAGATAAAGATTCCCTTGAAGGACAACTTCGCACCGATTCGACTGTAAAGTGAATTAACTGTGTATTTTTGCAGGCGAAACACGCCAGGCAATTGCGCGCAGCGGTTCCCACGAACAGTCGTAGAATGAGTGACCAATTTATTTATATTTATCTATTCATTTATTTATTTGGAGAGGGATTATTAAACCCCAGAAAGTGATCCGCCAACCGAATCTACTAATACGCTAAATTGTAACTGATTTCACGAGTTTTCAGGGTTACTCTGTTAACTGCCTCGGAAAGGACTTTGAACCATCCTTTTCGATTGCTGAGACTAACAAACTGTTAGCCGAAGTGATCGAGCCAGTGTTTTGGGTTCGCAAGCGATCGAATCTGGGGAAGGTTTAGGTAAATATTTCACAAGGAATTAACGACATTAAGTTTGACTTTGCACGGATGTATTGCCAAATGGGGCTGGGCGAGAAAATGTGAGACCTATGAAAAGAATCACACTGCTTTACTGTTATGTAGTGTCAGGAGCACAGGCTGACTGGAAAAATAATAACTCAAGTGTGAAGTTTTAACGTGAGAGAGTAAGGAAACTTGCTAAAGGTTTCACCCCTCGCAGGAATCGAACCTGGGTCCTTTTGTTTGTGAGGCAAGCGCTCTAACCACTACGCTACTCTTCACTGAAACCCTCTGATTTGACACAGACAATGACTGCGCCTGACAAGGGAAAGCTTCACATTTCCACGCCTCTTAATGAAAGTCTGGCACTGTCCAAAGTAGCAGGCACGAAGGTGTACATGAAACTGGACAACACACAGCCAACGGGATCTTTCAAAATGAGGGGAATTGGTCACTTCTGTCAAAAGGTGATCACGCAATAATTAAACCTTATTGTTTAATTGAATTAATACATGATTAACTCGATTCCTAAATAATCACATTTTTTAAAAAATTGCCGGTGGATTAAAACGTGCCCTCGGTATGTGGAGTTACCACAGCGCTGAATAATAAATATTAATTATTTATTACCATTACTCGCCTTTGATACGGCGTCAATCAACGCAACATGCTTCAAAGCTCTTTACAGTAATTACTGTTAAATGTTGTGAGTTTTTTTTTGGTCAGCCGGGTGTCAGACACATGCTGAAGCCCATCACCGTTGCTTAAGAGGTATCCAAACCAAACTGAGAACTCCATGTACAATCCCACTTACACATGGAAATTCCAGGAATAGATTGTTGGAATGGAAAGCTCACTCCCTCTCTTCCTGGAGAGATGCATCCCGCTTACCTAATTCGGGAAGGTATTAGGCGCAGGTTGGCAAGAGCCTAGGCTTGCGAGACCCCAGGGTGTGCGTTGGGATAATTTCTGGAGTCCAACCAGCTAAAACCACATAGCTTGCCATTGACGTTAAGTGTTAGTGATTCTGTGCTTTGCAGGCGAATGTGGCAGGTAATGTGCGCACAGCAACGTGCTCACGAACAGCTGTGAAGCGAATGATCAATTGATTTTATCTTGTTTCAGGCTGCGGAGAATGGCTGCAAGCATTTCGTGTGTTCGTCGGGTAAGTAAGTGGGTTTACGGGTGGCTGGTAGCTTTGGGCTCCTCCAGTGTCCTGACATTGCAAACGGACAGGGGCTACAGGAACACAAATTCCACCTAGTCTAAGCCTGTAAGACAGCTTCGCCTTCAAAGTTAAGGTTGCGGAGAATTGTGGAAAATCAGTCAGTTCGCACCTCACTTGGAAATTCTTGGTGAAACTTGCAATTATTGGAGAAACTGTTTCAACTGGTGGGCGGGCGGGGGTGGAGGGGTCAGTAATCAGAGGACACAGATTTAAGATAATTGGCGAGAGAACCAGAGGCGAGATGAGAAGACAATTTTCTTTATGCTGTGAGTTGTTCTGATCTGAAATGCGCTGTTTGAAAGGCCGGTGGAAGCAGATTCGATAATAACTTTCAAAAAGGGAATTGGATAAGTATTTGAAAAGAAAAAAATTGCAAGGCTATGGGGTAAGAGAGGGGGAGTGGGACGAGTTGGTAGCTCTTTCAAAGAGGTGGCACAGACACGATGGGCCGAATGGCCTCCTTCTTTGCTGTAGGATTCTACGATTATTCTAACGGTTGCTGACCTCCACTTTTCTCCCCCTCCTCACCTCTCTTTCCCCCCTGCTCCCCCCTCCCTCTCCCCACCCCCCCCCCCACACACAGGAGGCAATGCTGGGCTAGCAGCTGCCTATGCTGCTCAAAAGCTAAGGATTCCTGCTACCATCATGGTTCCCAGTAGCACTCCGGCCTTCACCATTGAGAGACTGAGAGAATATGGAGCCACTGTGGAAGTGGTTGGGAAGGTACGTGTGGCTGTGTGGAAGCACCTCAATGTCGCTCGGAGAGATGAAGGATGAAGGGAAGGAAGGAAGGAAGGGATGAAAAAGCAAAGGAACAGGGAGAACTCAGTAACTAAACCGGGAGCCAACACTTAAAGCCCTTTAATAGTAATTATTGTCAAGTGTCGTCACTTTTTTTTGGATGTACAAACCAATTAAGATGGAGGATTGCCAGCCAGGATTCTGGGAGTGAAACTCCCTTCTCATTTGGAGTCCTGTAGTGTGGTGGTTAGCGAGCCCGCCTCTCAAGCAGAGGACTTGGGGTCGATTCCCAGACCTGGGGTCGATTCCCAGACCTGGGTTCGACTCCCACTTGTGTGGAGTAAGGAAATGTGCCTAAAGTTTTCCCAGACGGGTTGAAGTCTTTGGCACGTTTCCTTACTCCACACACATGCCTCTGTTTATCTAGCAGTAAGTAGGAACCCGATTGTTAATCAATTGACAGATCGCTTTCTTGGAGGTAATAATCCCTACACCCCCCAAAAAAAATTGGTCACTCAATCCACGACTGTTTGTGGGACGCTGCTGTGCGCAATTGGCTGCCGCGTTCGCCCACAAATATACAGTCAATTCACTTTACAGTGTGTTCTGTGAAGCGCTTTGGGACGTCCTCCCAACGTGAAAAGCGCTATATCAAATGCAAGGATTATTATTATTATTACAGCGCTTTGAGACATCTCAACGATGTGATAAGGCGCTCTATCAAATGCAAGGATTATTATTATTATTATTGTTATTATTATTGTCATTGATGTTCCCTGCTTCCGAGGAGCAATTCTACTTCCCAGACTGTTTGCAGACTGTTGGCTCCTGGTTTATTTACTGAGTTCCACTGTCCCTGCTTCTCCATTTGGTTGCCTTTGAATTTTCTGGCCCACTGAAGCAAACAAACCTTACATGTCACTGAGAGTTTGGACCGATTGAGACAAGCACCACGTCCCTGCTTCCCGCATGAACAAGTTCGGCGGTCGGGCCTTCAGCCTCACTGCCCCCACTCTTTGGAACTCCATCCTACAGTCCCTTCGCCTCACTCCCTCCCGGACCTCCTTCAAGGCCCGTGTAAATACCCTCCTGTTCGACCTGCATCCGGTCCCCTTCCTACCCTTACCCTCCCTGCCCTTCACCCCCTCCTTATTCCAACCCCCAGCTCGGGTGCAAATCTTTGACTGTCCAGCGCTTTGGGATGTCCCCCTGACATGAAAGGTGCTGGACAAGTGTAATTTGTTGTTGTTGTTGTTGTTGTTATGAGCTCATGCAATTTATCCTAAAAGACATTTCTTTGACTGTCGGGCCAGGTTTGGGATGAAGCTAATGAACAAGCTGTGAAACTGTCTAAAAACAATGGCTGGTCTTATGTCTCCCCCTTTGACCATCCCTGGATCTGGTAAGAACCTTATTGATTAGCGTTAATATTTTTCGACTTGGAAGACAGGTGCAAAGTCTCCTTCCGTGAACTTGTTTGCCTACCAATACACGTGTGTCAGCCTGACGCAGAGGGTTGTGGGTTCAAGCCCCACATCGGGAGGTGGAATCACATTGTCTAAGCCAAAGCTGTGTGTGTGTGTTTCATCGTCAGTGGTGCTGTCCTTCGGATGAGATGTTAAACCGAGATTCCGTCTGTCTGTCCAGGCGGATGTTAAAGATCCCACGGCGCTGTTCGAAAAGAGAATGGAGTTCCTCTCTCCAGGTGTCCTGGCCGAAAATCCCCCCCAAATAAGATCGGCCACTCACTCCACGAATGGGGCACCCGCTGCCACGTTCCACCCACAAAATACACAGTGAATCCACTTTACAGTATATTCTAGTGAAGCTCTTTGAGACGTCTCGAAGACGTGATAAGGCGCTATATCAAGTGCAACGGAATTATTGCTATTATTAATGTAATAAGGGAACTGTGTACATTGGTTGGAAGAGGGAAATACTTTCTCTGGGTCTGTGTGAAGGAGGGCCCCCCCGCCCCCCTCCCAACTGCTGCCGGTTGATGCAATCAATCATCCACTTGGCACGCTGTGGTCTCCAATGTTTGCTCATTCACCCAGTGAAGGCAAAACACCATTGGTGATCGATGGGAGTACACAAACTGACTGCAGTCCATTAACTTCCCTCTGCATTGAGGCTTTGATCAATTACTGCCACAGACTCCCTTTTTTTCTGTGTTGAATCCCAGCCACGCAGGCAGAAGACTAAGTAAACATGACAAATGCAACCTAATTGAGACTCCTCCTCTCTTAATTATTCTCATACCTTGCGTGACAGACATTTCACCTGACTTAGTCCTTGTTAAGGCTGATCGAGGGAAACCCACTGTGTGGAACATCTGTGCTGTTTGGCACTTGCAACTGTTCCGACTTGCATAACAGCCTTTTATTTTGCTGTGCGCAATTGGCTGCCACGTTTCGCCCACAAAATGTACTGTTGATTGAATCACTTTACAGTATGTTCTGTGACGTGTTTTGAGACGGTCTCGAAAATGTGATAAGGCGCTATATCGAATGCAAGGATTATTGTTTATTGTTATTAAAGAAAGAAAACGGTTTCTAAATTACAACAACAGCATTTATTTAATTTATATCTACAAGGGACTTGCAGAAGGCCATAAATAGCAATAATAATCCTTGTATTTGAAACAGCGCCTCATCGCGTCATTGAGACGTCTCAAAGCGCTTCACAAGATATAATATTATCAAGTGGATTGGCTGTGTATTTTGTGGGCGAAACGCGGCAGCTGATTGACCTGCGTTCGATCCTGTGCCCACCTCTGCGTGTGAGACCGTTGCTCCTTGTCTTTATCAACTTGTTTATACAAACCTTGTGAGGGTTCTCGGCTCTGAAGTATTGTCTCATGTGATTCCCAAGGGAGGGGCACTCGAGTCTGGTGAGGGAGCTCCGAGGGTCTCTGCCAACCAAACCCGGAGCTGTTGTCCTGTCGGTCGGAGGCGGGGGGCTTCTCTGCGGGGTGGTCCAGGGGCTGAAGGAAGTGGGATGGTCCGATGTACCTGTCATCGCTGTGGAGACGAAAGGGGCCGAGAGTTTGAACGCCTCTGTTAAGGCTGGGCAGTTGGTCACTCTCCCTGACATCACCAGGTATAACCTTAACAATACAGCACTTACAGTATCCGATCATTGTTAATTAATTATTATTAGATTATTGTTAACACAGGAACGGGAAGAGGCCATTCGGCCCCTCAACCCCTGTTCTGCCATCTTCTGTTAGGTTAGGTCATGGCTGATTGGTAGCTCAACCTCCAATTAAGGTTTCCTTAATACATTTTTCAATAGAAAATGTTAAGATGGTTGCAATTTCTTGTCTGTGGGTAAGTGGAAGGCTGGTGTGTGTGTTCTGTGTGTGCGTGTGTTAAGTGTGTGTGTGTTCTGTGCGTTGTGTGTTCTGTGTGTGTATGTGTATCTGTTCTGTGTGTGTGTGTGTGTTCTGTGTGTGTGTATGTGTTCTGTGTGTGTGTGTTCTGTGTGTGTGTGTGTTGTGTGTGTGTGGATCTCTCTATAGATCTCTCCATAAGTGCTCCGTGACACTACCCGCCTGAAAGGCGCTATATAAATGCAAGTTGTTGTTGTTGTAGAGTGAGTTGACTCTTTTCACTCCCCGCTAGTGTGGCCAAAAGCTTGGGAGCTAAAAGTGTAAGCAAGAAGGCGTTGGAAACAACACTGGAGTATAGGGTTCACTCTGAAGTAGTGACTGACTGTGAAGCTGTGCGAGCTGTAGAGAAATTTCTGGGTGAGAATCTCTGCTTTTTAGAATTCTTACGTACTGCAATCATGCGCTTTGCGTTTGATCTTAAAGTATTATCTATTAGTCATGACGGTTATTATTTATTGCTGCCAATTATTAGTCATTGTATTATATTATACTCGTATTATCTAGTATTAATATGCTATTAAACTATAATTTAATATTACTGTGTTATTGTTTTGTTAATTATGATCATTTATTATCAATTATCACCTCTATAATTATTAATATATTACTAAATTACTATTGCTATGTATTGCATTATTACTTATTTTGATGATTCATCATATTCATTGCTATTTTATTAATAATTAATACATATCACATTATGTGTGTATTATTATTGTGTGGCGTTTTGTTAATACTTTACTAATTTTAATATAGTAAAAAGGGGAAAGGACTCAGTGACGAGTTATCGGGAATCTACTCCATTTATTATTTGAGTGAATATTTATTAGATCATTAATAATAATTGTTATTATTTATCTATTATGCTTGACCCTTAATGAGCCAGATGGCTGTGTCCTGGCTCCCTCCCCCCACTCCCCCTTCCCCCCCCGTGTGGAGAAATCTTAATGCTTTGTAAAAAAAAAATTATTTGGTCACTCAATCCATGACTGTTTGTGAGACACTGCTGTGCGCAATTGGCTGTCGCGTTTCACCCACAGTGTATATTTTTGTGCCTCCGCTCCGCCATCAGTGGCCGTGCCTTCAGTCACTGCGCCCCGAAACCCTGGAATTCTCTCCGTAAAACCCTCCCACCTTGCCCCCCTCCCTCCCCACTTTCAAATCTTCCTTCAGACTCCGCCACTGTCAAGCCACTGACACCACCGGACGTGAAAGGCACTATATAAATGCAAGTTGTTGTCATGTATTCTGTGAAGCGCTTTGAGACGTCTCGTAGACGCGATAAGGCGCTACGTCAAACGCAAGGATTGTTGTTATTATTATCTTTGCCTTTGCGTTGCAGACGATGAGAGGATGTTGGTGGAGCCGGCGTGTGGAGCCTCTCTGGCTGCCGTCTATAGTGGTGTTGTCTGTCGTCTGCAGAGGGAGGGGAAGCTGCCCTCGAACCTTCGTTCCCTGGTGGTGATTGTGTGCGGGGGCAGCGGAATCACCGTCCCCAACTCCAGCAATACAAACAGCAACTGGGGCTGGACTGAAAAAAATCACAGAGAATCCTGTGGTGTGGTGGGTACAGCCCTTGTCTCGCAATCAAGTGGACCCGGGTTCGATTCCCAGACGGGGGCGAACCTTAGGCAAGTTTCCTTACTCCACATGGCTCTGTTTACCCAGCAGTAATTAGGAACCCGCTTGTTGGTTGATTGGCGGATCACTTTCCAGGGACTAATAACCCTTCTAAAAACAAATACCTGATCACTCAATCCAAGACTGTTTGTGGGACACTGCTGTGCGCAATCAGTTGCCACATTTCGCCCACAGAATACACACTTTACAATAAATCCTGTGAAGCGCTTCGAGACGCTTCAACGACGTGATAAGGCGCCGTATCAAACGCAAGGATTGTCTGATTACTGTTCACCGTAGCAGATCTGGGGGTGTCTTAACATTTAATTCCATCTGTTAACTCTTATTAAGCGGGTATCCCATGTGGTGACATGTCAATGGATGTTTGCTACACGGTCTGGATTTCCCGAGCTTTTTCTTTAATGGGTCTGTGACTAATTATTGGCATCCTGTCAACCAGTCTTCATATCAATGTGTTTGTATTCACTTCTGACCCAGTTCCATTGATGGTGATAAGCGTATTCTGGTGCTGCCATCTAATCTGCTGTAGCAATACTGCCACCTCCTGGTGACATCCAGAACTGCACCTTCTTGAAATTGCTCACAGGCTGGAAGGAGCAACTGAGCTTGATTCACCCACCCCCCCCCCCCCCAACCAAAAAAAAAAATATCTTCCCAAACTGTGTACAAAACTCACTTGGGTAGTCCTACCAATATTTGTTTCCTTTGGTGTGTAAGATCGTAAAGTCATTTTTTTTTTGTTTCGAAGATGAAAGGGTGAAAACAACAACAACATAAATTACGTTTACATAGCGCCTTTCACGTCAGGAGGACGTCCCAAGATACTGGGAAAGAAATCGTTCAGAATTCTGAAGACCCGAGAAAGGGATTAACGTTTGTCCCAGAACTGCTGTGCACTGAGATGCCAGAGCTGTATGTGACACACACTATATAAAATGCAAGTTGTTGTTCTGTTACGGATACGTAGTGTAATGCTGATCACTTGTGTTTAACTTCAGCTGACACTGGTTATAAGATTCCTGCTTGCAGTGGAACATCCAACAGCCCCTTCGTCTCACTCCCTCCTTTGCCTCCTTCAAGACCCGTCTCAACCCTCCTCTGAGACTATGCCTTCGGTCACCCTTTCATCCCCAGCCTCCCTACCCTCCACTCCTCCTGATCCCAGACTGTCCAGTGCCTTGGAACATCCTCCTGATGTGAAAGGAGCTGTACACATGTAATTTGTTGTTGTTGTTTGATAATCACCATCCAGTTCCCAGTTAGCACTAAACCCTGGGAAAAGAACCAATGTTTTTCCCCCTATAAAAACGTCACATCCACACACAAATATATATATAACGTGTGAAAACTTCATATATATATATGTCAAAATTAACAAGCAAAAAAAGACTAAAATATATGTTGTTTTGTTTGGAAGTATTCTTTCAAAAGCAAATTAGGTAGAATTGTTACAAGAAATAATATCTTGGGATACAGTATATAGTTTGGGACATGACGTGTGCAAGCGATTGCCAGGATGATGGAAGGCGAACTGGATGGACCTTGGTCTTCTAACGTCCAGCAAATTCATAAGGGTTCTTATGAATCCTGCAATGATTTTAGGTTGCATTACTGTGAATGTTCAGGCGATGGCAGCAAACATCAGCAGCTACCAGACAAAAGCACTGAAATCCACATCACCTTGAGCAACAATAGTATTGTTTGCTGTTGTGCAGACAGAAAACCATTAGTTTAAGATAAAGAAATAAAGAAAAATGTTAAAACACATTGTTTTTATAATGCGTTAACATGCTGAAGTGCCTCGGAGGCCTTTGCGGTATTTACAGTCAGCTGTTTTTGTAGGCACACACTGTGGCTGTATTTGTGCACAACGAGGTCCCACAAAGGAAGGGGAAAAAATAATTTATCGGGAGGATTGTCAGCCAGGACAACAGGAGAAATTCCCTTCTCTTTTCCAATCGTGTCCTGGGATCGTGTCGACCTCAACAAGCAGACGGAACCTCGGTTTATCGTCTCTGCTGAAGGATAGCACCTCTGGCAATGCCCACTCCCCAGCACTGCAGTGGACTGAAAACAAAATAATAATAATAATCCTTGCATTCGCTATAGCATTGTTATCACGTTCTTGAGACGTCTCAAAGCGCTTCACAGAATATACTGTAAAGTGGATTGACTGTGTGTATTTGTGGGCGAAACGCGGCAGCCAATTGCGCACAGTGGTGCCCCAAACAAGAATTGTAATAGAATAAAATAAAATGATATTATGCGACCGAGGAAAATACTACCTTGCGTTTGACTGTCAAGAGGAATGGTTTAAAAAAAAAACAAGCCATGGCAACATTTATAGGATAGTTGCAGAGAGAGAAAAAAATGAGTCATGAAATCTGTTCGGTTCCTAAGTTAAAATTGGTTCAAACTTCAATATTTGTAAACAATGCTGCTCACCATCTGCTTACACTGGATCTGTGAGGCGGGCTGTCAATCACACCAGTGATATCATTACTCCAGCTGAATGTGTGTGTGCGACACACACGTGGATGTAGTCTCATCACCTGAGCAGACGCAAGCAGGTGGAATAGGATATGTACTTGGAAAGGAAAAATCTGCCAAGGCTATGGGGAAAGAGTGGGGGAATGGGCCGAGTTCGTAGCTCTTTCAAAGAGCCAGCGCAGACAGGATGGGCTGAATGGCCTCCTTCTGTGCTGCAAGATTCGATATTTTTTATATTTTCTGGGTGAAACGTGACAGTCAATTGTTGCGGCCCGTGAACAGTCAGGGATTGCATTTATACGGTGCAATTTTTTTTTAAAAAAGGGATTATTAACCCCGGGAAAAGCAATACGCCAATCGACTAACAACTGGGTTCCTATTTACTGACTGCTCAGTAAACAGAGGTGTGTGGAGTGAGGAAACTTGCCTAAGGTTTGGCCCCGACTGGGAATCGAACCCTGGTCTTCTCGCTTGAGAGGCGAGAGCTCTGACCACTACATTACAGGACTCCACAATCTCCTTACAAACAGCGTGATTACCTTCTCACATTGTTCGCAGATCCCCCCACCTTGCTGTCCTTTCAGCTCCAGCCCGTGTAACAGACTTTGTGCGAACCCTACAATGGTTGGACACAGAGGGCCGAGACGCACAATTAATGATTGTGTTTCATTTCTAACCCTAGACTGCCACATTACGCACTTTTATGTCTCCCCTTTATCTTGTCATTTGTCTCCAAACCCTCCTGATTATAAACCAAACTCACTCTCCTCACAGCTGTTCTCCTCACATTATTTGACCGTTTTGACTTTTTGCTGCACCCAAACCTTTCCCCCCACAGCAATTCTTACACATCACACAGCACTGTTTACCTCCTACATCTTTCTCCCTTTCTTTCTTTCTCTCTTTCTTTCTCTCTTTCTTTCTCTCTTTCTTTCTCTCTTTCTTTCTCTCTTTCTTTCTCTCTTTCTTTCTTTCTTTCTTTCTTTCTCTCTCTCTCTCTCTCTTTCTTTCTTTCTTTCTTTCTTTCTCTCTTTCTTTCTTTCTTTCTCTAATAAAGATTTCTCCCTCGTCTGCTGTCTCCCACTTCCAGTCTCTTCTCTTCTGCACAGAATTCAGCACTTTTTCTCTGAACAGCAGCTTAGTGTGTTGAAGGATCCTCGCATTTGATTATACCGGCTCATCACGTCTTTGAGACGTCTCAAAGCGCTTCACAGAATATACTGTAAAATGGATTGACTGTACATTTTGTGGGCAAACTACGGCAGCCAATTGCGCAAGGTGGTGTCTCGGAGCGCTTAACAGTGGTGGAGACTGAGGCCAAGCCAAGAGGAGGGAAGAGGTGACCGTAAGCACGGTCGAAGAGGAAGGTCTTCGGGTGTGATCTGAAAAAGGGGAAGGGGCAGGGGGGGGGTGGTCAAGGTGGAGGGATTGAGGGAAAGAGTTCTAAAGTTTCAGAGTGTCGTGGCTGAAAACAGCAGCTAATATAATGGCCTTTCTGAGTGGTTCGATTCTGCCGCAGACTGTTAGCATTAAAGTCTGCTCTGTTTGTTGGATGCAACTGTTCAACGAGGAATCGGGTTGTGGAGCCAAGCCCAATCGTGCCCTCACATGATGTGCACACACTTGCACCTCCAGCAGGGTTCGCTGGAGAGTAAACAGAAGCAGAGAAACTGCTCCCCAACCCAGCAACGCTGAGGCCAATTATAAATCATCCAGTCGTCTGAGATCAGCTATCTCAACAGGGACAAGAGATTGAACCTAAATCTTTCCAGTCTGAGTTTCTCAGCGACTCATTGAAGAAACTCGATGAGCCATCAGAGCGGTTGATTGCCTGTCCTTTTTACCTGCTTCTAACATTTCTTCTGTGCATGATACTCTGGCAATCTCGTCCAAGAACCGAAGTATCTAACTACTCTATGAGCTCCTCAATCTACAACCTTCCTTTTTTTCCCTGATCCCTTTCGATTGATCTGTCTGACTCTGAAGGAACCATAGAATTATGGTCAGTAGTAGCTGGATCATTAGTCTGTCTCTAAGATGTCCTGCCAGCCACAAACTCTATAAGTTTCAGCTCATGCACTAATCAGCTGTTGTATATCATTGGCTACAGTGCTAAATACTATGAGGTGCCATCCCACATGAAGGGTGCTAAATAAATATAGGTTGTTGTTGTTGCTGATTTTTTTACGTCTCGATTTATTTAATATTCGCTCATACTCTTTTGAACCGTAATAATTATAATAATAATCCTTGCATTTGATGTAGCGTCTTATCACATTGTTGAGACGTCTCAAAGCGCTTCACGTAATAAACTGTAAATTGGATTGAATGTATTTTTTGTTCGAAAAGCTGCCACTCACAGAGTATCTTGCTTGGACTATCTTTTACGTTTTATTGGTTTCATGTACATTTTTTTTAAAAATCATCCACCAAGTGTCAATCACTCTCTAAAGCCAGGTAAGTAAGAGAGCTGTA